CTAGGCCCATTCCGTTGGCCTGCATTGACCTAAGCCTGCCTAGGCGCAATTGGCTGTATCAAAATAGAGGCTTTTTTCCAACACAACTCTTGCGGCTGCATGGTTGCAAGCAGGTCGGGGCGGCTGATCTTCGGCTAAAATCGATGGGTAACCAGTTTGCCAGTCAAGCTAATGTTTTGGAGTGCTGACATGCCGCATGGGTTGTCTCGAGTCATCACCAGCACCAGATTGCAGTAGAGAGTCGCCACCAGGGCTGACCCAAGTTTCGATATAAGCCAGTGGTATATAACGAGAATGATCTTGATTACCGAACTCCCGAACCTACCTATAGCAGCCGCGGCGCGAGTCCGGCCCCGCATGATCAGCCGCAGAGAAGCAGACCGGGGCTGCCAGTGCTCCAACTAGTCAACTGGAACCCCAGCCTGCCATCTAACGAATCCCCGCCCACATGCATCCACTACTCCATTGAGTGGAAAATGCTATTAAAGAAAGGAAGACTGTTGAGGCTTACAGAGCGGCTCTACTCCGCTCAGAATTTTGATCATCTCCTCGTTTAGTGAACGGTAGTCCACAACCATGCATAGTTTCCGGTGCTTCTTTAGTACGAAGACCACTAGGTACGCTACTAGTGACTGTGAACGCCTAATGAAGCTTTTTGTTAGGTTCTCATCTAGGTATTCCTTCATTGCCTCATCTTGCTGTGGGGTTATATGGTAGATCTTGTGTTTCTTGAGCTTCGCGCCCTCCTTGAGATTGATCTCGTGGTCAAATGGAGTATATGGCGGTAATTCGTCTCTCATATTTTCTCTGAAAATGTCGTATTTGAGGTATTCGTGTGGTACGCCCTCGAACTCATCCGGTTTCTTAGTCGAGTCGTCCTCATCTGGCTCGCTAGCGTGAATGAGCATGAAGAACCTCTCTAGGTCCTCGAACTCATCTCCTGGCTCAGTCGACCGTTGTTGATCCCTGCGTTAGCCTGCAAGGCAATCTTGGCTCTTCCCTTTAACTCTGGGTTGCCCTTCGTCGTTTCTCTGACGGCTTGCTCCTCGAGTTCGGCGTCCCGAGCCTCGGCTTTCTTTCTGGCGGCTGGTAAGGTACTTCTCGCCTTTCTTCCACCAAACGTCGGGGTTGTATTCTTTGATCCAAGGGTCTCCTAGTAGAATATCGATCTGCTTGCTCAGAGGTAGTGTTGGAATTTGTCAAGCAGAAGGGCCTCGAAGGTTCTAGATAGAGACTTCGCCACCAACTTCGCCACCACAATAGTAGTATAAGAACGGGCTTTCTGGCACTGCCAGAAAGCTAGAGAGAAGAACAGACATCTACAATCCATCACTTGAACCACCAGTTTTCGGCGTGCAGCCACGCCCTGTTGGGTCCAGTACCGGTACCCTGGTGAATCCAACAGGTAGGATATCGAAGACAACGTTAAGTGATTGTCCATCGACCGTGATCAAGAGTTCCTGGGTTTCTCTCTCACAACGCCCCCCGTTATGCTTCATGAGTTCTCCGTCAAAGGTCCGTAGCACTACCGGCAATTTCTTCTTCCTCCACGGGACTCGAATTCGTTTAGCGAGGTCTTCCGAAATGATATTCCGGTCACTCCCATTGTCGACTTTCGCTATGAGCGTAACTGGCTCCTGAGGTTTCTTCGACCTCCATTCGCACTGGGCCTGAATGTGTAGCCCACGTGGGAAATTCTTCTCCGCCTCGACACTGCCGACGACCTGCTCGCCCGAGTGAGGTTGGGTTTGAGGGCTTCTGGCGGATCCGACCGTAGGGCGCCTCTGGTCCCCGGTATCGATCCGTATAGGCGTTGGGGTTACTCGACGTCTCCGGGCCTGCTGGAGGCCCGCAAGCCGTTTCCCAAATGCTCACGTAGCTGCCGCTATTCGTAGCGCTGCAGTCTCTCTTCTCTAGTGTTTCTCAGGGCTGATCAGGGGTCGTGCTCAAGTCTGCTGAGCTGCTGGAACTCTTCCAAGAGCTCCTGAGGGTTTCCTTCGGCGATTTGGGCGCGCTTTTCTCGTTGTCTAGCGACCCGCCGGCATTTCTGCTCGATCCTCCGTAGGTGGTAGTGACGCGTTCTGTTATAGTCCACTAGCTTCTGCCTCTGATGGATGGCACAGTCGATATTCTCGCAAGATCTCCAACTGGTCTTGCCTTCCCGGCAGTCCTTGGACGAAAGGGGTTCTATCAGGACTTCTGGCTCCTGATCGTCTTCCGAGATCGTTATGAATCGCGTCTGACAAGTGGGTACGTGCCTATACACCCTAACCACTGTTGCTTCGGGTGCCCTAGCCGGGAAATGGTCGTACTGCCACTTCGGTGCGAAATGAGCGCGGCATGTGTCGTAAATGCAGCTCACCCAATCCATTTCTTGGTGTTCCGGGTGTTCGGGGTCGAGCTGGTGTGCGTCTCCCACCTCTTCTTCATGGTCAGCGATATCCAGAATGGCTCTTCCAACTCGGGTAGATCCCGGCGGTCTTCGTACGCGGCAAATCTCCTCTCGTTCTTCCAGTCCGATCCAGCTCTCAACCGGAGCTAGCTCGTCTCGTTCTCTGGCTTCCTTGTTGAGTTCTCCCAGGCTGTTGGCCCTCTGCCAGGCGACATAGGCTAGCTCGTCTAGGGCGTTCTGTCGCCCCTGAGCCGACAGGGTATCGTTGTCGAGCAAGGTGATCATCTGGTCCCGTCTCTCCCGAAGTACTTCTAGACCTTGCCTAATGCTCTGGACTTCCTGTCGTGAGAGGTACTCTCTAACTCTTGACCTAGAAAGTGTGTCGCTATTGGCGGAAAGGTCATCGTCACTGACGCTTCTCCCTTCTAGCGGAATGAATGGGCTTGGTCTGGCGTGCCGGGGCATTCTCGGTGCTGGCGGGGCTGCCAGTCCCTAGGCTGTTATAATCCCGTAGGCAAGCGCTCCGGTAGTATAGTATGGTGCGCCCTCCTCTTCATCGCTATCTTCTAGTACTATTCCAACGGTCTGAGCGTCGTTAAAACGGGTCTTCCGTTTCTGTGAAGGTCTTCCTAGGCCCTGCTTCTTGGGCTGTCGGCATTCTCTTGCCCAGTGGCCTGTCTTGCCATAGTTATTGCAAGTGTCGTTCTTCTTGTTACGTGGCGGCCGTTATCCCTAGCCTCGATTGCTGGACTGCGTCTGAGAGAGCGCGCCGACGCTCTCGTCCATCGGTCCTGAGTATGTGCCATATGAGGTGCTCGGAGTGTGCCTCTTCTTCTTGTCGTTAGGCTTATTCCGAATCGGCGTATAGGCATATCCTCGTTTCTCTTTCTACCACTGGAACCATTTGTCGTCAATCTTGATGGCCGTAGTGATATACTTCTATAGCGTATCAGGACGATCCTCCTTGTAGAGTTCGTCCTTCACCGGGTCCTTCAGCCCGTTATAGAAGGCCGTCTATAAGGTACTTACGGTCCAGTCTAATATTGCAGCGAGGGCCTGGAACTCAGTCGCGTAGTAGGCCATATCCTTAGTCTATCTGAGCGCGAGGATGCGTTCTTCCGTCTGGCGCTGCTTTTTAAGGTTGCCGAAGTACTACTCCATCTCTTTTAGTAGGACGAACGCCCCTCCTCCGCCCGCCATGAAGGCGTACGTTTTGAAAATAGGGTCTTCATTCTTGATGGCCTTCCCAATGGGCTACCACTAATCAGCCGCCACTCCTGTGAGTAGTCCGGCCACGAAGATGATCTCATCTGCTACTTCCGGGAACTGGTCGTCGTAAAGGGTGACGTAATCTTCGACTTGTCCTCCCCAGGCCTTAAAGGTGGCCTTGTTGCCGTCAAAACTTGGAGGAATTGGGATCTTCGCCTTCCGGGTCTTGAGAGCCCTCACGTGCTCCTCGAGCTTGGCAATCTGCGTGTTGGCCTCCTCCAAGGCTGCGATCCGCGCGTTAGCGGTCTGTAGAGCAGCCTCGAGTGCCAGTTCGTTAGCGGTGGGGGGAACCACCGCCTGAGTCGACGTGCTGGCCATGCACTCTCCGCGTGGGTGTCTTCTAGTATAAGGGGTTCCAACTATTACGCAAGAACGCTGGCAACTCCGTCACTGACGTGTTCTTCCGCGTCGGCATCTCTAATGTCGGTGTCTTTAGGTAATACTGAACCCGCTTTACTACTGCTGTCGCTCTCGTCCTCGTCCTCGCTGGACGATATAGGGTCTTCTTCTGACTGGTCGTCTAGCAAAACCAGGTCTTGCTCAGGCGTAGCCAGGTTGTCGTTGTGCAATGAGCACTCTATTCAATTAGTACCAAGGAGAGAAGTAAGTAACGTATTACAAACCACTCGACTGTTAAGGTCGTCCGTCTGTAAGAGAGCACAGGCTCTGCAAGGTGGGTGGGTATGGTAACAATGAAGAATGAACAAAGGGCAAGCTCCTATCGCACGGTAATCACATTAATCTGGAATGCTGTGCAAAGTGTATGCACACAATGAATGCAATTGCTTGCTTGAGAGGTCAAGCAAGAGCTATCTAGAATCGTAGACACGGTTGTCGTATATATCTAAGTGATGTAACCCATAAGGGAGCTGCTCTGTCTCTCAATGCAGAGCAACAGAGCACGCCGCTCTGTGCTCCAGCTTACAGAGCAATTGTGGGGCACGTCTGCTCTGTTCTCCACGCAACAGAGCAACTGTGGGGCCATGCCCCTGGCCTGCTACTGAGCTCGGTATTGATGGCCTTAATATTGGAGATGAATTTCTTATAGTTGCTCAGGCCTCCGATTATGGTGAGGTCCCCGTAGTGGAGCACGACGTCGACCTTGCTGGGGAGCGACGCTGGGTCGGGGAAGGTATCGTCGTGCGTATCTGAAAGAATGAGGAAGGTAGTCGCCATTATGTTGGGTAGTATTATTCTTCAAATGTGGGCGTGCCGACTTGGACTAGGTAATGTAGGTGTTATAGTTCAGGGAAGAACCTTGCCTCGGAATTTGGAAGCAATCAAGCTAACCTAGGTTTTAAAGTTAGACTACAGTTGCAGAATGGGTTTCGGGAATAAAGTGTAATCCTTCAACCCTCTTTTCAGCATTCCTTCGACCTTTTCATTCCGATGGGGTAATGCGAAGATGGCCTGCTGAATCTCCGTAGGCAGCATGGTGAGAAACAGATCGGGCCACTATCTTATTCAAGCTAGGGTTTATCGTCTCTAAGAGGCCTGACGGTGATGATGACGTTGACCAGTAGGAGTTCGCTGATCCCGACGGGGGTGAGCCTGTTTGGTGCCATCGGCGGCGCAGCGACGGCTGTGGTAGCAATGACGCCAAGCGACGAAAAAGATGTGCCGCCGCCACGGCCACCACTGGAATGCTACTGGCGCAACGACACGATTGAGCCTAAAAGAATACTGGCAAGGGCACCCGTGAAAGAAGAAATGCCAAAAACATACAACACCAGGGATTCGCTGGTGGTCACCCACCCAACTACTAGTCTAGCGATTAGTGACTTATCTATGGGAGAGCGGACGTGATCCCGAGTTCTCCACTATCTATGGCCGTATGTGTAATGAATAGGCGGAAATGTCATTTATAAAGTATACAGCCTGGATGGGTATAAGATGGATAAGGCTCTAAGACGGAAGTCGGCATTGATAGAGCTCTAGTACGGGATCTATGGTCTCCTTTCTAGGACGAAGCATACCGTATTACATGTGTATGCGCGGCTAATTACCACGCGGCGCGCGATTTTGGCGATGCACAGAGCGCAATTACTCCTCGAGACGCTTTGCTGGCTGGAGGACGAGGTGCGCGAAATGAGCTGCCACTAGTTACGAAGCTCGACCCGCGATACCTCGCCTAGCGGCGGCAGAAGACCGTAAGGGATACTGACCCGCCCGAGAAGATGACCGATAGCATGCTGAGCGGCCATCTTTTTGGTAGATCTATTAGCCGGGGCCGGCGGACGGGCGCGAAGCTGTATTATTACGCGCATTCACAGGGCAGGGTATCTGGTACTGGGAGGTTTAAAGTATCTAAAATTATCTTGTCTTCTACCTCTTTTAGTAGGGTCAAAGGCCTCTCTTTTATAGTTGTGAATAGTAGCAAGATTGAGTGGTAAAGTAAGTGGCGGGAGCTGCCTAATTAGGTTGTTGTAGCTTCCAGGTTCTTCCTTTGTTATTAATCAATATTTGTGATAACGTATTTTATAAGCGAGCGGCGAATATAAGCGAGCGGCGAATTTTCCCCGCGACGCGGCCCTTCATCTTTGATCCTCAATTCTACCACAACAAGCTATAGCTACCCTTTCAAAAGAAGCTAGGGTAATCTTAGCTCTCAAATCAATCCAAAATAGTAAAAAAACCAATATTCTTTCCACAGCCAATCTGTATAATGTTCCAGAAACAACACTTCGCTATCGACGCGCCGGTCGGCCTTCACGACGCGATATTCTAGCCAATTCGCGAAAACTCACAGATCTAGAGGAGCATACGATTGTTCAGTATATATCTGAGCTATGTGCACGCGCATTTCCTCCTCGGCTTTATTTTGTAGAAGATATGGCCAACCGACTGCTACGCGAACGCGACGCGCCCCCTGTCGGTAAGCTCTGGGCTCACCACTTCGTCAAACGCCAACCAGAACTCCGGACGCGTTTTACGCGTAGATACGACTATCAAAGGGCCGAATACGAAGATCCGAAAGTTATTCGCGAGTAGTTTATACTTATATATAATCCTAAAGCCAAATACGGAATCCTTAACGAAGATATATATAATGTCACGCGCATTCAAAGGGCAACGGAAATGAAGCATTTGATGCAGGGAGCTAAGGCTTGAACTGTCTGAAAAGGTCTAATCTCTTGTTTCTTTTGGCAGGGCCAAAATTCTCTTTTTTATAGTTATGAATAGTAGCAAAAGCTTGTGGCGAAGAATCACATAGCAGCTTCTAGATCTTTCTTGCTCACTAATCCCAATATTGTGACATATAACAACCTAGGTACGGCACTACCTTGGCTATCTCAGACGCCACAGAACCCCCGAGAGGCCACCTCACAGACAGACCTTATTAAAGGCCAGATATCTAACCATTAAGGTAGTTCTCCAACCTATGCTGGCTGCTATGGACCAATTGGCCAAAGGTATAATGGTCGTAGTGCACGAGGTAGCTCTTCTGCGTACAGAAGTCTCTTTACTACGTAAGGCCAATGAGGGGCTTAGTAAGAGACGGAGGGCCAAAAAAACACGTGTGCGGCTTGGAGGGTCACTTACCGTACAAGAGGCACAGGACCTACTAGGTCAGAAAGCTGTGGGTGAGCAGATAGATAATCCAGGAAACACGACAAAATGGTGGTGGTGCGGGGGGGGCTCGCACGAAGATTCGGTGCTGTGGCCTGTGCGGCAAGCCTGGCCATAATGCACGCACGTGTTAGGAAGCTGGAGAATTGCCTGATTCATCTATTTCTGGTTCAGTTATTGCTATTTCCTAGTGTTGTGGTGGTTTAATTGAGGATAGTTGTGGTAGGTTGGTTAGAAATTCGCCGCTCGCTTATATTCGCCGCTCGCTTATAAAATACGTTACTGCGAAATGCCGCTTTGCTGTGTCGTGGTTGTATCAGGAAGGAGTGTGACGGCCTGCCTTACGCAGTAGGGATGTCAATGGTTGAAGGCAGCAACGAATGTGGATTTAAAGCTAAGGAAGAGAAAGGAATCTATCGCGGGGTCCGCGCAGGGCGCGGAGAAATAGGTGGTGGTGCTCAGTGCGCACAGGCCACACCCTAAGCACAATGCAGCCAATAGAATCAATCCTGTCACATGAGCCCTGTGGCGACCGTGACAAGGAGCGGCGTAGGCTCAGCGCCGCAGGCCAAGAGCGCCGCAGGCACTAGGGGTCCTACGGGGCTTGCCCGCTAGAAATCCAACAATTAGACCATGAACATCGAAATATTGAATTATTACGAGAGTTTGTTTTGGTGGTAGGATAGCTGTCAATCCGTTCTGGGTGGTCCGTACGGTACCTTTAACTTTCTAGCCAGCTCCCCCGCTAAAATAAGCCACTTTCCTCTTCAACCGCGTAATACAACTAACTTCAGTTAATCGCACGTACGATTTATCGCTTTCTAGCTATAAACAGATACGCCGAATACTTCACGATTATTATCCTACTAATCTCTACTAATATATTACTAGGAACGCCTGTTTTTCGAGCCGCCGCGATGGCTACGGTGGGGTCTCTCAACCGCAGCCCCCACGGCCCGATGCGCCAAATCCAGGCGGCCGTGGCCAGCCTCCAGACGGCCCGATCCTACTTAAAGAGACCCCGAACGACCGGATTCCTCCTGATAACTAGCACTTTATGAGGGCTTCTAAAATGCCTCAGCCACCCATTCCTTCGGGCGAAGCGAGGGCAGGCCGCCGCAGGCGCCGCCAAGGCAAAAACAAGAAAAAAAGAGGCTCCGTTCAGCTGACCCCTTCCTGATTAGTCAGGTAACCTATTTTATTGCATGTTCCGTTGAGAAAGCTGCTATCCGGGGTAATTGGCCGGAGTCTGCCGCGAGCAAACGGGTGTCTGGATACAGCTAATCAAGACTGCGAATCACCATTGACCGGTTGTACAGACTCTGCACGTAAGGGTTTGTGGCACTTCGGTACGCGTACGAGTCTACAAGATTGGAGGACGGCAATAATAACAGTAGATGCATGGAAAGTGCCAAGAACCCAGCAGCTCACCAACCAATACTGGACATGATGTACGTCCATGTTTCGGGTACGCAGGCCGAGCGGCCTCTGATGAAAAGAAAAGCCGGTGTGGAGTTCCGCCGCCCGACCTTGATCCCCAACATGCCGCCCTCCGTCCTTTGACCGACATCACCCCACCATGCTCGGAAAAATTGCGGCTCGCACAGTACCCGTCCAGCCCTGCCATCTCAAACTTGGTCCAGCAGCGACCGGGATTTCGGACTGTTAAGTTACCCCGAGCAACGCTGTCCTACCGAAGAAGCCGTTGCTTCCCATATTTCAAACTCTTACATCGCTGCTCCAGGCCTTTTTTGACACAACCTGCAGCCAGTTCCCGGGCGTATCATTTATCCAAATCCCTTGACTCCTCAATAAACCAGCGCCAGGCATCACCAACCCCGCCGCCCACGATGTCCGAAAACCAAGCCGCCTGGCTGCCCAAGAAGGGCGCCTACCCGCTCGAGGTCAAAGAAGCGCCCTACACGGCGCCGGGGCCGGGCCAGCTGGTCATCAAGAACGCGGCCGTGGCCATCAACCCGGTCGACTGGGCGATCCAGAAGCCCGGGATCCCGACCATGAGCTACCTCAAGTACCCAGCGATCCTCGGCGACGACGTGGCGGGCGAGGTGGTCGCAGTCGGGCCGGGGCCCGTGGGCGAGCTGTTCCGCGTGGGCGACCGCGTGCTCGGGTGCGCGGCGGGCCAGGACAAGCGGTGCAACGACGCCGTGCAGGGCGCGTTCCAGACGTACCCGGTCCTACAGAGCATCCAGACGGCCAAGATGCCCGACAACATCGCCTACGAGGCCGCCTGCGTGCTGCCGCTGGCGCTGTCGACGGCTGCTAGCGCGCTGTTCCTTGACGAGTACGTCGGGCTGGCCTACCCGACCAGCCCGCGCGCGGAGCCCAACGGCCACACCGTGGTCATCTGGGGCGCGTCGACCAGCGTCGGCAGCTGCGCCGTGCAGCTGGCGCGCAGCGCGGGGTACGACGTGATCGCGACCGCGTCGCCCAAGAACTTCGACTACGTGCGCAGGCTCGGCGCCAAGGCCGTGTTCGACTACCGCAGCAAGACGGCGGTGGCCGACATCCTGAAGGCGATCGACGGCAGGCCGTGCGCGGGCGCGGTCGCGCTCGGCGCGCAGTCCATGGGGCCGTGCCTGGACATTGTAGGCGCGGCGCCGGGCGTGACGGGCAAGGATGGAGCGAAAAAGCGCAAGTTCGTCACGCAGATCAGCGGGCCCGTCAACCCCGAGGCGCTGGCCGAGGCCACCGCGCTGACCTTTGTCGGGCTCATCTTCCAGTTCGTGTGGTTTGGGATTAGCACGGCGGTCCGCGCGCGCGTCCGGGGCGTCCAGTACAAGTTTGTGTGGGGTAGTGATCTCGTCGAGACGGACCTCGCTGCGCACATCTACAACACGTACCTGCCGGCTGCGCTCGCCAGCGGCGAGTTCGTGCCCGCCCCGGAGCCGCACGTCGTCGGCCACGGCTTGGACAAGATCCAGGACGCGTTCGAGTTGTGCAAGAAGGGTATGTCGGCGAAGAAGGTTGTCGTTTCTCTTTGACGTTGTGTGGATGGAGGAGGGTAATTTGTTTCATGCTGGGTTTAGGTTTTTGGATTTCATCTCCTTTCGGTGCTACGTTTTCGTTGAGATAGGTCCGTGGACTGTGGACATGACGAGTACCTTGCACAAAATAATTACACCATCAAACAGACCGGCGAGCTATCCTTCTTGACTTGCACTTGAATTGATAATTATGTAGCTACCTAGAACAAGTATCTGGCTTTCTTATACTCGACCTGAGCGGCCATGAAGGCATCGACGAAAGCGCAGGCGACTATCACGCTGATTCTAGTTGCAAGCTAGTAGTCAAGGTAAATCCAGTCAACCCAGTCAGTCCGGCGGGTAGCTTGAGGATAACAATTTTCCCCGAAAACCCGAATGCCTTTGGAAATCGGAGGCTGTGAATCCCCGCCTTGGAGACCCGTGGGCAGGCAATTCCTGGATAACTAAATGGTTGGAAGCGATTTCACGCAAACAGATAATGAAGCGAGTGCGAGTGCGAGTCGAGTGCGACTACATAATTGGCGAAAAAGGAAGAGGAACTCTTTTGCAGAGACCGTTAATACCAGCGACAAGTAATTGGAACTGTATACTTGAGTACGAGAAGCAGCAGAGAGAGCCGTCGCCCAATTCCAGACGCATTTGTCGAATCATGACCAAATAAGTTTTAATGAAATTGGTTCAGCAAATGCCGTCACCACAAGGCTTTTTTTCGGCTCTGAATTTATGGAATTCTGCTATCTGCTTACATAATGCGATGCTTTCAACCTACGCGTCACGCATCCTAATCCTTCGCCAAAGCGCGTCACCAGCCTCAATCGTCAACACTCACTCCACAGCCGCAATGCAATCATGGGCGCCGAAACAGGGTGCAACCGCGACATTATCATTTCCATCCACCCGCAACACGTCGCCAACATCGTCAGCCGGGCCAAGAACCACGAGTTCCGCAACTATCTGCTCCCGGCCGACGTGACGCGGTTTCTGATCTACGAGACGAGCCCCACGTCGGCCATCAAGTACATCGCCACCATCAGCCGCGGCAAGCGGCCGGGCGACATCCGCGACCCCTCGGGGCTGCGCAACGACGAGTTCGACGGCGGCCTCCTGGAGCAGCGCGGCGTCAGGTACGCCTACGAGATCCGCCGGCTCGACGCCCTCGCCACCCCAATCACTCTCGCCGACCTGAAGCGCAACGGCTGGCTCGGCGGCCCGCCGCAGAAATACTGCTTCGTGAACCAGCCCATGCGCGACGCGCTGAGCGCCGCGTCCCTGAGCCTGGTGTTCGATCGCACAGCCGTCGCGGCCGCAGCTGTCGCGTCGCCAGATGGCGGGGCAGGAGGCGATTTGGGCGCGCCTCCCGACGCGAAGCAGAAACCTAGCCAGCCACCGACAAGCCGCCGCCGGCGAAAGGGTGCGTCAACTCCGGGCGTCGCGGGATTTGACGTGAAGTTGCTAGGCGCGCCTGCACTGACGGCTTGCCAAGACCCTGCGGTTGCTCGACGGCCGACAAGCAGTCCCGCGGGCGGAGTAACAAAGCGGAGGAAGCCGCCCCCACCAACAGCAAAGCCAATAGCAAGTCGAGCGAAGCAAGGATTGCTGCAGAGCTGGTTGGAGGACTCTGCAAGCCAGTAATTAACACTGCGCAATCCCAATGGGGTGTGTCTGTCTGTGTGTCTGTGTCTGTGTGTCTGTGTGTCTGTGTGTCTGTGTGTCTGTGTGTCTTTGTGTCTGTGTCTGTGTGTCTGTGTGTCTGTGCGTCTGTCTGTGTCTGTCTGTCTGTCTGTCTGTGTCTGTCTGTCTGTCTGTCTGTCTGCCGGTCGGTCGGTCGGTCTGAGACTGGCCTCTGGCCCCTTGAAGAGCGCAAACTCAATTGGACTCGATGCCGAAATGGTATGATCCAATGCCCTGCAGCCCTAGGAAATGTCCTGCAACCTTCGCTCCAGGCCACTTCTGGGTGATTCCCTACGGATTCTTGGCGGCTGTCCACAACAATACTGGGTGTCAAAGTCCCGTCGCGGCGCTGAACCCACCGTGCCAAGACGTCTCACCTGGCGTGTGCGGGGCCGACATCTACGACTGCCGAGAAAGGACACCGGGCCTATGCTAAGCCGCCAATTGAATGTCATTTAGGCCTACATGGACCGAGTGGGGGGTCTGCATGTCAAACAAATGGCTGCTGGCTTGTCTAGTGGAACTGGCATTATCTGTCCGGCAGGTGGATCAGACAGCGTCGTAGGATTGTGATTGTGATAGACAAGAGGTACAGGACAGTCACCCCGGGCAACAACAAGTTACAAGCCTACGAACCTATTGCTTGGTAGTGTACCAACGCGTCACTCATCACAAAACCTCCTCACCCACTCAACACCTAACCAAGAGACTGGTAAACACCACCTAGGTTCCCCTCGGTGTCCTCAAACAACCGATACAGCCCCGACGCGCCCTCCTTCTCCGTGGCGCCGACCATCTTCCCGCCCGCACTTTCGATCGCCTCGCTGATCTTGTCAATGTCCTCGACCAGCCAGTAGATGCACACGCCGCCGTGGCCCGCGGCGAAGGCGGTGCCCGACGGCCGGGGCACGCGCAGGATCCCGCCGCCCAGGCCCACGTCGGGCCGGAAGTCGAACTGCCGGATCTCGTCGGCCGTGCTGCTGCCGTCGATGGTGGGCGTGTCTTTGAACTTCCAGCCGAAGACGGCCGAATAGAAGTCGTGGGCTGGGAAGGTGGGGGCGTCGGTGGATTAGTTTACGGGTGATTAGAGGTGGGGTGGGAGAGAGGGTGGTGTGTACCTCGCGAGACCTCGGCTGCGGCGATGCCAATCCATACGGGAGAGCCGAACTTGGGGGCTTTGTAGTCAGACATGATGTCGTTAGCGATAGAATGAAGCCCTGTTTGTTGAGAGAAGTGTGAATGTTATGTATTGTGCTTAGGCTGTTATCAGAGTGTCTGAAAGCCTTGGCTGTTAAACCTCCCGTCAAAGAGCAGGAAACCACCCACTTTTATGCCTCGAGAACGAGGGAGAAAATGCCATTGAATCTCCCATGGACAGGGGGACGGTTGACTCATTCCTCTGGCGCGGAGCTGTGATGACCCATCTAGTGATGTGGCTTGCAGGGCGGGGGGTTCACGGCGCGTGTCGACGCGAATCACGACTGAGAATTTTGAGGGATTGCATGATGGCTTGCACGTCGGGCGCGCGAGTGCACGTGAGCACGGGCACAACCTCCCACACCGCCCCTCTTCACGACTCAAATCGAAGCCGGTCAGTGCATGGCTGATGGCTCAATGGGGAAATGGTTGCGAAGGCAAAGTTCTTGGTACAGGCGTGCCCTGTATGCATCATTTCACATTTGTCACGGCTTTGCACACAGGCTGGGGTCGATTCGGCTTGCCCGCTGCCTGTCGTTAACATGCCACGGAATTTCTCCCGCTGCAAGGGGTGAATGCCTCCAGGGCAATTAGAGGGGGACTGACGAGCTTGAACGGAACCGTAAGGTGCGGGGCGGCACCGGGCAAACGAACTGGTATCGTAGAACATTCGTTGCCACTGAAGTGTGACCCTTTTTGGACCAAGGCTCTGTACGAAGATGCTAGAATCGTGAATAAACCATTGCCCATATCGGTAAAACTCAACTATCACACATATCGCCCCAAGATAGAGTCCGTAGGCACTTCACAGAAAGAATGACGGGCCTGGAAAGCGCCAGTGCTGGTTGATCTATTAATGTAATTAACGGCGTGCAGGTTCAACCTACACGCGGGTCCTAAAATTAAAACAGCCTGCCGCATCCTTCCATACGCCTGTACATGTGATGCTCCCTTCGATGCAAACACCTAAGCGTATAGACAGCCACCGTCGGCAAACATGTGAAATAGATCATGAATGTCGCTCAGGGTCTCGCCCCTAGGCCACAGGGGTAGATCTTGGCGCTCCTTTCGATGCGAGGACAGAGTGCATGCATCGGAAGACCGAGGCAGTTCTTCACCAGACGAGAGCGCAAGACGCTCTTCGAGCCGCCTGCCGTCTGGCAGCCTCCAACTTGTTGGCACATTTCGTGCTTCCACACCGCGACAACGCCGCTAATTGATTAGCGTGCATGATTAGAAGCGTTGCGCCTGTTCCAACATAGCTAGCGATAGTACTATGGTAGATATAGCTGGGACAATGCGACATCTGCGTGACCGCGACTACCTGCACCATAGTTACAGTAATTAGTAGTCGAATATCTGGCGGGTATCGCGGAATATAGAAGAAAACTGTGTCGTGGGCTTGGCAACCGTTGGTCGCGTTAATATGGTAATGTTGATATTTGACGGTATCGATGTTTCAGTGCTACCCATTCGGGAGACTTCGTCGTCGTCGTCGTTAGGAATTGGGGTTGCTGGTTCGGGCTCTTTTTTCTCTTTATTTCTTTTATTTTTTTTTATGTTTCATGCTAGTTTGACCGCGTTAAGTATATAGTTAAAGTTGATTTAATGGATTTGGTTAATCTAGTGAATTTGGGGGAGTATTGGAAGGAATGTGTAAGAAGACCCTTTCGTTAAATTGTAGAATTCTTGTTCTATTTGTATTTGCATCGGCTGATTGAGTTTAATACCACCGTACGGCGTGAGCCTTCTCGGTGTACGTGGCATCGGCAAATCCATGGTTGTGCCGAACTTTGACAGCTCTGGGCCGTTCAAAGTTCGGGTGTGTGGAGCGGAGCGGCCGGCATGTGATGCGCTAGTTGTAGCCGGATCCGAGAACCTTTCGTGTTAGACTGGCTTCCGCCGGGTATTGGCTTTTTTTCGCGACCAACTTTAATCTCCATATCGCGTAGGCCGTTACCTCGGTAACTCTGCAAGAATGCGTATATAAGGTAACTACGAGACGGCCTAGCCCAGCTCCCTCTTCCTTTCCCGCACCCACCGTCAGTCACGTTTCTGCCAGCCTCAACTCTCTACCAACATTTCCAACTTTTGATAGCACCTGTCTGAGACGACATGGTGCCCGCAATATTTTATCCCTTCCTCCGTTTGCCCCGCGAGCTGCGGGACATGGTGTGGGAGCAGGCGGCGATTCCGGACCAGCCGGCCGCGCACTTCTTTTCTTTTCGCGTCGATGGAATACAGAAAAATGACGATTCCGGGTTGTTTTTCGGTCTGTTCTCCTCAAAAGACATCTCGTGGACGTCCGGCTGGGACCAGTTGGGCTACGGGACATGCGTCACGGTCGCGAATACCTGCGCCGAGGCGCGCGAGTCCGTCGAGCGCATATACCGCAAGGCCGTAGTTCGAGCACGCCGGGCCGCGGTCAAGACGGGGGCGCCCGGCGCGGAGGAGGGAGAGAAGAACGAGTTTGGCGAGAAATTTGTCGGCGGCGGGCTGGGCTTGGCAGTTGCCAAGATGGACCGCAGCGACCGGGCTAGGTTCGGCAGCTTGCGGCGGCCGCTGATCCTCATGACACGGCCCGAGACGGATCTGTTCTGCCTAGAGCAGGAGGGACTGTGGTGGTGGCACAATCGCGACAGTCTTAGCCTCTTCATTTCTCACCTCTCCGAGAAGAACTGGGACGCCGGCAATCTCAACCACATCGGCCTCAAATGCACCGAGGGTGTCTGGGACCGTCGAGGGCGTCTTGAAGCCCAAGGCCACTACATGGTTCTTCTATTGTCGCTCTTCAGCGGAACCAGCAAAATGCCAGTGCCTGGTGGACACTTTTGGAAGCGATTCTGGTTCATCTACGGGGGCGTCAAGCGGGCAGCGAAAGCCGTCGAGCTGGACTACCGGAACAGGCACGTGTTCCGCATGCAGGGCGGCAACCTCGTCGAGCTCAAAAAAGGCGACGACGGCGAGCATGGCTGGCTGTTCGCGGGCGACGAGGCCGACGGCCGGGCCGATCTGAGGGCCCTTCTGTCTTGTAAGGGCAACGTAGACCGCTTCATCCGCCGCTATGATGGATACGCCGACGAGGCCCCAGATCCACGTGAAATTAAAAATGTCGAAGGCTGGTGGCCGAGGCTGGGCGTTCTTGTGCGCATCCCGGACTCCTTATGAACTCTGACCCTCCGGCATCGGGGCGGTTTTAGATTGGCGTTGTCGAGCTGCTAATTATCTAATTACACGAGCTGCTTTGCGGGCGAGGAAGGGGAGACGGCAAACAAATGAACCGAAAGCACCTTGTACTTACCACGAATTATTACTCAAATAACGGCCTGGCAGGTAACTATTGTGTGCCGATATCTGGAGTATTAACTAGTTCTATTTGTATCCCCTATATTTCCCGGCTGTTGCTTGCTGCCACGGCCTTTCTCGCACTAAATCCCCTCTCCTGAGTCGAAAATCGTGTATAATCCTTCATCTAAGCGCAGTGGTATATCGATATTTTGTTTCGAAAAGAACAAGGAAAGAAATAGACGACCTCCAAACGCCACGCTTCGTATATCCTCTCTCCCCAGTCTCACCCACACAACACACTCCATCCAATCAACGAAACAGCTTCCGCCGCTCAATCTTCTCGCCAATGGCAATAGCCGTCCTGCTCGTGCGGCCGCTGACACGCAGCACCCACAGGCGCAGCGCAGTCGTGACGGCCATGAGGGCCCAGCGGTCGCCGAGAGCGCCCGACGCGCCCGAGCCCCGCAGCTCGAGTGAGAAGGCCTCGCGGAGCGATAGGGCGCCGCTCCAGCCCAGCACCGCGACCGTCTCGCCGTCATGCTCGTCGACGGCACCTTCGGCGAGCCGCACCAGCTTGAACCCGCCGGCGACCTTGGTGGCCTCGCACCCGCTGCCGCTCCTGCCGCGCCAGCTGTCGGCGCAGAAAACCTTGCACCACGCAAACTGCTCGCGGCGGAGCGGCATTGCGGTCTTCTCTCCAGAGCGAGGATATGCAGGAGTCCCGACCTCGACGGCGAAGCGGAACACGACCCCGCCGCCCGCCGTCGTCGACGCGCGCATCAGCTCCGTCACGGGCCCCGCGCCCGCGCCCAGCATTCCGGGCAGCGCTTCCAGGTCAACGACGAGGGCGGCGCTCCTCCCACTCGGACAGCACGGTGGCGAGGGCAGCATCGCGTGCGCCGGCATCAGCACCAGGCTGCTGAGGTTGAAGGTGCACGCGACGGCGGCATCGTCGCCGGCGGCCGCAAGCACAGGACCGGCACCGCCCTGGTGGCGACAGGGTGTGTTGTGCAAGTTGTTGTTGCCGTTTGGTGATTTGGATGCCGATGCATTGTGGTGGCAGCGCCGGCTGTGGCCGTGGCCGTCGCGCAGCAGCAGCCCCGGCCGCGCGCCCAGGGGTGCGCGGCTGCGGCACCCCGACACCATTTCCACCGTGTACAGCACGTCATCCTTGCCACCCGGCCCGCACAGCTTGACCGTCAGCAGGCTCGCGAAGCTGAGCTGGTACACGTAGTAGGCCTTCATGTGCGTCGGGAACGGACGTGGGCGCTGGTTTTGAGCGGCGGGGACAAGGACCGGGAGAGGAGTTGTTGGTGTGTGGAGGGTCGTGGCGTGGTGGAAAGCTAGCAGCGGCTGCTCGTCGTCTTCGGCGTGGTGCATGGCGGCTTTCTCGACGTCCGCCATTGCGGGCTGCTGCGCGTCAATGTCGGCGTCGTTGCTGGGGCGGGGACGGAAACGGGGGTGTAAGCGCCGAAGTAAGATTGTATCAATGCCCGGCTCTCGAGGCGCGAAAACGAAAGATCACTAATTGACTTAGTGAAGGAAACAGGCGCTTTGCAGAGAAAAAGATTCGCAGTTCCCGATGGGTTTTAGTGCACGTCCAGGCCACTGATGTGCCCATAAAAGTTTGGCGTTGGCTCTCTTTTTTCCCTGTCGCGCCGCTTCGTTGGCCAAATTCGCAGCGCGGCGAGGTGTTTCACGGCTCCTTCGCTGCTGACAGCCAGAAAATTGTTGGCTGCGACAGCGGCCCACCCACCAAACCAGTGCCGCCCGCGAGAAGGCCGTTGGAGATGACGGAATTGTTATGTAAAAAAGTCGTCTCTGGGTCAATTGCAATGTCCAACGCATTTTTGGGTTGGCAATTCGGGGTAATTGGCTCCTTTTATTTCAGCCCCTTTATTTTCTTTCATTTTTGGTGGCACCTCCTCGCATCACGCCCGCACAAATGCCCCGCCCGTCAAGTAGTCGCGGCAGCGTTGAAGCGGCTCAATGACCTTGCGAAGCATCTCGTGCCGCCAGCGCTCCGGTAAGGTGCTCCGGTTGCCGCCAAGACACCAGGCCACGGCGTCGGCATAGTCCGGGCCGGCCTCCTCGTTGACTAGCCGCTGCCAGTCGCGCGCCGCCATGATGTCGAAGACGGCGCGCTCCTTATCGTTGCTGCCCGCCGGCCACCGCTTGCGGCACGGCTGCTCGGCGAGTATCTGGCCAAAGCACAGCTCCAGCAGCATGATGCCCAGGTGGTCGAGCGCGTCGGTGAAGCTTGTCGCCGCGCCACCACCAAGATCAATGGCGGCCGCCTGGCCCTCGGTGAGGCTGTGGCTCCTCTGGAACTCGCGGCTGATGTGCGGCTGGTCGAGCAGGAACAGGTTGGGCTTGCGGGCGTCGCCGAGGAAGTGCACGTCGGTGGTGTGGAACGACGTCGCCGGCAGCCATGGCGAGTCTAGCAGCTGCAGGAACGACGATGCCATCGTCAGCGACAGCCCGTACCTCTGCGACCGCGACGGCACCGGGTCCACCTCGCCCCGCAGGATCTGGTCTAGAGATAGCGACCGCACCTCGCTGGCACTGCGACGCGAGATGGTGTGCACGTAATACCGGCAGTCGTCCGACACCACGTACCCGCAATATGACCCTTCAATCCTATCCAGCGACGTGCACAGGCTCGAGATGGGTGGGGCCATTCTCAGGCTCGGGCTGGTCTGCGCGCGGGTGAGCGTGACCGAGGGAGGGGGTCTGCAGTATCGTTGTCAGCGTTCGTCCAAAATAGGTACTTCAGGTGGCCAGAGCTTCAATAAGAGTGGGAGCAGACAAACCTGAGCAGCTCGACACACGTCGCCGATGTCGTGGTGTTGAGCTTGGCCCGGAACGCCGACTTTGTGGGGCGGCTCCGTCTGTGGTCAGGCTTGGAGACGGTGAGGTTCATGTTTTGGTGTTCGAGCATCGTGACGTTCTCTCTCTCACTCGCCTCTGCTGTGCCACTGTCCTGCGATATCCGCGTTTGGTACAGCTCCAGCCTGGACGGGCTGGACAGGCGGGTTGCTGTGAAGATGACCTGAAACTCGTGCTGCTTGGTGGTGCGGTGCTGTAGCAGCAATCTGGCGCCATGGTGCTGACAACTGCAAACCCATGCCAATGCCAGCGCGCGGAAGAGGGTGCGTGCCTGGATCCAGAAGTTGCAGATCGCCGTGTCTATGGCGGTCAGTTGTCCCACGGCCGTTCTCTGCTGCGTCAAGCGCGTGTCCTCGTCGCTGGAGTCGAGCAGCTTCTCGAGCTTGTTGTTGTACTCCTGGAGCTCGCCGAAGAGGCGCCTGCGAACGGCCTCGTTGTTGCTGAACTTGAGCCGGTACAGCTGAAAGACGAGTTTTTCTCTGCTCATGATGGTTTTTGGCCTGCTTGCGCCGGCTGCGGACTTCTGTGACCATTGTGTGAGCCATGTGATCTTTCAACCTGAGTGAGCTAAATAATTAGCATCGGGGCGGTTCTCATGTTTAGCCTTACCGACGTCTTGATCCCGTCCTGGATGGCGGCCGAATCGACAGCAAGCTCTTGGTTGATGTCGGCCATGACGCGTTTGATGCCCTTGATGTACTCAAAGTACAGCTCATACGAGTCGCGGAGGCGCTTTTGGAGGAGTTTGGCAATTGCGTCGTCCCTCCAACTGTCACCGCCTGGTGCTGAAAGTAGTTCGGCGATCTTGTCGTCGTCGGCCACCAGAGGCAGCAGGAGCTGTCTCAGGTGCCGTGTGAAGACGAGCTGGTGGAACTCGAGGTCGTCGCGCCATCTCTTGTACTCAAGCTGGATTTTAAAGAAGACGCCAAGCCTGGTTGCAATCTCGCGGTACTTGTCGAGGGCGGTGATGGCGATGGGGAAGGCTCCGAGCACCAAGCCCGCAACTTCAAAACCCGACATTGCGCCTTGCGCGACCAATTCGTAGGCGAGGTGGGCGCGACCAGGAATGGAAGTCGGGATGGAGATGGGATGACGGGGAAAAGTCGGCAGAGTTGAGTTCGTTCGGACGTTGGGCAAGCGCAATGGGTCGTTTTGGGGACTGGATTGCAGTGGGACACAGCCCCTTCTCCATTCACCTCGCGCAGACCTCATGCAGGCCAGGCCAATCGCACCGCCTCAAACACTGTGATCGGGGGAATGCCGTGCGGGGTAATCAATCTAGAGTGTTCCGCAGCCTGACCTGAGTCCCAGACCTGACCACCTATCTAGGAAGGTCCGAGGGAAGCAACATCCTTTTCTCAACCTGTCGACCTCGTTCTTTCCACTTTCCATCCCGATCGCGGCCAAGCTCAAAGGCCCTCCCTCACCCTCGCCTCGCCGTGGGGGCTGCAGCCGCCATGCCGAGTTTTCCTCCAGGCCTCACCATCTCGGCCAAGAGCCAGCACGTGCGGCAGCGCTTTCACCACTTGATATCCATCCTGAAGGGGAGGGAGCAGCATGGCGTCTCGGTCGTCATCCCCTCGGCTTCCATCACCGACGCTCTCGAGAGGTTCACCCTGTGGGCTGGAAACCTGGGAGCACTGCGGAACCCTCAAGCCAAGATGTCGCTCGATTACCGGCTCAGTGTTGCCAAAGCTGTCGATGTGCGCACGCAAATTCAGCGCCAGTTGGATGAGATGTCCGAGGCAGTAAAGAACCGTAAGCCTCCCTCCACCCTTTGTGATTATCCGACCGCATTGTGGCAATGGTGAAATCCTTACCTTGTAGGCTTATACGAATTTGACTGTAGTGGGAAATATGACATTTGGAGTCGTGCCCAACCGAGACTTGTCGTTTGACGACGACGAGCTTGCCGAATTTGTGCTTGTCGAAGACGTCTCTGTGTCAGGCAGCGAAGCCACCGGAAAGCCGGCTGATGAGGCGAACATGATCCTGGAAATCATCTCTGAATGCATCAAGTCTCTCTTTCGTATTGGCATTGTGGTGCGAAAATCAGCCCCTCGCGACAGATTCCAGAGAGCAATGCAGCTTCCCGGGCTGGCCTTCCCCGCCGACTTTGACATTGACTACGTCAAGCAAAAACACCCCAAGGTTGTCTCGACTGGGTTATCTGGACGGCTTGGCGGCGCCATTGCAAAACGAAGACAGTTCATCAAATACTCCAGGGACCACAAGTCCCGTCTGGGGGCTGAAGATCGCCCCAAGGATGAAAAGGCCGTCGATGTGAATCTGGAACTTCATTCTGTCGCCACCGACCTCTTGTCCAGCAAAGCTACGACATTTGACCCAAGCAAGACTGGCGAGGCCAACTTTGAAGATGAAGGAGAGGAATTCAACGATGCAATGTCCATCAAGAGTGCCTCAACAATAACCGAGGCACTATCTGTCCTGAAGCTGCCTCGCCTGGCCGACCTCGCACCCGACGATGAGCCGTTCGAGTGCCCCGTGTGCTTCACGCTGCAGTCGTTTAAGCATGAGAGGTCGTGGCGATCGCACGCCCTGCGCGACCTCAAGGCATTCGTGTGCACGCTCGGCGGCTCGGATTGTGATGCCGAGTTCTTTGTAGATGCCGAGTCCTGGTTCGAGCACGAGCTGAAGCAGCACAGGGCCCAATACAAATGCGTCCTCTGCAGCCATGGTCCAGTTCCAGCCAAGGCATTGGGGGAACACATCACGTCGGCTCATGGACCGTTTCCGGCAGACCAGCTCGGCATGCTCTTGGAAGCTGGACAGCAAGCCGTCACCAAGTTCAAGGCAAGGGATTGCCCGTTTTGTGACGACTGGGCAAGCGCCCTTGCAAGGAAGACAAATCTAGAGGGAAAGCCGGGGACACCGGCAGAGGAAATATCTGTTACTGCTAGTCGGTTCAAGAGACACGTCGCGGCACATCAGGAGCAGCTGGCTATCTTTGCACTGCCCCGGGCGACTGAAGAACCGGGGTCGTCACGCCAGGGCTCGACTGCCTCTTCTCAGAGCACCGAAGAGTCGGTTCGTGAACAAGAGACGAACAAAGCGAACATAAAGTCTTGGTGGCAAGACATTGAGGCCAATCCGCCACAAGCCGAGCCTTCGCAGCCCGAGCCTGCCATCTCTGCAATACCCGCCCTTCGCCTTCCAACCCCAATCGCCGTCGCGGCATCCGAGCCGGAGCTATCACGTCAGCCTCTGGTCCCTAATATTCCTGCACCAGAACTCGGGCCTCAGCTAGCAGGACAGAGGCCTTTTTCCGTAGTCCCAGTTCCACGTAGGCCGCTAGCCAGGGTCTCAAAAACGGCGCCACCGCCAAAAAGTCCCCAGGGAGTTCCCTACTATGGAATCGACTCAAATCCCATCCCAGCAAGACCCCGTCCACCAGTGAAGTTCTATGAGAAAGCGCCAGAGCTACAAAGTCCCAGGGAGACTTCCTACTATGGGGACGGTCCAACCGTCACTCCGGCAAGCTTGCGTCCTCGGGCTATTACCCAAAACCGACCCACCAGCTACTATGCATCATTACGGCCACCGTCAAATTTGAGATTCTACGCTCAGCAACCACAACCACCCCCACAAACATCACTCGATGAGGATAGTGACTTTCCCAGACAAGTCTACCCAATGCCGCCGAGTTCATATATGCCACCGCCGCCAATAGAGTATTTCTCTATGAGGCCCCTCCAATCGAGGTTTCGAAATGGGCGGCCTACAGGCATGGCTTACTATCCTCCTCCTACTTTCTCCTCGTATGACGATTCTGATGTCAACTTATCTCCCTTATCTCGAAGACCGTCTGCGGCTTCAACCAACACGGACAGTCAAGTAATGCCTCCGCCGCCAAGACCCAGCTCGGCAACAGACTTTCGCTCACTTCCGCTTGATGCTTACGATGAAGTCGATCGCTATGAGTATGATCTTGCCTCTAGACCACAACGGCTGTCCCAAGACCAGCCATCCGGCCTAAGAGTAGCTGTTGGTATGAACGAAGGCGCCAGGACAGCCATGTCGCCCCCGCCCAGGCCGAGTGCGCCAATGGGCTACCGTGACCTGCAAATTCGTCCCCCGCCAGTTCCACCATCTGGTGTGAATGAATATAAACACTACCTGCAGTCCTTACCTTCCTCTAGACGACAGAGGCAGGCCGATGACCTATCAGTAGGGCAGAGTATTGCCCCACGGCCGCGGCCACGGACTACAAGAGACCCTCTACCATCGGTCACCTACCAAGGAAGCGACTTCGTGACTCAAGTCGCTGGGACCGGTACCAGGACACGGCGGTTAGCGATATACTATGGCGACCCAAACCCGTCACTAACCAACCCGGATTCAACTCGGCCGCTGCCACCCCCTCCCCTGACGGCGGACACCCTGCGGAAAGCCGCGAGAGGAGAGAAGGCATCTGATGCCGTCGTCGTTGACGTTCGTAGGGAGGGCCGGCGCAAACCTGTTGGGCCAAAGGAGCGGGAAGAGCACATGAAATGGCTGCGGCAGGAGCAGGAAGAGCACAGGGAGCGGCGGTCGGCCGCAGCAGGAGACAGCGCCGGAACGGCCGCCGACGGCAAGCAACAACGCCGCGTAAGCCCCGCCTCACCAACGCGCAGCTCCGGCAGCCGGGGCGAGGATGACGGCGCCAAAAGCAGGTACACAGCCTACCCCGATCATACGACGCGGGGATCGAGGGCCTGGAACCCCAATGAACACAATAACGACGACGAAGATGTTACCATCCGGATCACGGGAAACACAGTGCTACGGATCGGCGACACGGAGATGAAGGTTACGGACGGCGCCGAGATCAAAATCCCCAACTCGCAATTGTCGCCGGGGATGCAGGCTGGCGGGACGGAGGTAGACACTACCAAGAAGTCTGGCCTGCACGTCGATCCAAGCGACAGCGCCAAGGACCTGCTAATCACCACTAGCGCTCCACAGCTAACGATCTCTGAGACCGCAGGCTCTTACTCCCGCCAATCCCCCGCGTACGACAGAGATTCGATTATTCCCCCTTATCCTGTTTATCCAACTTATCCGACGGAGGGTTATTTTTAATCACAGTTGCGAGACTTGGTGTTTGGGATAAGTTAACTAACCCAGATTTGACCAGGCCCTACATTTGGCCCATGCGCAAGCCACCATGCACTTACACCAAGGGTGATTGACCGATTTTTCTTCATCACACCGCAACTTCCTCAAAACAAGACCAAATTCTTCCATTTCTTGGTTAATCGAGAGCTCAATCAATCCTCTATTTACCATGCCTGAATACGACGAATTGGAGATGCTGACCGCGATGAAGTTTGTGCGAGACGGCGGCAGTGTGCGTCAGGCGGCAGCAAAATATTGTGTGCCGAGGAGTACACTTCGGCACCGGCTGGCCGGCACAAAAGCCCGTTGCATTGCGTTTGAACACATGCAGACTCTAGATAAGCCTGTGGAAGAGCGTTTGACCGAGTGGATCGTCATGCAGGGTGCCCTCGGCCTGCCTCCTACGCATGCGCAGGTTAGGGAATTCGCCCGCCGGCTGGCCCGGGAGCTCGGGAAGCCTGACGAGATCGGGGTGAAGTGGGTGCGGCATTTCATGGCCCGGAACCCGACCATTAGGACCCAGAGAGCACAGCGGATCGACTCGGTGCGCCTCAACGGAGCTACGAAGGCAGCCGTGATGGCCTGGTTCGAATACCTGGCCCTCCCGGTTATTCGGGGCATCAAGCCCGAGCACCGTTGGAATAAAGATGAGACAGGCGTTCTTGAAGGCCAGGGTTCCAACGGCCAGGTCATAGGAAGCTCAGAAAACAAGGTGTTGATGAAGGAACAACCCGGATCTCGCAGCTCGACTACCTTCGTGGAATGTATCTCTGCAACTGGCCAGTCCCTACCTCCTGCGGTCATTATGAAAGGAAAGACCGTTCAACAACAACACTACCCAGAAAAGCTCAAATGCTTCGTTGGTTGGCACTTCACAAGCCAGGAAAAAGGCTGGATTGACGATGCAAGGGCATTGGAATGGCTTCAGAAGGTCTTCATTCCTAGGACCCGGCCAGCCAACGGAGAAAAACGACTACTTATTATTGACGGCCACGGCAGTCATACCACCGATGATTATATGTGATCATGCTTCCAAAACAACATCTACCTTCTTTATTTATCTCCACACGCTTCTCATGTTCTTCAACCTCTCGATTTGACTGTCTTCTCAGTCCTGAAGAGGGCATACAGGAAGGAGCTCAATAGCAGGCCGACGTTATCGCACAGCACGGTTCTAGGGCGCCGGCTTATGTTGCTTTGTTATTTCAAAGCCCGGAAAACCGCATTTCAGCCCAGCAACTGCAAGGCAGGTTGGCATGCCGCCGGGTTGTGGCCTGTCAACAAGCAAAAGCCCCTGCGAAGCAAGTTGTTGCTAGAAAACAGGAACCAAGGCACCACAAATATAGCTTCATAGGCCCTGGAGGAAGCCAGGTCATTAGCTTACCTGCAGCAACAGGTATATGATAAATACGGCGTCTGGAAGACTCCTCAAAAGGTCACGGAGCTCACGGTCTCCCTGGCGAAATTGAACATACATTCGGCGGCTCGCCGCACTCGCCGTACGCTATTCAGGAAGATCGAAAAGGCATTCAACATCAAGGACTTCGAATTGGCTAAGCTACGACGTGAGAATGAAGCTCTCAAGGCCGAAATTGAGAACAAGAAAGGCAGCAAGAAGAAGAAGGTCCAATTGAGCCCGAATTCCAAGTTTGCTACGATTGAGGACATTCGCAAGGCACAGAGGGCAGCTGGGCGCGATATTGACAGTTCAGACGAACCAGAGGGCTCGGAAGATGAAGGAGAAGACGAAAGTTGCATTGTAATTAGTTGATTTGACCTTTTCTATAGCTTCAAATGTCATGCGTTGCGTTGTGTAAGTGCGGGCGGCGCCCGGGCCAAAAGTGGGGCCTGGCCAAATCTGGGTAAGCTAACTTAATAGATAGAAATGTAGGGCATACCTTGCCTAATATAGATTGTTCCTTGCCCCCCCGAAACCCCAAGTCCCGTGTATATTTATTTCACTAGCCGAAAATTAACTTCATATTCTCGCTATAAATCGAATCAAACTTTACGTTAAATACAGCGGGAATAAAAATTAGCTATCAATTAACTGAACTTTATGTCCTTTATTTACTATAGCTTGTGGAGTGTTTTCCATTACTTTTTATTCGCTTGTTACTGACTTGTAGAATGTGAGTTGGCTTATCATTCTAGAGAAGGAAGGAAAGAGAGGTAGGACCTAAATAAAAGTCTCGTATGCGCATGAGAGATATCATGTGTACAAACGCACGGACAACTATATCTCGTCGGAATGGTGTCTCGTGTGAGGGCCTGGTCCTCCAGGCCTCCCAGACGCTCTGACTAATCAGACGCCAGTTGGGTGGATCCACCCGACCAGCCAGAGCCCCACCTTGAGACGCCCTGGAAGAATCTCGCGAGGGGAGGCTTTTGAGCTTCTTTTCCCTTTTCCCTTTAGTTTAGAATCTTCGTCTATAGCGCCCAATAGAGGAGTTCCGCCCTCATTCCAAGCCGGCCGTGACATCTCGCTTGGAATCTCACACCTCGTCGCATCTCGGTACAGGTCTCGGTTTCATGGCCTTGCTGATTGCACGCAGCGCCCGATATATTAGCAATCGGGCTGGTAATGCAGAGAACTGGAAAGATTTTTAGCTGTAGGTTTTATTTTATTTTTTATCTCCCCTGTCTTGGGATATGTAGGGATATGTAGATATGTGACTTGATAATGTAGCTCAAAAGTAGCTCAAAAGTGGGCGACACATGAGGTCCACGACGGAGAGATACAAGGGCAGTCAGTCATTGTCGCGATACGGGGCATAGCCAAGAGAGGCGGCGGAGTGGCCTGCTTACCTGCGTGTACTTTTCCTTCGCCAGGCCTTGTTAATCAACGTGGAGGAGTTCATTGGCGCGGGTGGGCAGCGTCGTCGCTGGTTTCCCGGGGAGCAGGACTCGCGGTTTAGTGGTAGCCAACGGCGAATTATCTAATTACACCTTGTCACACTCATCCATTTTAGATAGGCTAAATACTACCGTAGAGCTTTTACTATTACAATGGATAGATACCTTAGAGTTTGAAGACATGTTCTTAAAGAGGTCGTGAAGCGGTGAAAAGGCGCTACAACATAACAACAACAAACATAACACTAAGATGGGCTGCAGACGAGCTGCAGACAAGCCTTACAGAGTACATGTACAGGAACCCATAACCGGGCAGCCAATATAAGAAAAAAGGAATTACTGCGTACAATTTACTGCGTACACTGGTCTGGGGATATCAATTCATGGTAAAAGACGTGATTTCTAAAGAATGGCTAGAAAAAGAAGTCAAAGAGCGATGCCGGCCCTCTAATGGTATGAGGTAATTAGGCAGGGCGAGAAGAAAAAGGAAAAAGAGTGCACTAGATTACATTGGGTAAGGGTGTAAACAGCCCCCTTATTACCTGGCCCTTGAAGCCCTAAGTAATTATATTAACGTTTAATTGTCAGTCGGATAAGCGGGTTCTAGCCATATGAGCTACGGAAATGCCTGGTCTGAGCCAAGTGCTTCAAGGAAGCGCCTTTCAAATGACGGAAAAGGCGTTAAGGACGGCTTGCCGTTCACGTATGTACGCTTGGGGAAGGGACATCTAGGGCAAGAAGCACTCGAGGGCAAGAAGCAAGAAGCAGTGACTTGAATGGTAATGACGCTACTCGTACCTGCCTGCCCAAAGATTGCCACGCGTAAATACCACGAGACGAGACAAAACTGACAAGCCTCTCGCGCGTCCCCATCTTCGTGATCTTTTTCTCTCTTTAGCAGACCAGCATATTCACTAACATTGTAACTATGTAGAAAAGAGACCATCCACACCGCCACCACCACCCTACGCCACCACGTCGCTCCCACGATCCGCGCCAGAGAGCCCAGTGCCAAGCTGCCACCAACCAGCCGATTGGCCGCCCGATGACGACGACCACGATGTGGTCACCACCCCTCCGGCCGCCGAATGCTAGCTGCCCAGAGCAGCCAGGAGCGATTTTAGCCACCCTCGAGCGGCATAACGACATGAGCCTGACTGGCCCTGAAAGAGCGGCACAATGAGACAAAGCTGGGCATGAAAGAGCGGCATCACCAGGAATCGCTGCCCGTGCTTGGGGAATCTCGGATCCTGACATGCCTGTGCTGATGTCTCTAACGAAACCCTAAATATTGACTAGCGGGGGGCTTTCCAAGATTTGAAAGGCCTTAATACTCTACGAGCTCGCTCTGAAGGTTTCTCGCCGAGGGAGGTAAAATCCGTCAGAACCCCTGTTTTAGAATCTTAGAGGCTTATCTCTTCACCAAAAAGACACATTACCCCGAGGTTTTCCCCAGCCGGTTTATTTGCTGGGCTATAATATTTATTTTCCCCAGGTATTCCGTACCACGCTAATAAATATTCGGGGATTGAATTATTTGGCACACAACAAACCTGACGGGGCACGGCTACCGATTCGTCCGGCCCCCTCAGCTCGGGGGCCGCGCTGCCTGCAGTGCTGACATGGCAGCAAGATGATCCGGAGCGCGAGGTGCGCCACTGTCGCATCGACCTGTCCTTGCTTTCTTTTCGTGCCCAATCGCACACCCCATAGACCAATTTGCCACAGCGCTGCGGCCGGCCGGCCTTATTGTCAAGGTAAGTTCGACCGCGGACCGTTGCATTGGTCGTCGGCCGGGTCATCCTCTCCTTGCCAGCTGCCAGTTAGCTGCTTCTGATCTGGTACGACTAGCAGGCTAGTTCTAGACTTGGTCGGCGAATTCCCGAAGGGGTGGTATTGGTTGTGTGAGAGGCCGGAAGTAATGTCTATATAGCGTATGAAGGACCCCGAGGGAATTTCCCGGCCTGTCAGACTGCTAGTCCACGCCCTCCCGAGACAAGACGCTACAACCCGCGTTCACAACCCCTCGGAAATTTGACTCGACAAAAAAATGCAGTTGTCCAAGCTCCTCGTCGTGGTCCTCCACGCCTCCGCCTCCGCTGCCATCTGGTGCGGCTACACCGCGCCCGTGAGCTCCCCTTCACACATATATCCACTGGGGACTTGGGAGCTGACGATCTTCGTTAATTACTTGCCAGGGCGGCGGCGCGGCCAACGGCGTCTGCCAGCGCGAGTGCAAGGGCGGGTCTTCGTCGCTGAACTGTGTCGACAGCTACGTGAGCCACCCACCACATGCCGATGGGGATCCTTGTCTGAAACTGATTGATGTCTCGATTTGCAGTGCCAGGTGACGAACGTCTGCAAGTGCATCTGCCATTATTGAGGATCTTGAGAGGGTCCGTTATAGGACGGGACGTCGCCATCCTGGGATAGGACGCCGTCACCACGAGATAGGACAACGATGACATTAGCTTACTGGGCCCCTAGAGACCGCTAGACAATATACTTGTTATATCCTGTACTTTTTAACCTCCAGAATGTCTAGATAATTAGTATAGCACAACTGACGACGGTGCAGCTGTCACTGTTTGCATTAACCAAGGAGAAGAACCAACACAGCAAGACCCCCAACGATACACGCCACGAAGCCTAAACAACAAAGCACCGCCAGCTTACCGTGGACCATCATCCGGTACATCTTCCATCTGGTGGAGGTTACCGGGAAGTGGGGAAAAGAGACTTTAACAATACTTTTCGTACCCAAACTTTAGATCATCGAGTGGCGTCAAGGTTCGACACAGCCTCGGTAATGCTTGTAACCTCTGCGGCTGACACTCGCTTCATTAAGGAGCCGGTGCGGCTACAAAAGAGAACAAGTTCCTGCGAGTAATTTTTGAAGTCTCTTCAAGCCTCGACCTGGATCTCAACCTCCACCACACACAGAATACATAGACGCGGACCAGGCACGGGCTAGTCCGTTGAGGGATTTGAACCCCTTAAACAAAGCTCACCGCAGCACAGGTCGCACATCCAGCCCCAAAATGTCTTCTTCGGTCTGTACGGCTAGCATATTTAACACTTCAATGCTGTTGAATACTATCAACCAGATAAACACGAACAACAGACGAGCAGCGGCATATAGACAACCAGTACCAATTAACAGACAAGCAGCAGAGAACTCAGCGAGCAAAAACAGGGCGAGGAACCACAAGCAGAACAAAAATGACACTACACATGGTATTAACGCGAACCGACGGCGACCACCCAAAGCTGGGCGGCAGGCCACCAAAAGTGCTCCGACTACCACGCACGACAGGCCTGACGGCCAGCGCGGGAATCGGTGGTTGGGAGCCAAGTTTGACGAGTGGTACATGCCGCCTGTCGCGGAAAACCCGGCGTCGAGAGCACGATCCCGGCGCGCTCCCACAGTCTCAGAATACCGCCACACCGAGCATGGAGGCCCCGTCGACTTTGTTGCTGCCGCTCAGCACAACCTCGCCTACAGGCGCATGTACCACTTGCCAGAGTCTGTACTGATCGCCGTGATACGACTTCTCGATGCCGTCAGCTTTGAATGTCTCCGCCGCACCGCGCGGCGATTTCTACGCCTCGTTTATGTCTGCCGCGGCGCGGTCATGGCAGGCTTCTATCCCTGGCCCGTGTCCAAGCCACTGGACCTCGCCCGACGCCAGGATCTCCTGTACATCCTGGCTAGGGACGCATACTGCGCCGACTGCCGTGCGGCTCGCTGGGCACGGAACTGGAGAGCCCGGGTCTTAGCAACCACTAGGGCGTATCTGCACTGCTCGGCCTGCCGCTGTGAACACCCGGCGTGTTTCTTCACGCCTCAACAACGCACAGCTTGCCGGGCGCGACGGACCTGCGTTGGCAAGACAGGCTACGTCCGACTGTGCACCCACGAGACGGTCTCGTGGTTTCAGCTGCAGGCCGTGGCCCAGAAGAACGAGCCCAACACCACCGTATCATATGTCCTCGCTCAGTGCAGAGACAAATCCCGCGCGCGCCCCTGTCGTCAGCCATGGACATCTTCATTCTCGGCCGCCAACTGGATGCCGGCAAAGCATCCCGCGCAGCCCACGCTCTCGGTAGAGATCGACCCAAGCAAGCGCACACTCACACTCGTCCTCGCCTGGAGCCCGCACTTGGAACTCAGGCGCCCCGGCGGCCCTGCACTCACACCGCGGACGCTGAACGAACGCCTGGCCAGCCTCCGCGAACAGCAATCCCGCTTCACCTGCCCCGAGACCACGCCCGGGCTCAAGGTCGAGCGGCGGCTCTTCGACCCCAACGGATGCGACTGTCTGCGGTTCCCCGGTCTCGGCCAGCTCGGCAGAGCCTGGACGCGCTCCCCCGTGGCTGCCAAGTACAAGAGAGTCATGGCCTCCCGCCCCGACTCGGCCGGCTGTCTCTTGGACTAGTCTAGCACCGTCACGCGTCTTGCGGCTCTGGTGGGCGCGCAGCAGCAGCAGCAGACTGACAAGTCGACCCGCTGCCGCCGCTTAGAAACAGCATTGGCTGCTCAACATGCCGCGCGAGTGCGATCCCTGCACAGCCGCTACGATAGCAGCGTGACCGCTTTGCCCTGGTACGAAAAAAGAAATATCCCCTCTCCCTGGCATTGCTGCCAAGTTTGCTAAACAAAACACCGTGGTCTTTCAATATCATGCAGCCGACGAGGTGGCGAGTGTCTGCAGCTCAACTACTGCACACGAGTGCAGCTCAGAGAGGGGTCCAACGTCAAGCTCGCGCGCTTGACGTGGGCCTGGTTCATGGCCATCGACCCGGAGTCGTATCGCATTACGGAGGACATGGACGGCTTCGGCGTCTACTGGTGTCGCGACAAGGCGTGCCGAAACTTTTGGCAGTACACGCAGTCGCGGCTAAGGCCCTTCTTTTCCGAGCACGACTGCTCGCGTGCGTGTCCAGAAGGCAGGCACTAATAACAGGCTTTTTCTTCCTATTTTTCGAAGTATGATAGGTAGGAACTGGAGACGCAATTAAAGAGAGAAATGCACGAGGACATGATGCAACTGTTGCGGCTTGGGGGTGTTAGGTAGGGCTGGCCAGTCTATGGCTGTGTCTGGGAAATGAGGCGAAGATAACGGAACTAATCCCTGAGGCTGCTCAGGACAACAATTATTAGGACCTTAACGGCCAAGCACGAAGCTAATGTCGTAAAAATATTATTCGGCCAAGAAGAAAAAGAAAAACAAAGCGAAAATAAAAAATACCCTCTTTACTCTTCTGTCCAAGTATGCCCATGCCGGGGCATAAGTCCGGCACGGGCCTCCTCCATCGCCTCGGTCTCAGAGAACCGGGAACTGGTCGAGACAACGCGAGAGCCCGAAGGCGAGGGTAAAGGAGGGAGAACCCCGAGGTTGACAGCCGGCAAAGCACCGGGCAAAGGGGCCGACAGCAAGACTTCCGGGCTTGTAATGGGGCCTGGGGCGGACGAGGCGGCCGTGGAGGGCGAGCGAGTCAAGAGAGACTCCGCGGCTGAGGAGGCCAGGGAATTGGGCGGGGTGGGCGGGGCGGCCGTGGAGGGCGAGGGAGCTAAGAGAGACTCTACGGCTGAGGAGGCCAGGGAATTAGGCGGGGCGGGGGGGACGGCGGCGACGATGTTGGCCAACGGGAGAGGCTGCCGACGCTGGCGGTCTCGAGGCCGGTACCACTCAAGAAAGGTCAGAATGAGGGCAAGGGTTGCAATGGCCAGTATGGCCCACTCCACGCTGTTGGGCTCCGAGATTCCCCGAAGCTCGACCAGCTTCTCATGGTGGTGCCGCTCTTCCATGCAACTCCCGCTCTTTCAGGGCCAGGTTTCGCTCTCCCTGGGCCAACTTCCGCTCTTCCAGGGCCAGGTTTACATCATTATGCCGCTCAAGGGCGGCTAAAAACGCTTCCGGCTGCTCTGGATAGTATCGGGCGGCGAGAGGAGGAGGTGTGGTGACCACATCGTGGTCGTCGCCATCATCGGGCGGCCAATCGGCCGCGCCTGGTGACATTGTGGCACTGCGCTCTCTGGCGCAGATCGTGGGGGAGTGGTGGTGTGCTGTGATGGTAGCGGTGCGGGTGGTCTCTTCTCTACACAGTTACGATGTCAGTGAACATGCCGGTCTGCCAAAGAAAGAAAAAGTATCAGGAAGACGGGAACACGCGAGGGGCTTTTCGGTTTTGTCCCGTTGAATTTGCGTGCGGCAAGGCAGGTACGAGTCACGTCATTGCCAATGAAGTCACTGCTGCTTCTGAGTGCTTCTTGACCGGAATGCCCCTTCCCCAAGCGTACACATATAGTCCTTAACGTCTTTCTATTATTTGGAAGGCGCTTCCTGATAGTAATTAGCTCAAAATAGGCAGGTCTATGGCTTATATGGCTGTAGAACCCGCCTGTCCGGCCGGCTAACATCTTTCAAACATTCACACAACTAATCAGGGGTACAGAGGTTGGGTAGCGAGGGGGTTGTTTACACCTTTACGCAATGTAATTTAGTGTGCTCTTTCGTTAAATATCCAGTACCTCTGCAAACCTAGTGTAAAACCAGGGGACATAGAAAAAACCGACGGCCGAAAACCTTTCCAGCTCTCTACATTACCAACCCCATTGCTAATATATCGGGTATTACGTACAACTAGCAAAGCCAGAACCTAGGGCAGATACAGAGATGCGACGAGTTGTGGGATTTCAAGTGGGATACCGTTCCGACTACGGTAATTATCGACACTGCTTTCCTCGCTAACTCCGCGCCGGAATGTTGTAAAATCAGGCGGTCTCCCCCGTCGAGTAGTTCGGGTACACAGCCGACCAAAGTGATGACGTGGGACTGTGGGTTTGGTGCATGAAAAGTGACACTTGGCGTATCAAGGTGTACAAAGATTCCTGCCTGAGCGTCTAGTCCCTAATTGCCTTGATGGTAGTTGCTCCCCCTTGTGGTGGTGATTTGTTGGAACTTGACCGGCAACCCCTGCTTTCTTCCCGTTCTAGCAGCTCGCTTTGTGGATTGAGTCGCCTGAAGTGACCAATGTTGTCCAACCTATCATCTATGTCGATGCCAATATGCGCCTTGTTGCCATGCTTGTCGCCATCGAAAGTCAGAGGCGGGTTACCGCTGCTAGGAATGTTTATTGGATGACGTCTTATTGACTAGCTGGGGGATCATCACCCGAGGCCCAGCACAAGTCGTTCCTCCGGCTGCCTTGTGCCAAGCGGATGGTCAATTAATGCTCCAGTTGACTGCCTGAGGGATGACGGTCAGTAAATTAGAGACAGACAAACAGGTCAGTTATCTTGAAGAAAACTTACTCAAGCAAGCCCAACCACAAGTACCAAGTACTTGAATGGCTCAGGAGGAGGCACGAGAGTAAAGTAGAGAAAAGAGTTGTAGAGAAAAGAGTTGTAGAGAAAAGAGTTTGCCTTTAAGCGGCGAAAATCATTGCAAAAAGAGTTTTGAAGAATGTCGGCATTGGGTCGACAGTAAGGACAGAGGCATGTTCACTGACATGTAATGGCTGGAATAGAGAGAAACACACCGGAAAGAGTTTTGAAGTCGAGTTGAACTGCACATGCACTGTCCGACCTGCCAGGCCCACTCAGTATAGATGACCTCCGGTTCTCCAAGAGTTTATCGCTGCCGTTCTGCGAGGCTCCTTGGGGTATTCGCCTGTTTGGACCGAGGCACCTCCGTTGTGATTCGTGTGTTGGTTAATATGTAGGATGCCCTTCCTCATATGGCCTTCCGACGAGGTTCATGGCGAACGGTTCATACCGCTATTAATATGGGAAATTGGCCCCTCCTAGATAGACCCGACCGTACGCTCAATTGGAATATGCGAGAGATGTTAGTCTTTTTCGTGTTGTAAGTCGGCGCCAGTCGGGGTTGACTGTGTAACTGCAGTCCAAGAGTCAATACATTTTTGGCCCCAGCTACGGCCTCGACGGGTGCACAGACGGTGACAGTTGGGCAGATGGCAGATCCCATACCTGTGAAGCAGCTGAGACACGGCCGATCCGAGGCGGGACGCCCAAGGAAACCGCAATTAGCAAGGATTGAGAGGGTTGCGAATGGTGGTGGAAGATGCCCAGAAAGCGTTCAAGAAAGACAAATTATCGCCCAATATTTGCGCCGAGTTGGATATGCTTGGTGAGCAGACGGTCGATATTCCGTTGGTAGACGATGGCACAAGGAGAACCAGGTTCCAGTCTCAGCGAGCCCCAAGTCCGCAGCCTACGGGGATTATTCGTCATCAAAGGCCACACCCACTGACACTCGCAGCTTCCACCGTTCGGTTTTTCTCCTGCGTTTGAGATGCAAACAGGCAGGAGTGAACAGCAGGATGGACAAATTTTCTCCTTACAATAGATGACGAGACTAGCCGCTCTTTTCTCGGCGACTGCATTACGACAGGATGCTAAGACACCCTCAACGATTATTTTAAAATACAATACCGAAACCATTCACCATTATCAGGAATTATTTCGGAGCCTCAATTATTAGAGGCTAATTACTGAAAGTCGCCATTCGAGAATCATTCGGCAGCCAAATGTAATGGGGCTAATCTCCAAATTGTCCCCATCCTGTAGGCGCCCAACCGTTTACAGCTCACCACCTTTGAAAATACCACATGTTACCCCGTATGAACTCCCTACGGCCAAAATTACCGCATTCGCTAGCTGCATCACTCCAAGCGCTAGCATCTCAATTACCCATGTTGCAAACTTGACCACACTTCCGTAGACCTGCACTCAAGTATCTGTTTTGTCCGGCTGGTGCAGCGGTCGTCTGCGATAAGGACAGGACCAAGGCGACTAGGTTCAATTGACAGGTTGGCTGCAGGACCTAGGCAACTAGGTTGCGAACGGCCTCATTTACATTCTTGTCGTGCAAGCACCTGCGTGAATATCAATGAGCGTATCAACGACTTCTGCCAGACCTAAAACACGTATCACTGCAACGCTAGAGCGTCATCGGCCATACCATGTAACTTTATGTAGACTTAATTAGTACGTGGGCTGTTAGAGTCTGGAGAGGATAGGTTTCAACATCATTACCTGAGGTTGGTAAAGTGCCCGGGCACTCTGTGATGAGGATGCAGTTGGGAAGACAGTCCAGTCATTGGACTCGTAAATATCCACCAGGACGCCCAGAGTCACGCCGGCACTTTTGCAGAGCAGCTTCGTGAATTGGGGCTGGAAATGGACATGCATCCCATTCACCCAGTGCCTACAGGTCCGTCGACAAAGGTCATTTCTCAAACTCGCCGTTTTCACTGATGAGCGCGTGATGAATAGCCTGGGGTGTGTGGTATTAAGGTTTACAATATTGTCAAGAACTGCGACTTTGTCGACGTCTTGGAAGACATCGACACAAGTCTGTCGCGGAAGTATCTTTCCAGCCGCTAGTCTAATGATCAAGATTATTGTGTTCTATTTTTGATCAGGGGCTCGTCAAAGATGTGTGTTTTGATGAAGACTGTGACTGGAAGGGGCCAATAATACTAAAGACAGTTCCTTGGTGGTCGGCTCCAACGATCGGCACCTCAGACGGGTGATCACAAGGCATACATCTTCATGATCTGGATTTTGCGGTGAGCTTCGTCCGAATGCCTCCCTTTTCCAGCGCGTACGATGGATCGGAACGTACCGGTTGTACCAGTTAGGCCGCGTCAAGTATATGGTTATGGTTAATTTAATAGATTTGGTTAACCTGGTGGATTTAGGTAAGGACTAGAAAGTATATATAAGGAAGACCCTTTCGTCAATTACAGTATTTGTTAGAACAACGCGCATTCCAGTCGCACAGGTAGCGGTGGAGGCGCAGGGGTCCCAGACTCTAGATAAGTGGCCTACAGCCACCTCTTTCATCTAGCTACAGACATCTAACAACCATCACTTGAACCACCAGTTTCCGGCGTGCAGTTACGCCCTGTTGCTTCCAGTACCGGTACCTGGTGATTCCAACAGTATTCTTATTCTATTTGTACTCGTGCCGGTTGATTGAGTTTAATACTACAGCACGGCGTAATTCTTCTCGGTATATGTATTATCGGGTAGTAAATCTATAGTTATACCGAACCTTAATGGCTCCGGGCCGTTCAAAGTTCGGGTATATAAAGCTGAGCGGCCGGCATATGATACGCCAGTTATAGCCAGATCCGAGAACCTTCCGTGTTGAACTTGTGCTTCGTGTTTCCGCCGAGTATTGGCCTTTTTTTCGTGACCAACTTTAATCCATATATCGCATAGTTATTTAGGGATTGGACTATTTAGTACCGAAGTGTTATACTGGCCGACTTACGAACCAACTAGTATATAAGATCAAAGTCGTCCGCTTCTTTAGTCTTCTAGACAAGTATGCCCATGTCGGGGCGCAAGTCCGGCATGGCCCTCCTCCATCGCCTCTGTCACGGCGCGCAACGGCCGTAGCACACTATAACCCACTACAGGTTGCAAGTCGTCGACTTGCAATTCTGGCATCCTTTTGGGGGTTCTAGCGCAGTGGTAGTGGGTGCTGTGAGCTGGCGCCGTCTCAGCCTCGGTCTCAGAGACCCGGGAACTGGTCGAGACGGCGCGAGAACCTGAGGGTAAGTACCAGGGTCTGGAACGAAGGTATGGAAATGCACGTCATTTCTACCTAATTATTGCTATGAGTGCGTGGAGCTGTACCAGCATGAAGTACGAGCGTCTTGTGGTACAAGCAATAACGTGCTTGTATGAAATGATCGTGCGTTAACAGCATAGGAGGCAGGTCCCCGCGGTTGACCAGGGCAGGAGCCGGAAATTGCCGGCAGCTGGGGGGTCAGCAAGGCTTCCAGGCTTGGAGAGGGGCGTGGAGAGGACTAGCGAGCCAAAAGAGGCGCTGGGATTGAGGGGGTCGGGGAGTCTAACAGAGGGGAGGCTATCCCCCGGGCTGACGAGGGCAGGGGGTGATTGGCTAGAGGGATTGTGGTGAATGATATTACGCTAGAAAGACTTTACCTGTGGCATTCTGAAGAATAAAATAAGCCTCTGGGATTCCCTACTGGGCCCTAATAGAGAGTCCCACGCCTTGAAGATAAACACCTAGGGTGAAACGCAACGTGATAAGGCCTTTCATATTCCTAGAGCCCTTCAAGAATCAAGGGACAGGCAAGCAAAAGAAATAGGGATAGTAAATGCTTAAATGCTTTAAGACAAGTCACATTATCGGTACTGGGGGACAGGCGATCCGTTCCCGGTGAGGAGAATAAACAGGCCACTAATTAATTATATCTCACCACTGGGGTGATAATGTGACAATTTTGTGTGGCTTGTAAAGATAGATATTCATAATTAAAACATCAGGATGCTAAGCTCCAAAGCGACAGATAACCCTTGCAAAACATGTATCCGTGTGCCCCATAAGTATGCACCTGCATCAGCCTCCGCGCCCCTCACACAATCTCAACGTCGACACTCTGCCCCTGGTTCAGCGCCAGAAAATACAAGCCTGTCCCATCACCCTCAGACTTTTCTTCCAGTTCGGCCCCGTCCCTACCAGCTTTCTCGCCCAAGGACCGTGCAAAGCGCACGCCCTGGCGCTGGCACGCGTACTCGAGCTGGCCGAGCGTCTTGAGGATCTCGGCCGGGTCCGTGGCAAATGTCCCCCAGTGCATGGCGACGGCCACGGCGGAGGGCTTATTCTCGAGAGCCTGCGGCGGATTTATCTTGGCGCCGGCAGCCTCTGCCTCTTCCTTCAGATCACCAGCCATGAGCCTCATGACGCGCACGGCGTCCCACGGCGGCATGTGGGTGGCGGCCATGAGGCCCTCGCTGTGGCGCGGGAACGGGTTGATCCATTGGGGGAAGGGCAGGAACATGCTGCGCATGTAGGCGTACGTGGCGCCGAGCGCGACGGGCAGCAGCAGCAGCTGCGGCGGGCCGAGCCGCGCTCGGATGTCGGCGAAGGCCGGGCAGGCGGGGAACTGGGTGTCGTCCTCCTCAACGTCTTGCTCCTGGTCCGGCTTGGGAGGCCACGCCGCCGACGGGTGGAACTGGTACCCCGTGTCGCCGGCGAAGAAGATGCGGTATGGTGGGTTTGGCGCGTTGGGGTCGGCGGACCGGGGATACTCGAGCGTCCAGCTCGCCCACAGCGCCGAGTCGGCTTCGAAACCGACGCGCCCGCTGCTGTGCTGGGCAGGCGTGCACCAAATCTTGAGGGGGGTGGCTCCTCCTGTCTCTGTGGTGCCAGCAGCGGAAGAAGATGTCAGCTCGGCGCCGTCCCACCAGTCGAGCTCGAAGACGCGATCGGGGCCGACGCCGCTGTCGAGGAACCACTGGCGGTTGCCGAGGGGCACAAAGAAGCGCACGACGTCGCGGCTGTGCTTCCAGACGGCCAGGATGGTGTCGAGGTCGAGGTGGTCGTAGTGGTTGTGGCTAATGAAGACGGCGTCGATAGGCGGCAGGGCCTCGACGGCGCACGGGGGCGGGTACGAGCGGATGGGCCCGACGCTCTGGCTCGGCGAGCATCGCATCGAGAACATGGGGTCAAACAGACACCGCAGCGGCCGGCTCCCGGGGGCGCTGCCGGGCAGCGCGGGCAGCTGCAGGAGAATGGTGGCGTGGCCCAGCCAGGTGACCTTGGCTTTGGCTTGCCCGGGGGCACCCGATGGCTGAGAGAAGGAAAGGTCTGGTTCTTGAACGGCGAGCAGTCGCGCGGCCTTTGCGCCCGTGGAATTGGGCCAGTCCTTGATGTCGCCAAAGGTCGGGCGCCTGCTCTGTTCGGGCGGCTTTGGCGGGGCCGCGACAGTGGACAGGCGCGAGGCGGCCAGGCCGATGCAGGGGTCGAGATCGGCTCCCCATTCCAGACTGCCCGCGACTTCGGCGAGGCCCGGTTTGCGCCAGCTCGGCCACGGGTTGCGGAAGGTCCGAGCTTTATTCTGTTTCGCAAACGATCGGCTTCTTTGGGGCGAGGCGCGCCATTGCGGGATATATGACGACCAGCCCGACGCTGCACGCGTTGGAGCAGGAGCAGCAGTAGCAGCAGGAGCAGCAGGATCAGAAGCAGCAGAAGCGGGCGAGACGACGTGATGTGCTGGCGGCTGCGATTCTGGGTCTGAACTGCCTCGATCGACTACTCTCACGGCAAGCAGCCCTCTATCGTGTGGCGCGCTCATGCCTGGCTGTTTTGCTGTGGTGGCAGCCGTGATGCAATTTGAAGACGGTTGTTTGTTGCAATCAGGCAACAACCAACATGGGCGTCCGTGTCAGAAATGAGGCTCCGAGTCTCCCCCGTCAGCAGGTGTCGCCCAGCTGTGGCCAGCTGTGACGTCATACCCAAAATAAAGTGAGTTTCCCAATCTCATCCTTTCTGTATTCCGTGCAGCTCAATCTCTGAATATTTATAGTGATACGGACTTTGCAAGCTGTGGACGGCTTCATTGCTTTACGCTTTGCCCCAAAGTTTCTCTCTAAGGGAGGGTAGCTATTGGAACCTCCGTTACAGACTCAAGTCGGTGTTCTTTCCAAACACAGTGCCAACCATTATTTCAGCACTGTAAGTATTGCACCTGGGGAAGTACGTTCCGTAAGACGGACAATGCTCGAAAGGTCAGCGCCAACGCACCTCAATTTCAATCAGTGCGGATAACGACCACTGTAAAAGCCAAAATACTTAATGATCTCTTGTCTCAAATCTAAGACATTCAACCAAGATGCCCGCCGACGTTGGACACCGCATCGCCTCAAACCTGAACGAACCTGAACCTGAACCCGCTGCACTGCGTTCCGCGAAGCATTGTGCGCTCTACTACGCGCTCGCAGTTGCAGCCGCGTCGGCCCGCGCGATTCTCTCGACGTTTAGATAGCACTACCTCTCGTCCCCGTTCGTTCTAGGGTGTTTCGTCACGCCCTCGATATTTTTTCTCCGCATAGGCTCTCACTATTTCCTCGAGACCTGTTGGCAGAGAAAGCGGCCCCAACTTGAGACTGGTTGCATCTGGTCGTCGTATTTTTTCGTGGCGGGCTGCTATCTCATAGCCAGCGGCACCTTTACAGAGTTTCGTTCCAGCCTTGGAAGCGCGGGCCTGGGCGGCAAGGGTGATGACAATGGCCATGGCCAGCTTGTCCAGAGGCTGCGGGTCGCGATTGTCCACGCGGCTGTCGTCTTTATGATCATCAGTGTCGCGGAGCCCATCCGGCATAATATGAGCAACGGCTATAGAAACCTCAAACCAACGTTGTTGTTGATGAGACAGCTAATTCATCATGAGTAGAGAAGCGACATGCATCCGTGCATCACCGACATCCATCCCGCATTCCCAGCCTCGACATGCAGCGTAAGCATGGAATCAAAGGACGGCAGACTTGGCTCGGGTTCTACGCAGATGTATTTACGCAGATTGTCATGTGCGAGCTCAGTTTCGTCGTCGGCTGCGGTCTTGCCGCTCTTTGGGGCCTCGACGTGCGCCTCGACGTCTTGTTTCCGCTCATCTCTTCCGACCTTGACAGGTGGGTCATCGTGCCCGTCGCCATCCTCGGCTTGCGTAGTTGAAGGGCTAGAGCCCTTTGCACCCGGTGAAGAGGGTCTAATGTGGTCCAAGGGGGTGCCATTGGGCCAAATGGCCACAGCTTGTTGTGGGATCATTCAGCGATTTCGGTTTTTACTGTTCTAACCCTGTGTGCCGTGGCTATGGCCTGGAGTCGCGGGCACGAAATTCAATTTGATTTATTTGTTTGTTCTCATTTTATTTCCACCCAGTTGTTCACCCAGTTGTTAAGTATTAATTAAGGACCACTGACCGCTTGTATGTGTTGTGGTGCTCGAGTTACACATCTTCTGGTGCAGTCAAGGACTTTGCGGCCGTACTGCCCACTCGTTGTTGAACCTTGAGGGCCAGGGTGCCATGGCGTATTACGTATCCAATGGCGCCATAAACATGCGAGCAGGTGCAACGGTGCACACGAGCAAACCCAGACACAAAACTAAGCCCACCACGAGCTGCAGGACTGAGACATGGCTGATCGGCATGAGTGGCCAACCACGTGCCTCCCTGTTGTGTACGGAGTACTGCACAATCATGGATACACGCAGCAGTGGGCACGCTGGGCTGTACCACACCGCCGGGCCGCCAGGTAGCGTGAGCTTGTCTTGACGTTGTCTGTGCTCGTGCAATGTGGTGGGCTTCCTACCCGTCAGCTAATATAGCCCCAACCTGAGACACTACCTACCGGACTTGTTGGGAATCGGACGGACCTGCAGTGGGGTACCCGGAACACACTCGTGCAGCTCGGTTCCTCACTCCCCGAAGCGGCAACGCCCGAGCATAAAAGGCACCCTCCTGGCCCGTCCCTATTTCTGTGGGCTGCATCCTGCAATACCCAGCCGACTTCTCCAACTTTTGACTGCAGGGCACACACACTTAGCGGTGCCAACATCTCACTGCTTCGCCTTAGCAACCACATCGGCCTCCTTTATTCCCCGTTCCTCGTCGGCAGTCGGCACTGGAAATGGGCGACTCGTCCGCAGCGTCGGCGTCGGCGTCAGCGCCAGCGCCTAGCGGCAAGCTGTCGAACCTGCCGCAGCTGCACCGGTACGTGACGGGGCACGACAGCGCGGGCAAGGCGATTGTGCGCAACCACGGCGACTTTGAGTGGAAGCCGTACGACGAGGACCGGCTGGCGTTCAGCGTGGCGTACACGACGTCCGAGTTCCCCGCGGACCTCAACAACGACGCCGACGTGGCGGCGCACGAGCGGCTGGTGGCGATCGAAGGCGAGGGCCAGCTGGGGCTGGTCAACCCGCGCGGCACGGTGCTGCGGTGCGTTGACTTCGCGCCGGGGTACGCGTGCGGCATGCACCGCACGCAGAGTCTTGATTATGGCATCGTGCTCGAGGGCCACATCGACATGGTGCTCGACAGCGGCGAGGTCCACCCGCTCAAGCGCGGCGACGTCGCCATCCAGCGCGCCACCCAGCACCAGTGGGTCAACAGGAGCACCACCGAGTGGGCCCGCATGATGTTCGTCCTGCAGGACTGCAAGCCCCTGACCGTCGCCGGCGTCGAGCTCAAGGAGGACCTCGGCACCAACTCGGGCCTGCCCCCGAGCGGCAACTGACCGGCACCGCCGCGCTAATTGCGGGGAATCAGGAGAGGAGGAAGACTCATGTATCGTGCCTGGCTCGGATATTCTCGGCTGTTGAAGGCATGCTAGACTAGAGGAAGACTGGCGGAGCACGTTGCGTTATTCGTGTGCTGTTATCAACATCAATAGTACATAATCATAACCCCCGAGATATTCCTTCAGGTATGAAAAACAGTTAGCCTACATCTAGGTACCTATGTACCCCGAAATTGGTACGGCATGGCTTCCCCGAGTTTTGCCCATGACGACATGACTTTGCCGTACTATATGCCTAGGTAAGCACCAGGTCCAGCAAGAGGTCCACTTGTTCTACATTTTGGTAACGGCCACTTGCACGGGAATACAAGTATTGTGGCATAATAGCTAGCTCGGGTATGTTACTTTGTTCTTGAACGTGGAAAAGGGAGACGGCAGCAAATGTCTTCATCGCTATCTTACGCTCCTAGCCTTACGCTCCCAGCCATACGCCCCCAGCTATGTCGTCCCTTGTGCGGCTCGGACAACGACGACTATTATCTGAAGTACCTGAAACTCAATGTAGACCACATTAATAACCGTCTAATCTGGACTGAACAGGGGTGGTTATACCGCAAGTCTTATTTTGTTCTTATTCGTATTCGAATCAATACACTCCTTAACCTCAGATCATCAACGCCACAAACCCGCCTGCAATAGCCATCAAACTCCATCCGACCGAAGCAGCGCCCGCAGTGCTCGTAGGGGTCGCTGCCGCCGTTCCGGTACTGCTACCCCCAGTCCCAGTCCCAGTCCCAGTCCCAGTCACCCCGCCCGTCGTGGTCGCAGTCGCCGACGACGAAGTCGTACCACCAGCAGTAGCAGTAGCATTCGCCGGCTCAACAACAGTGTCATACAACCCGCACATGGCACCATCTGCCAGCGGACAGTCAGACTGGATGCAGATGGCCTGCAAGGCGGAGCCCTGGGGGGGCACGACCTCGGTGGGCGGGGAGCAGCGCTGCGCGAACAGTCCGCTCAGCGCGGCGCCGACGGCCATCAGGTCGCTCTCGGCGACGCCGAACGACGCGCCCGCCAGCGCGACCTGGGCGATGAAGTAGCCGACCTCGGCCGCGTCGAGCGCCATGAACTTGTGCACGTCGTACATGGACGCGCTGCCGGCGTAGCTCGGGAAGCTCGGCTGGCTGTAGCCGCTGCACTTGAGCAGCGCGCCGAAGAAGGAGTACAGGTGCGTGAGCAGGAAGCTGCGGTAGGTCGCCTTGGTCAGTTCGGGGCGAGTGCAGAAGGAAGCGGTGATGGCGTTGGAGAGACGCACTATTGGTTGGACGTGTTGTCCTCGGCGGGCATGTTCTTTTGGAGCGGAGCGGCGCCGCCGCCGTCGAGGAAGTTGACCGACTGGCCGGATGTGCCTCCGGAATTCGTCGACGCCAGCGCGCCGGTGAAGTAGGGTGCCAGCTTCACGGCGGTACCGTTGAAGGTACCCGGAGTAAGGATGCCCGGGACGGCAACGCCGACATTCGGGGTCGTGTCTGTTTGCGCGTGTCAAAAACATGTCAGCGCCCGTCCCCAGAGAGAGCGGCAGCACAAGGACGTCATGTTTTTGCTTACAGTTGCCGATGACGGCCGTGTTAACGAGCAACGTCAGCAGCTTGTACTGGTTCTCGGCCGTGTTGTTCTGCAGCAGAGCCGTCGTGTAGTAGTCACATATTGACACGTTTGACGGGCGTTGGGCGTGGACCATGCCCGCGGCCGCGAGCACAGCGGCGAACCTAGTGAAGAGCATCGTGGCTGGCTAAACGTTACAGGAGCCTGTTGGATAGTGCGATTGGTAAAGGAAAGGGGAAAAGGGAAAGGGGAAATGGGACGCAGGCACTGTCTCAGCGTTGTTCGCTCAACTCACAGCTTAAGAGCTGCTTTATGAGCTTGCGCCATATACTGTACTACCCCTGCAAAACGGACTGGGACAAACCAGCCGACTGCCGATTGCTCTACAAGGCTCATCTGAGGTCGACCACCGGATAGCCGTGGTTCCGTTCTTAGCTACCTGTGTACCTAGGCTTGATCTAGCTGTTCCGAGAAAGGGGGTCGGCTAGTACTCGCACAGGAGGCTAGAGCACGGCGGCAATATTTGGCCCAGATGTCATGAGACGGAAATGTGGACGCATTATCTTCCAACTCGTCACCAATTTTCCTCGGGTGTGTGTTGAGCTTGGCCCAATGTGGGCAGATTTGCGCTGATGGCAGCTAACGATTTTGTTTTCATTCATCAGCCCTTTGTTAGACAGCTGTCTGCGCTGCGGACCTGCCAAGTAAAATTGTCCGAACCGACGAAGCGAGACGCTAGTAATGCAGGACGCCAACGCGACGAATTGGAGTCGTCTGAATAGCAAGCAGCCTGGAATGTTGCTCTTTGTCGTCGACGTCAGCCCCTAGACTCGGGAGCTCAGTTACCCGGGCGGGAGAGGCGCGGCAGCCGCTCTTCCGGTCCTGTGCATCCCAATCTCAAATCAGCCAATGCGGCCAGTTAAATATCGTCGTGAACAGGGCAGCGAGGAGAATTGCTGCTTTTCTTTTCTGCGCGGAATGCAGTCCATTTGTCGGCGGCTTCCGAGGCTTCGCCCGGACTTACATATCTCCTCACCAAAGCTCGCATTCTTGCGACCCAATCACTTCTCTCGTCCGCCGGGAACTCATGGGGATATCAAAGCCAGGCCGCCAGAGTTTAGTCCGAGCCCTGAATGTTTATTAGCGGGAGACTTTCCAGGGTTTGAAGGCCTTAGTAGCTTGGGGCTCGCCAGAGGTTTTTGGCCGAGGGAGGTAATAGCTTGAAAGAACGCGTCTTATAGAATCCTAGAGGCCTTTCTCTCTCCTAATGATACCCTATATTCAAGGTTTCCCCTAGCCGGTGTATTTACTCTTCATTCTTAGAGCATCTGAATACCACGCTAATGAACATTCAACAAGTTCAAGGACCGGGCCATTTCGGGAAGGCGCTCTTCATGAAGTGCTCATCTCCCGCACGCGCCAGGCCTTGCTTCGATTGGCGGCGGGGGTCATGGTGTCAGCTGAAGCCCGGACTGCTGCATTGTCCTCGAAACAACACCAGCCGAGTCTGATGGGGTGCATAATCTGCGGCATTCGGAGAACCGCCAATCGGCTCTTGGACGAGTTCCACACCACTCCCGGTCTCCCTTTCACCATGGCACAATTCCTTTGCCTTTGTACGGTGACCTCTTACTTTCGAGCATCGAAAGAGTGGAAATGTCTTTGACTCGGTCTCTTACTGGACCTCTAGTGACTAGGAATAGCCCGCGGACAACCATAGCCCATCACAAACCCAAGAGCGGAGTTTTTTTCATTTCTCATAACAATACGTCAACACCGTCGTCGAATAAAGCACCATTAAGAAACCAACAGAGAGATCCATCCAACTTGAAGCCGCTCCTCGAGACAGTTAACACCACCCCACGACAAACCAAATCACCCCTTCCTCGCCACAAACTCCGCAACGGCCTCGGCAATGATCTGCGCCGTCTCGACCGGCATGCTCAGCATAGGCGAGTGGCTAGTCGGCAACTCCCTAACCGTAACCTCACCGCCCGCATCAACCGCCTGCTGCACAAACATTCGCTGCACAAACGCCGGCGCAGCCCTATCTTCAGTGGCCACGACATACCACGACGGCACGTCGAGCCAGGCCGAATAGGTGTGCTCACCGCCCTCGCGCAGCGAGCGCAGGGTCTGGCAGCCGAGGCGCGCGACCCACTGCGCGCCCTCAGCTTCCGGCAGGTCGTGGTAGAAGGCGTTGCGGGCGTCGCCCTGCACGACGGCGAAGCCAGTCTCCTCGTCTATGCGCCACAGCGGCGGCGGCGCCCCGCCCATGCCGTCGAGCAGCGTCTTGCCCGTCACGGTGAAGCCCGTGGCGAGGCCGACGAAGCCGAGCACGTGGCCGTGTGTGTCGGTGGTGCTGTCGCTGCCGCGGTGTGGCAGCGTCAGGCCCTTGCTGGCGCTGTGGCCGGGCAGCCCGCCGTAGCTGTGCACGACGACGACGACGTCGCGGCCCTGGTCTGTCTCGGCGACGATGGCGCGGCGCACGACCTGCAGGTCGTCGAGGAACGTCGTGGCTGGGTCGTGCGTCGTCGACGACGGCAGCGCCACGGGCACGCACCGGAACCCCTGGGCCTCGAGCACCGCGACCAGCTTGTGGTACGTGTCGATGTGGTACCACGCGCCCGGCACGAGCACGAGAGTCGGCTTGGTGTCAGACATGGTGCTGCTGTGAGGGACAATTGCGAATGGGGACAAAGGCGAGGAGAAGGAAGGTATCGGTTTCTTGGAACTAAATAATAGCGGGGAATCCGAGGTTCTCCAGCAGAGCTCAAGAGGAGGTGGGTATCCACGGCTGGAGGCAGGTTTTATAATTATGTTTGTTCTTGGCCCCCCTGACCCTGAGAAAGTGGTACCGGTGGTGGATACCAAGCACCGAACACGAGGCCCGCAAGTACCGAGTCTGTAAATGAATGACGCTGGTTCGTCGGAGTCGCACGACGGCGATAATATCCCGCACCGGCCTGTTCCGGTACTTTCCTCGCCCGCATCTGTTTGTCGGAATTGTTGCGCACGTAACTATCGTGACATTGAGTGTTCTAGAACGGTTGGGCAGTGTGCAATGTTCACCATTTAATTAACTTGCCTAGAAGTCTCACGAATCGTTGGACTGTGCCACATCGACAGGTTGTGTTCAAGTATCTTGAGAAACATGAAAGTGAAGAGATCTCTATCCCGACATTATCCGTAGTTCTAACCCAAACCCTTTCTATTAACGTTAGCAGCTAAAAGCTGCTGCGTGAGGCGGACGTTGTACCAAAATTCCCAACAAGGGTATTGCAATATTCACAAACTAACTGGTCTATTTTTGTCCATGACGACAGCCAACGCGGAATAGCAAAAAGCTTCTCGCTAACTCAAAACCCCTGGGAATGAATCTGGCCCCAGCACAAACAGCCCGCCTCATTTTACTGCACTCACAACCCCATTACAGCTTTCGGAAGACGGTGCTGAAAATCTCCCTGCTCTTGAGCAAATTCTCCACTCTCAGGCGCTCGTTGTGCAGATGCGCGGAGTCGCTGGCCTGACCGCAGGGCAGGTGGGCAGCGGGGGCATTGAACTCCTTCTCCAGGAACCGAATTGGGGGAATAGACCCACCCTCGCGAATGTACAGGGGCTTACGGCTCTTGGACGCCGTCTCATCGCTAGTCGCGTTCTTGGGCAGTGCCACCGCTCCCGACTCGTCGCCCGCCGCGGGCCCCCACGCCCGCATCACGGCTTCCTCCAGTGTCCGGAAGATGTAGTTGCCGGGAACCCCGAGCCACGGCTCTGCCTTGTTATCGATCCGCACTGTGAGGTTGTTGTCACTCTCGAAGGTGGCAAACTCGGTCCGCAAAAAGTCTTTGAGCGATTTGATGACCTCTTCGACCTCCTGGCCCGGCACGAGCCTGATGCTCACATTGGCAGTGGCGTGGCTACTGATGAGGCTGCCATCAGGTCCCGATACGTTATATCGGTGAATGGTCAGGTTGGGTTCGCGCCACCGTGCCATCAAACTCCGTTTTAGCACGTCCACTGGACCGTTCGCGGGGTTTCGTCTCATTAGGATGCTGGCAATATCGTCATACCGCAGCTCTTCCTCTTGCGTGACAGGCAGAATCCCGTCGTAGAAGCCCGGAAGATTGACGTGGTTTTTGCGGTCTTTCACTTTGCTGAGCAGCAACGTGAGCTCGCTCAGTGGTTCCGAAAGCATACTACTCCCGTCAACCCCCGAGTGCAGGTCAGGGTGCTTCGAGTCGATACAGACGGTGGCATGCAGAACGCCGCGAAGCCCGTACGTCAGGCAAGGAACCTCGTCATCTAGCCAGTAGCTGTTGGCCAGCAGAACATAGTCGATGTGTCCAACGAGATTCTTGTGCTTGTGGATCGTGTCCTGGAATCCTCGTGACCCTGATTCTTCCTCGCCTTCGATCAGGAAGATGATGTCAGAGTCGAGAGCTTTGGCCTGTAACAAATCGCTCACTGCGTACAGGGCGGCAATGATGGGGCCCTTGTTGTCGCTGACGCCGCGGCCATATAGGTAGCCGTTCTGCCCCACAAGTTTGAACGGGTCTGTCTGCCAGTTGCCACCCTTGAGATCAGCAGGGACCACATCGTAGTGGCCATAAAAGAGAACGCGCTTCCTCTTTTCTACAGGCTCGAGTTTGCCACTAAACTTGGCGTACACCACGGGATTGTGAAGTCCGTCGGTGCTGAGCATCTCCACCTGAGCGCCTAGGCGTTTAAACAGCGAGCCTAGGAACGTGGCTCCCTTTCGGCAGTCTTCTGTAAACTCGGGGCGGGCCGACACTGTCTTGAACGACACAAACTCCCGAAGAGACGTTATCATCATGTCCTCTGGTATGTCAGATCCGTCATCAGCCTGCGTTGGCATGCCATTGACGCGCCAGACCCTAACTTCGTTGTCGTTGGCCCCAGTAATGAAGAGTTGGTCGTTTTGGTGGACTGCAACGGCTGAGGAAAGAATCTTGGCGTCGTGTGCCTTCCATCTGTTCAGGCACTGGTACTTCTGGTTGACATTTTGCGAACCACCGTTCGCGTCCCTCCCGTAATGGACTGTGCTGTGTTTCTGTGACGGGTTAGTGGTTGCGAAAAGAGTTTGAAGGGGCGGGATTTGGTCATTACCGATGCCGACCCGCCAGTTCCAGCACTCCAAAGCAGGCCGAACCTCATCCTCAGCGTGTTGACGTTCCCGTCGTGCGCCTTGATCACCCTCAATTTCTGCTTGGTGTCGAGATCCCACAGTTCAATGATGCCCCGAAGCTTTCCAGCGTACAGAAACGACCCGTCAATCACCAGAGACATGACAGACTCGCTATCATCTTCGCCTAGCACCATGAGCTCTTCAATGTCCCCCTTGACCTTTTCGCCGTCATCTCCCTCCGGACCGTCGTCGTGCAGCCTCCAGAGCTTGGTCGTACCGTCCCCACCACCCGAAACCAAGACCTCCTCGTCGGGGTCGACAAGCACGGTAGGGCTTTTCGCAATGGTCATGCAAAAGACCCAGCCGTAGTGCGCATATTGTCGAATGGCGCCCGGGTCGATTTCCAGCACCGTCTGCGCTCGGGGGATAAGGGCATAGTGCTCCTCCATGCGCCGGGGAGTCGACGTCCCCCCGACGGCGCGCGAGTCGAAAAAACGGTGCTGCCGTTTGTCCGGGTGATCCGCCGAATCGTGCGACACCTTCCGACTGGCGTCATTGAGGCTGACCCATTGTATGTCCTGCGTCTGTGTCCCCAAGTACAGTGTCTCGTGCTGCGCCGAGTAAGCAACGCTGAAGACATCGCCCACGTCGTAGGTGCTGTAGATTTCGAAGATGCGATTGAAGGTCTTGGGGCACCACACGTTGATGATGGGCTCGCAGGCGGTCGAGAAGAGATATTTGTTGTCGCTGCTAAGGAGAAGGCAGAGGACACTCCGCTTGTGCGCCTGTATTGTTTGGACGAGTTGGTAGGTACCTAGAGACCAGACCACGATCTCGCCCTTGCTTGTACCGGCGAATATGTGCTCGTCCGACACTGCGAGCGCGAGGATGGAACCATCGTGTTTGAGCTCTTGGAGCAATTCGGGAGCAGCATCGGCGCAGCCGTCGTCTAGGTCGCGAGACTGAAGGGCAGGGGGCATTGTGCTTGTGTTGAGAACGTCCAATGCGGGAACTGAGCAGGAGTTAGTGAGAGGCCCGACTCGAGACCAATTGACACCATGCAAATTTCAGGATGGGAGGAGAGGAGTAGCGCGTTCGAGAAATTGGAGGCTTGCACGGTGAGGTGATGGTGCTGACGCCATTTTGGGCGCTCTGTCAGGGAGCCCTTTCGGTACACTAGCCCCACGTTAAAACTCCCCGCCACATTGTCTCCCCGCCACATTGTCGCGTGCAGGGGCTTCCCTTCAATGTTCACGCCCCGTCCGCATCTGTGGGCGACCGGGCCGCTGCGCTCCAGGGAGGGCAGCTGCCACCGAAGCGTTGGTACTCGGGTCCGCTCCACTACAATTGGGAGAGCAGGACGACACTCGCAGAGCACCACCCCACGGTGGCACAAAGTAGCTTAAACGGGACAATAGTGGCTAACAACGTGCTCGATTGGGGGCTCTTCCAGGGAAACGGACAGCGTGGGGGGTTGCAGCCAAGTGCCGGCCACTCGGCACGAAACATGGCAAGATGGCGGCGGCAGCAGCGCGCCTGAACAGGTTGGATGTTGACAAATCGAGGCACTCACCGTGTGATGGTAGATCATGGTGCATAGGGAGGTGTGCCGCAGCCCTGGCCCTGGACATCCTGGCGCACGCTTTGCAGCGGCCATTATCGTCATCCTCCTTCTCGTGCGAGCCCCATGGGTCGAACGAGTCACGTAGGACAGGCACATCCACAGCCATGTCGCCTACTGTTCGGCCTGTGGCCTCGGGAGTCTCCGTCAGGCTGGTGGTGCTGCTGCGTCGTCCACCGTGTAGTCGCCAGACAAAGTGTGGCGGAATAGATCGTGAGGACGAACGGGAAATGTCGCCAATTTGTAGAGGCGTCTCTCCGAGCGTCCCGACTTCTTCCATGGCGTGCGGTATCTTACCTACCCATCTAATGACGCGATATCAAGGGTTGAGTACACCATAGTACCAAGTAGCGTGTGCGTGTCTCATAACCCGGCGCACACGGGTCGAAAGAAGAATGTGCGAGGCATCTCACCGCTCCCCAGAAAATTCGATGCGATGATGGGAGACACGACGTGTGGGACAGGGGGGTTACGGCACAGAGAGTTGGATCAGCAGGTGACACAATCGCCAGTGCCGGGGAGGGAAATCGCCTCATTATTATAGACAGACGATTGGCGGGAGGGCCGAACCGGCCAGCGACGCAAACGCCACGAAGGGAGACATTTAGGACGCAGATGTCGATAACCACACAACTGGGGCTAGGGCGTATTCCACGAAGGAGCTGCGGCATGTCGCGTGGTGGGGCAGGTGGGCGCGAGCACACCGACTTCAGGCACACAGCCGCTACTGAGTTCCCGGGCCGCAACGCCAACAGTCTCGAAATCAGGTCGAGCGACATCGGGCAGCAAGCTCAGTCGTGCTCTTGTTGAAAATTCGGTAATTCCATGCAGGCTGCGGTGCCGGAAAGCAGAGTGTTGGAATGTGACAGAAGCTCCCGTCCTTTGCCCACCTGTTCGACGTTCGTTTCCTCGCCGTAACAGCTGAGCGAAGCTGATGCTGAGCCGATCCAAGTTCGACGTTTCTAGCGCGGAAGTTGGCCTACCTGACACGGTAGCGCCCGAATGGAAGACGGCATACGGGGCCGAGTGAGTAAAGCGCTGCTAAAGCAGGCGCGCTAAGTCTAAGGTGCAGATGGTTTGCGGGGAGAGCCTCTCCGTATTCTGCGTCGTGTGTACCTTACTTACACGTTACGATACATGCAACGACAGGAACCCCGCCCGATGGATATGTACGAGAGCGCACGCTATGTGAAATAGAAATGGCTGTCGGGATGACCTCACGATGGTTTCTACATGATAGGTCCATCAAGCTGTCAGGACTCGGGAATTGCTTGCGGTTGAAGTTGCTTCGTAAGATAGAGAGCTTGTTGGACCATCCTGAGTGCTGATGGTGCCCAGCAGGTTCGCCAAGACTGCGATTCACAAACTTCACCGGATTAAAGCCATGTCCGAGTTCCGGGGAAGGCGGGTCCTATCCGCGAGGCAGTGGATCCACCCAAGCTGCGCAAAACCTGAGGCGTCACTGGTCCGTGCCCCAATCCCTGCTAGCTGGCAATATTTTTTTTGGTTCTGAGATCATTGGAGCAGAAATCGTCAACTCAACACCCGATAACGAGCCCACACCCCCCTATCGACGAGTCGCGACCGCGCCCCGATCCCGCCCACACGTCTCCCATCAAAGCCGGACTCTTTGTTCTCTTCACTCCTTTCCCATCAGTCGAGCACGACCGAGTCGCCCAGCAAGAGGAAGAAGCTGCGCTTCGCCTTTCCCCGAGACCGCGCCGTATCGACATCATATATAACCCGCATCCAAAATGGACCACACGCGCGACCCCTGCCCATGGGTGATTCTCAACGATTTCGGCGGCGCTTTCTGCATGGGTGTAGGTACTCCATGATGCCAGCATTCGATCATGTCCTCCCGATGCGTCCAGCCTGGCGGGGGGCATCCTACCTGTTACACTCTCTCGTCGCCCTGCGGCAAACAGCTGACACGTCTTCGCCAGGCAATCGGAGGCACAATATGGCACGGAATCAAGGGTTACAGGAATAGCCCGTACGGAGAGCGGCGGATAGGAGCTATCACGGCGATCAAGATGCGCGCTCCGGTCCTCGGCGGCAACTTCGGTGTACGATACTCCGATGCAAAACCACCTCGTATCAACCGATCACTGAAGCTGACATGTTGGCCGCAATTTTAGGTGTGGGGTGGTCTATTCAGCACATTTGACTGCGCGGTCAAGGGCGTCAGGAAGAAGGAGGACCCCATGAACTCTATAAGTTGGTTATCCCGAGCTCCCCTCCGGCACCCCGCGTGTATGGAGACTAACACAAAATCGCAGTCGCCGGGTTCTTCACAGGTGGGGCGCTCGCGATCCGAGGCGGATACAAGGCGGCACGGAACGGAGCGATAGGCTGTGCTGTGTTGCTCGGCGTGATTGAGGGTGTCGGCATTGGATTCCAGAAGATGTTTGCTGGAGCCACAAAGCTGGAGGTAAGTGATTCGTGCTCGAGTCAATCGAAAGCTGTCAGACTAATTTTGTCTCTCCAGGCTCCCGTACCCTCGAACGAACAAGTTCTTGCATAAAATAGGTAGCGGCCAGACGATTTCAACTCTTCTCAACTCTTCACCCGGAGCTCGTCACCAGAGTTAGGGCGTGTATTTTTTTCCTACGCATTCATGACGGTCAGCATTTCGGGTTGGCGGCGTTCCATGTAACATAGACATTGATTGGTTACGTTGCCAAACAGGGGACCGAGCGTGGATGCCCACAACAGCGAGGACATCTATCCCAATAATATCTCTCATTCAGAGTACAGTTTAATATTTATACCCGTGGCCATTGACATGACAGGAATCCTAGGTGGTCTTTCCGCTCACCCAGCACCTTGGATCATCCGGTTTGCCGCTTTTGGCATTTGAGTCGACCCCATAGTCTTGCCGCCAAACCCTCGCGAATGCAGAGCCATCGTCGTCGATCCACGCGCGAAACATGCCACCACAGTTATAATCCTGCAGGATATTTGACCGAGTCTCGACAACCGTGCCCTCGGCATCTCGAACTATGACGCTTTCGATGCCGATCATACCACCTTCACCCTCACCAGTCCTGCCCCAGCGATTGCCCGCGCTCCTCTGGAGCTCGCCCGACGGTCCAGTCACCTGCGTGAGGGCGTCGGCAGACGGCAAGCCGGCGAAGCGCGCAATGGAACCGACCGTCCGGACAGCAGCCGTGCGCAGAAACGAATCACCATTCCCGGTCCCAGAGACGGCGACGGATCGTGTGGTGGTCAGATGCGAGCGCGGGGATACAGGCGAATACAGAAACGGCGTGGGAAGGCAATCAGCGATCAGTCCTCCCAGGGCTTGCGACAAGACAACCGCCGGCCCCGGGCGCGTTAGCGCCTGGTACTGCTGCAGCTGGTCTCTTGCAGAGCGGCGGCGGCCGGTCGCCGTTATGGTGGGATCGCCCGGTTCAGTCCACTCCTCGGCCCAGAACCCGGCGCCGAGCATCGGCGTGTCGCCGATCCGCCCCGTCAGCTTGTTGGTCAGCCCGCCCGTGCTCGTCGCGCAGCAGATGACGCCGTCGGCGTCCAGCGCCACGGCCCCGCACGTCCCCTGGGGCAGGTACTCGTCGCGGCTCCACGTCGCGGCAACGCCGCCGCCGCCGCCGCCGCCGCGGCGATCCCGCTCCATGCCCCGTACGTGCTCGTCCCACCGCTTCTGCGTGAAGAAGTAGTCGGGCTCCACCATGGCCAGCCCGTACATGTGCGCCAGCGTCTCGGCCGTCTCCCCGTGCAGCAGCGTGTGGCCCTGCGCGGACGGTACGTCGACGCCGCGCGCAGCGTCTGTGTCCCGCCGTGCCTCCTGCTGAATGCCCTGTTTCGCCGTCTGCGCGGGGTGCATTGACTGGGGCAGGGGCGGCGGGCGCAAGTCGTCATCCCCGCGCTCGAGAATCGCGCGCGCCAGCAGGATCGGGTTCCGCACCCGCCGCAGCCCCATGACGCCCACCCCGCGCTTCGCCAAGCCCCGCGTCACCATGACGCTCGCCTCGAGCTCGTTGATGCCGTCGCGCGTGAACACGGCACCGTGCCCGCTGTTGAAGAGCGCATTGTCCTCGAGCAGCGTTACGGCGAACGTCGCGGTTTCGAGCGCCGTCGGGAATGTTTGGTTGCTAGTGGCCTTGGCGTGGTGCGGCGTGCGCATGTACGTGTCTGTTTTGCTGACCTGGTATCGGGCGTCGCAGCTGTCAGTTCCCGGTTCGAGGGGTTGGGGAGAGGGGCTGGCGCCTTACGACTGTCAGGAGCGCTTCCCGGTATTGGCTGTAGGCCTCGGGCAGCAGAGTTGCCGGCGTAATGTTGCCCGCCCCGCCGTGGATGATCAGCCGTGGCTTCACGGCCGCGGATGCCGTGGGCGCTTGCTGTCTGTACTCCATTTTTGTGGCTCTTTGGCAATGGCCTCAAGGTACTCCGGATGGCAAGTTGTTGTCGGGCAACATGGGTTGACGCTTGGGGTTCGTCTGATAACCGTCCAATAACGGAACAGTCTGATCGACGCAGCGCCCCTACCCGCTGTTTCTTTTGTCGCCGGGCCGGGCCTGACTAAAGCCGTGACAATTTCCCATGCAAACTGGCTGAGACTCTCACAATTTAGCGAAGTTTAATTGCTGACGCTGTTGATGATCAATCGATAACAAAATCATCCAATCTACTTTTGATGGTCCAAACCTCGATACGAGTCTGCAAATTTTCTCGGAGATATCAGTGCATCCATCATAAGTATTGACTTGGGTCGTATCTTAGTCAACTGTATGGCAACAGGGGTGGTCGTAGGAACAACATCATATTGCTTCTCCATCCACCAGTGGAATGCTAGTGACCCAAGGCATTTGTAGGAGGGAACTCTTTCAAGTGCGACCTTTATTCTGCGTCTTCTGAGGAGTAGACACTGGTTCACGGCTGCACTCTTTACTAAGTAACCTTTCTAGCCCTGGTTCCTGCCAGTTTAACTAACAACCAAAGCTCTCCGAAGCCATTTTGCGTTTCTTGCATTTTTGTTCTTTGCAACTCAATTCACAGCCTACCAGCTCTTGGATTGTTGCATTTGCATTTTGTAACTTTGACGACAACGACGCTATTTAGGAAATGTTGTCCTGCTTCTCCTCGGAATACGAGGGCAGCTGAGGGGTACCCATCAAGCCACATCAAGCCACCGGCACAGTTGCTACGTTACGTTACAGCAACGGCGTGCATGACAGTCCAGGTGACATGAAGCCCAACGAAACTTTTACTAGCTTTAAAATTTTTGCTTTCGTATTCTGCACACAGCCACTCCAAAAGAAAGAAGCGGGCATCTCCGGTGCCTGTCTCCATGAATGGCATCATGGCTGAATTGTGTGGTTTTGAGCGAGAGACAATGTTTAAGGAGGAGATACAAATATCTAGACATTTCCCGTTCATTTGCCTAGATATCTACAAGCCAAACAGACAGACACAAAGCAGCTAAACAAGCAACAGCCTCTTCATCTCAGAAACAACATTGTTGCTAATACCAAACAGTGAACTCTCGTTTCAACTTCTTCAGTAATCTCCAACCCTCGTCACACACTCTTGCATCAAAATGGTCTACTTCAGCGCAGTCACTGCCTTCGCAGCCCTTCTCGCGGCCTCGGCACACCTCGTCGCCGCCCAAGACACATACCCAGAACCCATCACGATCGGCCAGCTCAACGTCGGGCACGGCTATGTCCTCTACGCCTGTAAGAACACACTTATCTCGAGAACCCTTAAGAAATTGAGCCGAACCAGACGTGATAACTAACAAACTCCGACATCCAGGGTCTCCCACGCGCACGACGCTGCAGGACGCGTGCACCGACTCGCCCACGCGAACCATGATCCAGAGCGTGCAGACGGACCACCCGTCCAACCCGCTGTGCAACAACCCGTTCGCCCTCGACGGCTACACGGGCCTCGAGCTACTGTGCTCCGACGGCTCCGGCCCGGCCGCCGCCCAGGTCACCGCCCTCGCCACCAACGGCACCCAGACCCATGTGTGCACCGGCCTGCCCCTGAGCATCTATCCCCTATACTGCGGCGGCGGGGCTTCGATCTGGCAGAAGTTCGTTTGCCAGTGAAGGGATTCTGGAGAAGGTCGGTGGGGTTGGTAGATTCCGGATGGGAATTGGAACTAATCAAGTAATTAGATGGGTCATTCTAGAGAAAAGCAAAATGGTCTGGGACTGATAGATTTCGAAACACAATATAATATATAGGCGGGTGCATAAATAGATTTTCTAGTCTGGATTCATGATATCTCCAAGGAGCTAGAGGATGAAAGAAGCCTCAGCAAGAATATTGACAAGCAGCAGCGACACCGGGCTCGTGACCGTGAGGCTGCTAATTCTCCAGAGTGTGAGTTCGACCTGGTTCGGAAGGGGCCGTTCCAGGCCAGCAGGTGGAGGCCGCCGTAGACCAGGTGCATGCCAAAGTATGCAAGGAACAATCTCCCATTTTCTCTTCCAGACTCGAGATAAGTGTCAAAAAAGGCTAGGTTGGTCGTCCACATTCTGCACCGCACGTCGACGTGTCCGCGTCCGTCTTCACGTCGCCACAGATTACTGGGATGGATCCTCTTTCCTAGCCTGTAAAGACGGATTTCTGCTGGACTCGCCAAGTCTTCGCGAAAATTGGGCAAAGACTGATTTAGCTTCTCCTCTAGCGTATTATTATCCGGCGTATTCTTATCCGGCGGATTGTCATCCGTATCGGCAGGCGTCGGATTAGGTGTCGGATTTGGTGCCCGACAAGGCCGCTTCGGTTTGTCCTTGAGCCTGCGAAGCAACTCGTCGCCGATGGAGCTGCGGAAGAACATAAAGACGCATTCTTCCCTGTCTTTGGTCCGAGATATATCGATTAGAGGGCGGCCAGTCCGCAGACGACGTGGGCAAGCGTGTTTAGCTCGAGGACGGCGATCGGAAGGCCCAGCGCGAGTCGAGAAATGCATTGCATACAGAACCAGACAACCTGGCCAAATATGACGACGAGTGCCAAGTTGTTCTGCTTGCCCGTCCCGCACTAGTCTAGAACCAGGCTGTCTGCAATACTTCAAGAATAATTCTGAACTACTTCAAGCCACATACAACCCATCCGCGTTTTTGCACCCAACCACGTCCCCGAAAGGTGACTACACGCCCATTTCCACCCTCAAGCGCCACCATACCACATCCAGTACGAAGGCTGGGGCAAAGAGACAGGGCCACCCTTCACAGTTGCCAAATCTTGAACTTCCATAGACCCCCGACTTTAAACAACACCGTGCGCTACCTCTCCCTCCCGTTGGGTGCACGCATGTGTAGCTTGCGGTGGCGATTGCGGTCATTGGCGCGCGTGAACTTCTTGCCGCACGTCTCGCACGCGTGTGGTCTGGTGCCGTAGTGGCTGTTGACGTGGGCCTTCTTGATGGCCTGCCGCACAAACCTCTTGTTGCAGATCTCGCACACCCACTTGGGCTCGGCCAACGTCGGCTTGCTGTCGCCCACGAACTGGCTCGGCTGCCCCGACTCGTTCGGGTGCGCCTGCCGCAGGTGCTTCTCGAGGTCCTTGTTCGCCGAGAAGCCCAGCGTCGCCACCATGCAGCCGTTGACAGGACACTGGAACGGCCGGTCGTGCCGCTTGAGGTGCTTGTCGAGCCTCGCTTCCGTCTCAAACCCCTCGTAGAAGTAGGAGCACGTTAGGCGGCTGCATTTGTGTAGGCGGTCGCCGTAGTACTCGGCCAGTTTTTCGCGGCTCGAATTGGCCGCCAGTTCGACTATCTTCGAACGCGCCTTATCCATGGCCTTCTCTAGATCTGGCAAGCTAATCTTGTTGCGCTCAGTCAGATCGCCCGACTGGTGGCTGTACACGTGTGCCCAGAGCTCCTGCAGCTGCGAGTGGAAGCTTGTGTGTTGGAACTGTTGGCAGAACTCTACTGGGTTAACGCCTTGCTGATGTTGCTGCGACAGCGGTGTCGGTGACCGCGACGGTGATGCGGACCGTTGTGTAGAAGAGCCGGATTGTGGCGGCGATCGGGCTCTAAGGGATGCCAACTGGGACAAGCTCGGTGGCCTTGCCGCGGCAGCAGCGACAAAGCTCTCTCGATAGAACTCAAGAAACCTTGTCAGGACAGCGGCAAGCTTTCCATCGTATCCTCTGCCTCTCGAATTACCTACCTGCCCGAACAAGCTGGGCGTGGTCCGAATTAGCTTCTCAACGTGGTAGTTCAATTTTGAGATGGCGTAGTCCTGGAAGCTGTAGTAGCCGTCACTGGCAAACTTCTTCCTGTTCTCGGCATCGAGACCCTGTTTGAAACAGTCAAATGTGAGATAGGACAGGCAGAGGATGGTCAAGTCACACTCAATTGCCTTCTCATCGAGATGTTCGCTCATCAAAATGTACCTAACATCTTATTAGCCACAGAATTCCCGACAAAGAGACCGGCAGTCTTACGATCTCGTGGTGCTGTGGATAAACTCGATGCGGTTCTGGAGGACCTGCACCAGAGAACCGCATATCTCGCGGATTTCCAACCGCAGTCGGTTGTGGCGGTAGTCCAAGGCGCCGCGGCCCACATCATCAACCTCGATCGAGAGCGCTGCTTGCAGTTCGTGCCATTTGAGGGGCCTCTTGGCACCAGCAAGCCATCCGAAGATCTTCCTCGCCTCGGCCCACTGGTTCGGGTGGAGGTTCTGTCGTAAGCGTTCGATGACTTTCCGGTATCTGTTCCAGCCTTAGCAACAATGCGATGGGAGTGTACAGTGAGCACATGACTTACGCTTCCTCTAAAGTGGCAGGAAGACTTGTCTCCTTCAACTCAGCCTTCAATGTCCTCAGGTTTGGCTGCTCGAGCAGATTCTGCACCGTGAGCACGGCAAAGAGGAACATGCCTGTGTTGCGTCCAGCTTAGCTGCCATTCTTTCTTCCGTGTTTCGTACATCGAGGCTCAACTTACCGTCCGCTCGTTGACAAACAAGCTCCTGAGCACTGAGCGACTCATCTTCCGTCAGCTCGAATTTGTCTTGAATCCTCCCAAATTGCTTGGCGACATATCTCCAGATATCCTTTCCTGACTTCCCGGGCGGAAGATCAAGGATGTCGGCCGACTGCATCATCTTTCGGATGTCGGGCGTGTGCACGCTGACAAACAGCACGCGAAGCTTTCCAGGCTTGTATCTGTCGCATCTGTCAACAGCCGTGGTCCAGAAGTCGGCAATTGCCTTGGCCTCGCTGATGTCGCACTCATCTAGGCCGTCGATGATAACGAAGTGGTTGGAGTCGTGGTCGCAGAAAAGGTCCAGCAGAGATCTGACTGTGGCCGGGTCGTTCAGTATCTCCTCTCCGCGAGTCCGTCTCTGTTCGCACGATGGCAAAAGGTCCTGGTTGTGCTGCACAAACTGGCGCAATATCCCTTTGAGCACTGCCAAGCACGTGTTGTCGCCCGTGTCGCCTTCGCGGCAGTAAAAGTAGCTGGTTGAGAAATCGAGCATCTGATCACACTTATCAACTATGAGAGCCGCGAGCGTGGTTTTCCCTGGAGCGAGTTAGCATCGAAAGAGACTAAGATAGAGGATACTAAAATAGAGGATAGTGGCATCGTACCGGCTCCTTTCCTTCCGTTCAGCCAAAGCATCGAGTACACGGGCGGCTCGTCTCGCGCCATCATCCAATTCAATAGCTTGGGTTCATCTAGAATCCATATGCCCGTATCCTGGAAGTCGTGCCTTACGCTTCTGAACTGGCTGTGGTATTCCGACTGCGGTACACCCGGGCTCGACATCCAGTGCTTGACATTTGCCAGCTGCTCTTCTTTGCGGGTCTTTTCTTGGTGTCGGGACTTGCGTAGTAGTTCTATCCGATCTTGCTCATACTGGTCGATATGCCGCTGCACTTTGTGGTAAAAGTCGTTGGACCGGGTGACGTGGCCGTTCAGTCGACGGTCAGCAGCTTCCGAGCTCTCTGCTCCCTGCAAAAGCACTGTGCGGTCTCTATCATATTCACTGGCAAGATCTCTCATTATAAGACTGTCGTCTGCATGCCGGATGATGTGATCGTTTAGGCGACCCTCTACTGCTTGCGCAGCCCCTGCGCCTCTCAAGAGCGCCGCCCGGTCTGCGTCGTAGTCATTTGCATGGCTTCTCATAACCAGGCCATCGTCCCCAGACCTGATGATGTGGTCGTTTAAGCGACTATCCATGGCTCGAACGGACTCTGCGCCTCTCAAGAGCACCATGCGGTCGGCTTCATAATTGTTCGCATAGTCTCTCATAACTAGGCCGTCGCCTGCACTTCGGATGATGTGATCGTTCAGGCGCTGCCTCGCATCATCTACTGCGTGCCTTTCTCGTGCTGCCAGCAACTGCTCCAAGAGCTTGCCATGGTTGTCGAAACTCTCGAGTATGTGGCTGAATGAATCCAAGAAATCCTGCCAGTTGGCCCCAAAGGTCTTCTTCCAGACTACAGACACTGTTAGCAATAGCGCCTCTCAACCATGAGGTTGGGACTGTCCATCTCATACTTCTACCGCTTAGCAGTTTGAGCACGCTGGCGTAGAAGCGCAGCAGATCCTCATACATGAACGCGATGCATTTCATCATCTCTGGTCGTTGCTGGACGAGATTGTCATAAGCACGAGGATCAGGGATCCGCTTGCCAAACTTTTGATAGGTATCCAAGACCGAGTCCAAGACATTAGCGTCTTCTTCAGATATCTAATAGGCTTTAGCTTCGATTCAAGTCCCGCTATTGGTGGTTTGAACAATATATCTACTCACCTCGAGGATAAACAACGATGGGCCCCATATAAAGGCAGAAAGCTCGGCCGTTCCCTGGCCGGCGATATTTGCTCGTTGGCAGACAGCGTCAAACTCGGCAAACCTGTCGAGGTAAAATTGGATCCTCGAGAAATTCATGAGAGTTTTCAGGCGTTCTTGGCGCTGCTGGATGGCACGAATCTTGAGCTTGACATTGTTGAGGCTCTGTTTGGGAAAGGATTCGAGCTGGGCAGCCGTGAGACCAGATTTGAAGGTTTCGAGGGCCGCCTGAAAAACTGCCTCAGGTGTGCCGAGGCCGAATATTTCTGTGCTGGCCATGTTTTTTCTCCTTTCGGTCAAGCTGGTAAGAAGTCGTCGATCTCAAACATTAGAAGCGAGGTTTGGACCTGCTAGCTTTGAGATTATGGTAGGCCGGAGGAGCGGCGTAGTTTGTCGTGAGGATGCATTTACGCAAGGGTCAGAGACGAGGCTCTTGGGATTGGGGACGTCGAGGAGAAAACTAACCGTGCCTACGTAAGCCCTCCAACCAATTGGGCCTTATGCGGCCTGTAAGCTGTAACCTGCAACCGCTGGCGAGTACCACAGCATGCAGGCTGGGGTGAGACGAGGCAACCATTACTACAGCATTCAATACCACATCTTTAGCAGCTAGTGTACCCGTGGTTCGCACTTTGTGTTCGGTTATCGGGCTGGTTCAAGGCATCCTCGATCTCGAGAGTCAGCCTCTCGTGTCCGCGGTGTCTTTTGGGGGTATCATGCATCTCGTTCTCTACTCTGGACTGGATTGGGCAACCCCCTGTTAATTGCGAATACGGTATGATCAGTCCGCTCCGAGCCCGGTATTATCGGGATAGTTGGGCGCCTTACAGTGAGCCTCGCTGTAGTGTTACTGAGGTGCTGCTGTGAATGTAGGCGGCGGTGCAGAGGCTTCCTCCAATCCCGGACGGAGGCGCTTAATGTGAGGCAGTATTAATGCTCATTGCCCACCACTACAAACGCAGCCCGGTTTTTGGCCACCAAGGCTGTTCTGTGGCACCGCGGGGCAGGCAAGTGCGAAGATAAGCCGCTTTTGACCGGGTAGACGTGTTTGCACAGGTGCTGCAGCCTCAATTCGGCCTTCATTTGTGCCTCCCATGTTTTAGAAGGCAAAGCCTAGTCTCCCCCCCACTAGGCTAGGGCAATCGAGGCTGCAGGGTTGCGCACAAGGAACACGCAAGACGCCTGGTGCCGCAGCTTTGGAGGGGCTTTGGTTCCCTTGCAGGTTAGGACTCGGGACTTGGAATCCAGAGAACCTGGAAAGAGGCAACCAAATGAGGCGGGTCCCTTCCAGAAGTAGAATTTCTTCAACATGCCGAAGATGCAATGGTGCCCCACGCCCCGCCGTGATTAGGGCCGCACTGCAGCCGGCGTGATGGGAAGGGGCGCAGCCTGGGAAGGAACCCGCGCTGGCCCCTTCCCCCTCCGGCTCTCCACCTGCAGTCTGGCTGCACCTTCATTCCGCGTCAGATTTAACTGGCTATGCCGAGGCACCAGAAGACGGAATTGGATACTGAAGGAAATAACATCCCTTGCACATACAAAAAGGCGGACGCTTCCGCCTAGGCACTGACATAGCTCAGAGCCTTGTCCCGACAATAACGGGCTGCATCTACTTCAAAGGAATAGCCCCCATCATTCAAGCTCCACCACCAGGGGGTAAAAGTGCTAAGCTTTGTGTTGGTGCATGGAGACGATAAAGAGAACGAAGAAATGAAAGAAAAATATCAGGTTAAATGATTATCAACAATTGATTTGGAGACCAAAATGTCGCTCCGCGTCATACTCAACCACGAGGGGCCGTTACCCGACCCTGGCCATGCTAACAACGAATTGTAGGGCACTGTACCCTTTTCTCTTTCGCCTAATTAGAACTAGGAGGTTCTGTTGGATTGACACAGCACAGCTTCCAGGCCGACCAGCCTCAGCTCGAAGATTTCGATTTCGACTTCGACTCGTTCCTCTACGACTCCCACACGGAAAGCTTCTCAGAGGCAATCTCAATTGAAAATCTCCAGGTTGATGACAATGCCCTCCACCAAGTCCAAAATGACATCTCTCACTGGGCCAATACCCTCCAGACGAATCCGGCCACGGCCACCTTGCACCCATCGGCCGCTTTGGCATCCGGCCGTGGTCATAGCTCGGATGCATTCGGCCAGTCGGAAGACTCGGATGTTGACATGTTCAATGGGAACGCCAGCACGGTTGGCCCTTTCATTGATAGCAGCGACGGGGATAGAGTCTGTTATGGAATGGTTCGTGCTGGGAACAATTTATCTTTTCGCAGACCTCGTTCCGGCGAGCTAACTCGTGCCAATAGCTATACAAACACGACGTCAAGCTCGTCTCCAAGAACATGCACTCGCTTGCCATGAAACTAACCCAGCTTGCACAAAACGACCCAAGTCATGTTCAGAAGTTCACGCTGACATCCAAGCCTGTCCATATACTCCTCTCGCTTCCTGACGGTACCGAGTTTGGCTTTCTTCGTCACAACATGACAGAAGCTCTAGAGTCACTTCTGTGCGAGAGCCCAGCTGTTCAACTCGAGGCTCTTGGCCTTACCTCTCACCTTTGCCAGCAGATGAGCCATGCAACCAAACCCGACGAAGCACTTGTCCAGGTCAACATCAACATATATGGGCCGCCCGGCCGTGCCAATGACATTGGCGAGACCCTGTCCAACCAGAAACTTTGGCTACAGAAGCCCGATCATCTCAAGGCCAACCTTCCATACCATAATCCCCACACCTTGGCATTTCCCGAGTTACAAGGTGAGCTAGAAGAGGAAGATATCACGCGCATTACCTCGGCAACGACAAGGCCGGTAGTTGAGGAGGAGCGCCTGAGGAACCTCGTTACGTCGGTCCACAACTCACTGAGCCGGGCAAACGAACTCGAGGACGAGGCCGGCGATCAGAGACTGAAGACGAAGCTTTTGAAGTATGTCAATCGCCCAAAAAATTATAATCGTGGCACCTAACTAACTTGTGAAAAGGCACCAGAAAGGCTCACTGTCGTTTATGCTGCAGCGAGAGTCGGGTAACATACCTGACAAGTACCGCCTATGGCAGAAAGGGGTTGTCCGTGGCCAGGAGACGTGCGTTCTGCTCCACTCTGAATATCAAGTAGTGAATTGTATCATGAAAACTGACATTTAAACAGGTACATCCACCGCATCACAAAAACCCAGTCGCTCATGCGCCCCGAGGAGGTGGGAGGGGGTGTGCTGGCCGACGAAATGGGAATGGGAAAGTCGCTGTCGACTCTCGCACTCATCTTGCAGACGTTGGTCGTCGGCCATGAGTGGGCCGAAAAGAGGCGAGCTGAAGAACACAGCAGCGGAAAAGCAAGACGCCACTCCCACTCAACCCTGGTCATTGTACCCTCTGCATGTGGGTTTCCTCACAGCCTGAACATGAAGTCTTTGTCAGCAGCATAACTAACGCAGTCGTCCAGTGTTGATCAACAACTGGATGAATGAGATTCAAGTGTAAGCATCAATAATTAGACTGCGATTTCTGCGTGAAAGGACTTCTGGCTGACAATCTCAAGGCACGCCGGTGACGTTCTGACAACTGTCAAGTACCACGGCCAGACGAGGCCTAAACACCTCGACATCTTGGAAAAGTCTGATGTAATTATCACCACTTACAACACACTAGCCGCCGAATACGCACAAAAGAAGTCGCTTCTTCACAAGATAAATTGGTATCGTGTTGTACTAGATGAAGGTAAATCCTAACCCGGCCCCAGACAACCTGTGGAGTGGCAATTACGAACGGCCTTCTTCTTTGGCTAACCAACACTTACCAGCGCATATCATCCGGCGGCCCACAACCACGTTCCACAGAACGTGCGCAGACCTTGAAGCGCGGTCGCGGTGGTGTTTGACAGGGACGCCCATCCAAAACCGACTCGACGACATTGGGGCGCTGTTCGCATTTCTGGGAACAGAGCAATTCAAGAGTCTGACGCAGTTCCGACGCTTCATCTCGACTCCCTTCGACCAAGGGGAGGGGGCAGTGGTGCGGGATCGTCTAGTCATGCTGTACGATTCGCTGGTGCTGCGGCGAACCAAGGACATTCTCGACTTGCCGCGCCACGTCGAGCGCACGCGCGAGCTGGCCCTCACCGAAGCCGAGCGCCGACAGTACCAGCGCACCATGAACATCCTGCAGCGCCACATGCTGGCGCAGGTCGGCCGCCATCCCGATGACGACGCGCCCACTCATTTCAACCCGCGCCTGCAAAAATCCTTCGGGAGAGACGGCACGAGCGCCAACACCAGCAGCAACGCAAGCCCTAATAGTAAGTTCGGTCTGTTTCAGACGCAGCTGCAGCTGCGAATTCTGTGCAACCACGGTACCTTCCAGCGGCCCTTCTCGTGGAAAAAGCGCGACCTCAAAGATGAGCAGGCGGCGGGCCGCGAGGCCTTTGCGGCCGAGCTGGGACTCGGCTCCGAGATTATGTGCGATGCCTGCCGGCAGCACCGGCCCATCCTCGGGTCGACACACCTCGGCCCCGGCAGCTGCTTCGTCGAGAACTGCACCCACTCGCTATGCTCCGAGTGTCTCGAGGACTGCAGCAACATGCCGGGGCTCGAGGACACACGCCACTGTCCTCTGTGCAGGCGGTTGGGAAGAGGTGAGGCCGCTGCCCCTGCCGCAATGCAGGCACCATTGCGAACACACGACGACGGAGATGCGGAGATGCTTGACGGGCAGCAGCCGGGCGAGGAAGCCGTCGCTGACGGCGAAGACCCTGAGGAGAACTCGCACCACAAGGACTACTTCAACCCCACGGGATACTCGACCAAGATGGCGCAGCTGGTCAACGATGTGAAGGAGGGCTTGGAGAGCTCAAAGAGGTAAGATATCAAGGCGACTGCCTAGCTTCGCGTCAGCAGAGGTCTAACATAACTACCCGCAGCATCATCTTCTCGTGTTGGACGCGTACGCTCGACCTTATAGCCCGCCACCTACGGACCGAAAGGATCGTCTTCCTGCGTATTGATGGTGACTGCCTGCTTTCAAAGCGGCAGCGCATCATAGATCGCTTCGCGAGCGACAGGGGCGTGCAGGTCCTCCTCATGACCACCGGGACGGGCGCGTTCGGGTAAGAGACGCCAGCAGGACCCAATCACCAGACCCCCAGGAGTTAGCAAAAAGACACATCGCTAATCAACTTTTTTTTGCAGACTAAACCTCACGGCAGCAAACCGCATCTTCCTTGTCGAGCCACAGTGGTAAGTACCTAACCCGCCCAACTCTACACACTCTACCCTGAGTCCATTATTAACACCCACCACAGGAACCCAAGCGTCGAGAACCAGGCCATTGCACGTGCCATCCGCATCAAGCAGGTCAAGGAGGTCCAGGTGACGCGGTACGTGATCAAGGACACGGTCGAGAAGGAGATGCGGTCCCAGCAGATTGTGAAGCAGCTTGCCGCCAGCGTCGGGTTCAAGAGGGACGGAGCGGCGGCTTGAGTTTATTGTTGTCATACAGAAGGAGTGCTCTAATTGTATCTCATTTTGAACTCGGAAAGATAGTTGCCAGTGCAAAAAAAAAAAAAAAAGCGACCAGAAACAAAAAAAGAAAGATGCAATCCCGCTGTAGAGATGCTCGAATGTTGCTTATGCGGCTAAAGTGGATCGAACACTTGACCTTCAGATTGAGATGCTGAAGTTGGGCTTCAGTCTGACGCTCTCCCAGCTGAGCTATATCCGCATTCGTTACTAGTTTTTGATGAAATTTAGCAGCAGAAACAGTCGCCATCATGTGGAGCGGCGACGGGGCCCGCCCACCTGGTGGAGGGAGACGCCGGTATGGAGCTGCATGTCTTTGGCGGCTCCGCCGGATCCGCCCGGGGACGGCAACGGGCTTGGGCGGGCGCTGCATTTGCAAAATAGAACTGCTGCGGCCTACGACTGCTTCTGCCCTTTACTCGTACTAATACGTCACATCTCGTAGCGAATGTACAAATAAGAAATTTTAGGTTCATGTTGACGCATGCCAGTCTTCTACCAAGGTTCTGGCGCTTGCTTGGAAGCAACGGTTGGATTAATGGGAACATAAACACTCGAGTTTAGACACGGCCTGAATCCAACGTACATACCAGGTACCTACTCTGGAAGGGTTTCGCCTAAGGGACTGCTGATGCATAATTTACAGTAGGTGCATGTACCTTAGTTACCTACTAGGCGCTAGAAGTGTGCTGAAATTGATCGTCTGGCGACTTGAGCCTGCACTGTAGTCTAATTGGTAGTGCGGGTTCCCCCACAGTGCCGACAAAAAATAGCAGCCCACAACCCCTCTTAAACCCACAAAGAAAACATCGCGAGCATGAATGTTTAGGTTGGGACAAGGGAAATCCACCGCACTAGCAATTGGTAACGATACAACAGAGTTGTCATTTCCTAATTGAAAGCAATCTATTAATACATCCACTTTGCCCGATCTTACTACATTGCGTTATTACGTCATCTGCGGCATGTTTTATGTTGCGCGCTGTGGGATTCGATCGATAGAAGTGGGTAGGTGCACTTACAAGTTACATCATTCGCGAACCTGGGGCATTCGTGCAATCTCCCCAGATCCGTGCAGGCGGAGCATTTGGCATCACGCTAAGCCACCCGCCTTATACAACAATTAGAGTCACTTGACATTCAAGTCGTTAAATAATTACGTGCGACTGTTTCCCGTCGTCAACAGATACAACAAAGGCCTCTGCCACCTTCATGCGTTAATGCCGATAATGACGGCTAGGTCGTGTTGGTGGGCGGTAAGTGTTGGACCTCCGAGAAGACCGAGCTCAAAGTGCCCACTGTCCCACCGTGAATACCGTCCGACCACCCACCGTTACACAAGCTGATGCGGATGCTGAAAGGGGGCTGATTTCGGTCCCTGCATCGAAACTAGTTCTGCGCCCAGGATAATATTATAATTTCCCACGTTACAAAATATCGATGCTTGAAATTGCCGAAGACTGCAAGTATATCCGATGACGGGGGGCGGCCAAGTCCCACTAAACCAAATTTAGCATAAAATCCTGAGCCTTATAAGGACAGGTACCCCCCACCCGGGTCCTGCCGTTGATCTGCGACAGGTCTCGAGTTGTGGGGCTAGATGTGACCTCCCTCACCCTTATTTCGACCTGCCTTGCCTGCCGAGAACACTCACCAACGAGTCATCGAGCTGCTAGAACTAGGTACTTCTTACGGGCTTAGTGAACGCTGATTCTAGCGGAAAGGACACTGAAGAGCATGGGCAGCAGGTGACTGGAATCTGTAGCGCAGTGTGGGGACGTGTGGGGATAGACGCTCATGTGGCTAGCCGTTGAGAAGGTGCAATAGCCGTTGGCTGTATAGCAGCTGCTTGAAAAGGGTGCCACCGACGACGCGAAGAATAGGAATCAGGGCTTACTTAACACCGACCACACTTGCCGGCAGCCACGAATGAGCATGAAGAGGCGGCGGAACGGATGCAAGAGCACAAAGTCCAGCTTAATGTGAGGTATCCCGAGGTAAACAAAGTAGCCATAGCTCCTTTTCCACCCCAGCGCCAATCAGTATAAATCCCCATCCCATCCAAGCTATCCCATTTGTTTCTTTCCCCCACCGAGTTTGACTTTAAGTCCGTGATGCCTGACCTGCTATCAAACCCCCAGAAGCTCCGAACCACAAGAGGCACGCTGTTGCCTCAGACCAGGCCAGATCATCAGAGGAACTGCCCATACACCCCCCCAAACCCTGCAGCGCGGTATTGACCACCACCTGACTGGAAGAAGTAGTTGTCGCCTGACTGGGCTAACGACGTCATGGGCCATTGGGTGATTGGGGAGGGAGGCCCATGCGGCGGGATGAATCCGGGGGTCGGTGGGTTGCTGCCAGTGAAGCCCGTCGAGTAACTCTGGCCCGAGTTTTCTCTGGTTGGAATAGTCGGGTCGAATGGTGAGCCCAGGGCGTTTAGGTCGACAACACAGTCCTCGTGCCCCAAGGGCTGGGCTAGGTACACAATGTCGTTCATGCCAGTGCCGACTGCTTGGGGTGCCGGAACAGCCAGGAAAGGTTGCGCAATGCTGCCGGACACCCATGGCCCGCTTGTGATATATCCAGGCTGCATTGAGTCAGCCATCATCTCAGACGCATTGCCGTAGCTGACGTTGTGGGATGGCAGCGCGCCGGATTGTAGGTGTGCCAGCTCAAGTTGTCCTGGGTGTCGGTAGCAAGGTCCCTTGACTAGAACGCAACGAGGGTCGATCGAGCCGTTGTAGGGCGCTTCAATGTTGGAGGCTTCGTAATATTGGTAGTCGATGGGTTTGGTGAACGAGGGTGGTTCTTGTGTATCGTTCTGCTGCTCGGGGAGACACAAAGCATCGTCAGTGAACTTGACAGTCTCGCAACAACTAAGGTATCGAGAGAAACCATACCTCATTGCCAGCCATAAAAAACCGCTGATAATCAGACGTGTTCGCCATCGCGACTTTAACGCAATCGTATGAGACCAGGGCCCAAATGGGGCTCAGACGGCGCAGAGGATCGGGACAACGGAGCGTGGGTGATGCACGAATGCGAGGTCTCACTAGTTACCCAAGTCCGTATTGACTACGCACGAGACCATTCATATTGTAATTGTCTGTCCAAGCCATCGCTGATACGTTGGCAGGCATCCCCCTGAATCATCTCATCTGATAATGGGCGGTGGGTCCTAACGAGTTGTGTACTCCATTGGATCGTTGGTTATGCAGCCATGAAGAGGCGGGAAGACGTTGACTTCGGAAGCGGCCTTGCAGAAGACCAATAGCGGTGAGAGCCATATCTAGTATGACTCGGCGAAAGGAAAGACATTAGCTCTGGTGCTGGACTTGCAGGTCGTATTGATTGACTTCATCTTCGAGCCCCCCCGGGGGGGGGGGGGAGAAAGGAGGTTGTTGTGCGACAGCAGGTGCCGGGCCTTCCATCAAAAAGGATTCGTGCACTTCCAGATTAAATGTTGGCTGATTGCTATAGAGGGAAAGGCAGCTGAGGGTCGGAATTGCAGAGATGTAAAGATACTCCAATGCAAATCCAAGCGAGAGAAATGATCAGTGAAGCCGGGGAAACACGCGCTAGATAGCCCCCGGTTCGGGAAAGCAACAACACTATCAGGTCAAGAAAAGTAGAAGTGTTAACGAAGTTGGAAGAGGATTTCAAGGGGTAAAGAGTAAATCTCTTGTCCATCAAAGCCTTGTACGGACATTTTTAGCTCAGCCCCATCCCCCGATGTGTACGCCTATGTGTCTGCCTTTCTACCTGCCCGTGTCTGCCTATCGACCTCCCTGGGCCATCTCCATGCAGCAACTTAACTTGAGCTCCGTCTCAAAGAGAGCACATACTGTGTATTTTGTGGATGGCCCTGGAAGGATTCCAACCCCCCGCGCAGTTATGTCGCGCGGCTCTGCATGACACCCTGTAAGCCCGGTTCACTCTGCAGGTCGCCTCTCCATATCATGTAGGGCCGGCTACAGCCAAGAGATCGGAAGTGCATAAACGGAAGATTCCTAGGTCCGGATACCGAACAAGGTAAAGCGTGACTGGATATGACAAGACCATTGGGACCGAGCTGATAGTGCACCTGCATACCGTCCCTGACAGCTCTTTGGCGTCCCTACACCACTGTATTTCCACGCAACGCTTCCATTGGGGCTTGAGCACCCATGTCGCCAACCAGTGCATAAGAATCGCTCCTCTAACGCGAACACACGCAACCAATTATTGCACTTACAGATGCAGGTCAACCATCGGGTTTGCTGTCCGCGCCCAATGGTTAGTCTAGATCTTACCATTATATCTGTATGGGATTTGGGGCAAGTCCGACCAGATGTAGGCGATACTTGTGGGTTTTTTTTATTGTTGTTGTTGGGGGGGTTGTAGCAACTGAGATTCCCACTCGCTGCGCATGACAATGGGTGTCAGAGTGAGTGATAGTTCTTGTGTGGACCTGAACCACGGCAGCCGTTAGTAGTGATGGAAGCCGATTGATTCGGGTGACTGCATTTTTAGGCGACAGCAGTTTCGGGTGACAGCCCACTAGACTCGGTTGTAAACTATCTAAGTCAGGTGGTCTGCTTATGGAACACCCCTGGATTTGGAACAAGGTTTGTCATCAAGGACTGGCCGCTCGCCACCCAACTCACCTATTTCAATCGCTTGCAACTCAACCAATTCTGCTTCAATACTTATCTTCTTTTCTCCATTCAATTGAGAAATGAAAGATGAAGCGATATACCCAGTTGGATTTGCAGAATGCGCTGGCAGAGTATGCAGAAACCGGCTTACTCCGTAGCTCTGCTGAAAATCACGGCATCCCCCCTACTACTCTCTTTAATCGGGTTCGTGGTTCCGAGCCAGCCTCCAAGGCCCAAATTCTTAATCAAAAGCTTTCTCCGGCTATGGAAGAACGCTTAACCGAATGGATTCTATTCCAAGGGTCGCTCGGTCACCCTCCAACCCACGCCCAAATTCGGAAACTAGCTAGAAGAATGCTCGAAGATAACGAGACCCTCGGAAAACGCTGGACTAGCCGGTTTTTGGCTAGAAATCCATCTATTTCTACAATTAGGCCTCGGAGAATCCATGGAAACCGTGCTGATCGAGCCTGTGAGGCCGTTATCCGGCCTTGGTTTGACTATTTGAAGCCTCCAGGCGTGGAGGCTATTCCAGCCAAGCATAGGTATAATATGGATGAAACTGGCATTGCTTCTGGCATTGGAGATAACGGCCTGGTTGTTGGATCTAAGGAAAGAAAGAAATTCCAGAAAAAGAAGAAAGGAGACCGAATTTGGACCTCGATTATCGAATGTATTTCCGCTGACGGCCGGTATTTGAACCCAGTCGTCATTTTCAAAGGTGGAAGCCTTCAACAACAATGGTATCCACGCGATTTACAGCCATTTAAGGGCTGGAAGTGGAAACCCACTGAAAACGGCTGGTCTGACGATGATACTGCCGTCGCATGGCTCCGCAATATCTTTCTTCCAGAGACTCGGCCAGCTACCCCCTCGGAGAAGCGCCTCCTTATTTTAGATGGCCACGGTAGTCATACCACCGAAGAATTCATGTGGCTAGCCTTTTCTAATAACGTACAATTGTTATTTCTACCAGCCCACACCTCCCACGTTCTCCAGCCCCTGGATTTATCGGTTTTCGGCCCTCTAAAAGCCCGGTACAGAGCCAAGCATAACGAGGTTGTTTCCGGCTTCGACGAAGGCACTGTTGCTGAAAAAAGGGCCTTCCTAGAATGCTACCGGCAAGCCAGGGTCTATGGAATGACTGAATCTAATATCAAAGCCGGCTGGAAAGCTACAGGCCTCTGGCCGGTCAGCCTCAGGAAGCCCCTAAGCAACGGCCTTGTTATTAAGAATCTTAACGGCGACGTTGGTCAACTGACCTCTACGGTTTCTATAGACCTTCAAGAGGTCCATAACCCCATTCTAAATAAGAATTCGGAGGGCCGGCCTATATGGTTTACCCCTAAAAAGCCGAAGGATTTCCGTATTCAGGAGCAGGTTTTTCTAGCCGGCCAGAAACGGACTGCCAACGACCGACTTTTCATACACAAGGCCGCAAAAGCCTTCGATTAAGTGGTTTTCCAACTAGCCAATACGGCGCATCAATTGGAGGCTGCAGAAAAAAGCCTAGAACGCACAAGAGGCCGAAAGAGAAGGAAGGTCCAAGTCGACCCTAATACGCAGTTCGCTGGAATTGAGGAGGTTCGTGCCTCACAGAGAGAGGCTGGCAGAGAGGATCTTAGTTATTCTGAAAGAGAAGAATCAGGAGAATCCGATACTGAAGACTTCATCATTGTAGCTAATTAATTGACAAAGTTGTTGGCAATTGAAGTTTGTGGTGTTGTGCGGGGTCCGATTCAGGGGCTGTTCTATAGGCAGGGGTGTTCCAAAAGTCCCCCACCTGACTTATGTAGTGAGGGTTCGGGACTGTAAATCACTTTTTGAACGTATATGTGCGGTGGTTTTGGTTGGTAAGGGTTTGTGGGATTAAATCGTATCTGTTGGGGTTTCTATTATTTGCTGCTGTGTATTCCGTACTCGTCAGGGCTTCTGAAATCGCCCACCTGACCTAGTCGTAAGTAAGGTCCCTGACGACGGGGGTAAAGGTTTTTGCACACGGTTTTCGAGATCCACGGCTTCTGAACGAGTGCCTAACTGCTTGGGGTAGTTGCTGACCGAGGCCCTGTACGGAAGCTCGGGCAAAAAGAATTTGCCACCCTTCCCACTACTTTCCCCGAGTGCAAGGCCCAGAACGCCTCGTTCCACAATCGCTTATGGCTCGCATGCTAGCTTCCTGGTTACCCTAACAAGCCAATCTTCCACAGTGTAAAAAGATCAAGGTCTTAGATCTAGGCAATAGAAGGGAATACCAGCCTAGGCCGGCACCTGGCTACATGGGTGGTACTGTAGGAGTTCGAAAATCAGCTACTGTGGAGGATGACCCTTTCGTTTTGCCCAAGCCTCCGTGTAGGGGGGTTAGCTTGTGACAACACACTGCAGGTGGTAGTGTACAGTATGTACAACATGTACGTACCGAACTGCCCGGGCATGCTGAGAGCTGTAAGGTGACGTGGAGGTCAGCTACGAGGAGGAGGGGGACAAGGGTTGTGAGGCCGCGAAGGTAAAGGGGTTAAACATGGGGCGGTGCACTATCTCTTATGCACTAACCTCTAGTTAGTCATTGTTAGCGCAAGTACTTCCATGGTGCTGGCTTTCCAGTGCCAAAGAAGAAGGCTAAAATTGTAGTGCATGCCAGAATGACAGTGACCCAATCCCCTAAACTTTGCCCGGCATTTTGGTGCTCCCAGCTGCTGTATCCCCGAGCTTACAGGGAGGACAGCATGTACAGGCCATTGGCGGGCTGGCGCACGCAAGATTGCGCGGGTAACTGAATCGATTGGTCGCCAGGAGTCCCAGCCAGCGGCAAGAATTGTAATCAGCTAGCAAGAAATTTGAGTCACGTGAAAAGGCCGCGTCGTGGATTGTACTTCGGTTGAAGTCCATTATGTGTGGTGTAGTATTGAGGGATCGTGGCTGGGGCGAACAAAGGTGAGCAAATCACGATTAGAGCCTGAGAGAGGGTTGGCGAGGCCACTTCGGTCGTGCAAGAGCACGGATGCCCCTAAACTTTTCTTAACTAATAAAACGTGACGTCAAAGAAGGTTAACTTGGCGGATTGCTTCGCCCGCAATGGAGAGGTTCGGCCATGGAAAAGAGTCTTAGTCAAACAGTATTCTGACTGATCAAGGAGTTTTCTGATTGATCCTGACCTTCGTTAGCTTGCGCTCTAGAAAGCCTCTGTATAATTCCTAGCGGTGGAATGGAATCCCAACTTTGAATGTGGTGATATCAGCACTAATTATTAAACTGTTGGCGTGGCCGCTTGGATCGCTAGCCCGAATTTGAGGCCATCACGGGGGCTGGGTTCTGTGACACAGGAAAAGGTCGTGGTAGCACTTGTACTTTTACTCACCAAGGCTAGCATTCCCATGGCCACGGCCGTGTCCTCGGCCTCAGGTAGGAAGTACTTCTTCTCGGCCGACTTTGCAGATCTTTGTCTTTTGGGTCGTCTGAGCGATTGGTGCACGATATCGAGGCAATGGTACGTCGGTTGCTAGCTCCTGTTCTCATAGTGGAGATTGGCTTGAACATACCTGTGTAAAGATGTCCGGGCACTATAGTATACGGGTAGTGGTCTTATTGAAGCGCCCGAACCTAAGATTATTTACAAAGGAAACACGTTCGCCTAGGTTTTAAAACCACACCGGATTACATAGTAATCATGAAGGTAATAGCCAGATACATCAATCTCCACGCCAAAAAGAAAGAGATATGAAGAAAAGGGAGAAAAATCGAAATACCTTGGAAATCCACAAAACAAAATCACATTGCCTCAGAAAACAAGTTCCTATAACCGGGGGGCTTGTGAGTTTTGCACTCCAACGATATGGCCCATAATCACCGAGAATACTTGGGGGACATCATCATTGGCAATGACGGCTACACCACTGAGGCGTGGGATGTTACTATTGACAGGAGCGAACGGCCTTTGGGGTCAAATTTCGGCCGGCCCGTCGACTGGGGAGAGAGCGATGGTAGTTCAATGCTTAGCGGTTCGAAAGGAGGAAGGTGGGCTGCCGAGGCATTTCGGGAAGGCGCTCTTCATGAAGTGCTCTTCGCCCGCACGCGCGGAAAGTTCTAGGCCTTGCCATGATCGGCGGCGAGGAAAATCCTGCCAGCATCATCTTTAACTTGGAACGCTATTCATAATTACACATGGTCCCCAGTCAGGTTAGGCGGTATTGGACCAGGGACGGGTGCCCAACTGCCGCGGCCAGGCCCGAGTGCCATTCGTAATGCCAATTGACGGACGGCGAGGGCCAGTTCCGTTTCTTCCGGAACGAGCCCCGCTGGGGAGAAGAGGTGGCACGTTGCAGGCGGCGACATTTGCCAGCACTTTTACCGGAGCCCCGTCGGAGCACCAGACCTGCACCCACAATGTCCGCATAGCTCCAAACATGTGGCCACTCTCAGCTCAGGGCTGTTTCGTCTAGCTTCACCCCGGCCACGGCCCAACCCTCCTGCTGGCCCGACGATCTGGTATTATCAGGCTCGGCATGTCGTCTAACGTGCAGCGCCAAGACTGATTTTTTTCCACTACGGCAAGCCACCGAGAAGCCAGGTACAGCCCATCTGAAAGCCACAGATACCTGATACTCTCAATGCACCTGAGAATCTGCGGGTGGCCGCAAGAGTGATGAAAGTAATAATACAAGCCCATGCAATTAGGAACCGGTAGAAATACCCCTTTCTGCACCCCCATATCGTCCTATGTTCTCCTCGCACTATTAACAACGGACCCTGACAAGGCACGAGAAGCGGCAAGGAAGCTTCGCGGGACCCAATATCTGGGCCGACTAATGGCGGTTGCAGGTTACAGCCGACAGCCATGCTCGGGGCGGTCTGAGGCCGGTGCGGAGAAGCTTGCGTCCTCGCGTCTCCAAGCCCGTTTTTTCCAAAGTGGCAGAAAATTATAGCTCTCAATGGCGACATGGCGCACACGCAGCATGTGGACAAGAGATCAACGAGCGAGACCGCGCGGCATACCAGGTAACATGGGGCCCGACAGCCTTGGCTTAAGAGGGCCCGTCTCTGTCTCTGAGTCTGCCCCGAGGACCCCCAGTGCTGTGATAGGAATGTCCGAGTCGTGTCGCTCCCAACCACCACCATGCTCCCTCTCGTCATCACCGCCGCGCTCCTAGGCTTCTCGGGGCTTGCCGCGGCGCAGCTCCAGTCGTCGGAAGACGGCACCTGCGGCCCGCCCAGCAACTACACCTGCCTGGGGTCAGATGACGGCAACTGCTGCTCGGCGCACGGGTGGTGCGGAGCCACCGACGAGCACTGCGGTGCGGGCTGCTTGTTGGCCTGGGGGCTCTGCGGCGCGGGCGTGGGTGGCACGCCCGTAGTCTCGACAACCCCGTCAACCATCTCGACGAGGAGCGTGTACACGCCGACGACCGGGGAGTCGGCATCGGCGTCCGCCTGCCGTGTCTACATCACCGAGATTGTGCGCACGACCGTGGCCCGGACCGTGACCCAGCCGCAGGAGACGACGACGGTGACGCAGACGTCTTGGACGCTGCGGCCGCTCACCATACGCACCACCTTGTCAACGACACTGACCCAGACCAGCCTGATCATCATCCCCACGACCACTATCGCGCGGGTCACGACAACAATCCCCACGACGACGGTGCAGACCGACACGGTTACGGCCAACGTCACGTCGACGCAGACGGAGCGCACCACGTCGACGTCCTTCTCAATCGTCTTCGCCACCGTCTTCAATACCATCAACGTGACGAGCTACTCGACTATCTGGGCTACGAGCACGCTCACGGCGACGCAAACGCTCGACACGACGCGCGTCTTCAGCGAGACGCTGACCTCGACGCTGACGCAGTCGGCCACGGTCACGCAGACGAACCTGCTGACGGCCACGACCGACCTCACGCGCGTCTACAACACGACGTCAACGGCGTTCCGCACGCGCACGCGCACCGTTACGTCCGAGATCGACATCACCTCGACGGCGGTGCTCAGCACGACTGACACGGCTACGCGCACTATCACGCGCACCGCTACCATCCCGCTGTACCTGACCATCACGGCCACGACGGACACGACACGCGTCTTCAACACCACGTCGACGTCCATCGTCGAGCTCACCACCACCGTCGTCGAGACCCTGACCGCCACCATCCGCACCACCCGCACCATCCGCTCGACCCTCACCATCCGCTCGACCCTGTCCGTCACGGTCACAATCACCGATGCCGGGGGTCCGCCGACGTCGACGATCACGCCGTCCCCGGCGGTCCTCACGCCGACTGTCGCGCCGCCCGTCGTGCTGACGCCAACCGTCGCACCGCCCGTAGCGCTGACGCCGACCGCCGCACCGCCCGTCGTGCTCACGAGCGTCACCACCATCACGCCGCCGAGTGTTTCCCTGCCGACCAACACCCCCACGCCCGCATCCTAGCACTGGCATGTCAAAGCGACAATGCGAGTGAGCAGAAGGGTTGATGAGAATTCACGGCTGTCGAAGCGGAGAGCCATGGGGTACAGGCAGAAAAAGGGCAAGGCAAAGATGGTTAGCAATGCTTAAGCAGATAAATTCTCTTTCACGTGGAAAAGAAAGGCAGTTCAAAAAGCAAAATCGGATAATACCCGGAAACAGTGAGCAAACAAAACAAGACAGGACAGGACAGCACAGCAAAAGCATTGGAGAATTAGGTATCTTGGCGGAAATAAAAAAAGGAAACCAACAGCAAAGCTTCACGTGATAAAATTTGTTGATAGGCACAGCCTCCTGAGGGAGGTGACGGTTGCAAGGCGAAGGAGAAGCACGCTTGGCGACTGAGGCTGTGCCTACCTGCAGGACGGCGTCAGATCTCCGCCCGCGTCATACCATGCCGTTCATTTCCCCGAACGAGTAGTAGCAGCAAAAAAATGCGCCATTTTCATTTTCTATCCTATTCCACCAGATCTGATACGACCCGGCCGAGCCGAAAGTGAAAGTTCAAATCAGTTCTAATAACGATTCAGTGAAAAACAAGCAACCACAATCACAACCACAACCATAAACCAAGACAAATGAAATGAAGCGCCTCCTGCGCATCGCGACGGGCCGGCCCGACGCCAGTGCGTCGGCCCTGCGCGCGGCGGCGGCGGCGGCGGCGCCGACGGCATCGGGCGTCGCGTTTGTCGACAACTCGCAGGGCGCGTCGCAGGCTGCGGCGGAGCTGTCAGCGGCGCTGGGCACGGCGCTGGACCAGATTGATTTTGAGGGTTTGTTTCTCTCTCTCATTGGTCTTAATTGTTTACGGGGTACTTGGTTGTGAGATGAATGTGTTGTGTTGATGGCAATGGACAAATGCAGGAACCCTCGACGAGACGCTCCGGCGCTTCGTGCACCGGCTCGACGAGGTGGCGTCTGACTACGACAATTCGCGGCTGCGCGACGGCGGCGCCGGGCAGGCCCCGTGGGAGTGGTGAGTACCTTACTCACCTCAAACCACCCCCTGAAGATCTTCGTCGTTGTTTACCGAGAACTCTAGCACGCAGCACACGGCGCAACTAGTCTCGATTGCGTGGGCCTGCGCGCTCGATGCCTACACCGCCACCGCCGCCAGCATCCTGGCAGAGACGGACACGGCGACGTACCGCTTCGAGCGCGACTGGGTCGGGGCGCCGTCAGTCGGCGGCACCGTCAAGACTCTGACATCGACCGTGGTCAGCCCGCTGGCAGACGCCGTCGACAACGACAACACGTGGCTGCCGGTGCTGGTCATCGCGGTCTGCGGCACTGTCACTACAGTGGACCACATGGTCAACGCCAACGGGCGGCCCGTCGATGCGGTGGGCTTCGTGGTGCGCATTCATCCCCTGACCTATCCTCCGAATAATTATTGCATTCTGATTAACAAGACGAAAGGGCACGTGCTACGGCGCCGACGTGCGCGCTCACGCGGGCTTCCTCAACAGCGCCGACGCGCTCGACGACACGGCGCTTGCGCGCATCAGCAGCTACGTACGCGCGCAAAAGGCCCGCGGCGCAAACGCCCACGTGCTGTTCGCCGGGCACTCGGCCGGCGGCGCCGTCGCGTCGCTGCTGTATCTCCGGTACCGCGGCAGGCAGGAGTTTGGTAACTTTCCCCCTTTTTTCAATCGCAACCTACGGAAGGTTAGACACAACGAGTCTCACACTACTACTCAGCATCCACAGCGCGCTTCTCGTGCATCACCTTCGGCGCGCCGCCGGCCGTGTCGTTGCCGCTGACGGCCGTCGGCAGCAGCGGCACCGACACCGACAGCGACAGCAACGACCCCGTGTGCCTATCCCTCATCAACGAGTTCGACCTCGTCAGCCGCGCCGACACGCCGTACGTGGTCTCAGTGGCGAGCCTGTTCCGCGCCGCGCAGCAGAAAAGCCTCCCGCGCGGCGAGGACAAGCCTGTCGTGCTCGAGGTCGAGCAGGAGGACGAGGACGAGGGCAGAGATGAAAAATCGTGGCCGCTACCCCGCGCGCTGTTCCACCACGTCGGCCACGTCGTTGTGCTGGCCATGCGGCTGGAGGGTGATAGTGATGGTGATGGTGATGGTGATGGTGGTGGTGTTGACAGCGCCGGCGCCGGCGCTGTCCAGCTTAGGGCTGTGCGCGTGAATCATGGTGTGCTGGAGCGGCTGTTGTTCTGCCGCGTCGCTGTCCACCGCCGCGCGTGCTATGATGAGCGCGCGAGGCTGCTTGCAAGGGGTGAGTTTAATGGGTTGAAGGGCTGGGTGGTGTGATGGCTGGGTCATGCGTGTTGTATGGGATTGCATTCTCTTGGCTTGTCATAGTTGGGTAGTCGGTCTCTATAAAGAATTCTCTTGGCGGCCGAAGACAGTTAGCCCAAATCAGAGTCGCTTCAGCCTCAGCTCACCTTCGGCTCAACCCGGCGAAGCCCACGCTCACCATTCCACAAAATTGTTAACTTTACGCGACTCTGTAGGGGACGGGTTTTGGGCCTCACTCTCTAATGGCCTGAAAGAGGGCCAAGTAAGTAGGACTTATTTCTTATCTACCCTGCCAATACTAATAACCTTCAAAACGGAGGCCCAGAAATGGTCCCGATAGTCTAACGTATTCATTCTCCGTTTAAAAGGTTTCTTTGATACCTTCGGGTACTAGCTAGATAGGAAAGTAATTCCGCTCCGTCCTACTACCTACCGCACGACTATTCGTTTCCCAAAATTAGATAAAAGGCGTAGTTCCGGTTCTACTACCTATAATACGACTATTCCTCAATACTGTAAATGAAGAGGTAGCTATTACAAACCACTCAGCTGTTTGGGTCATCTGTCTATAAGGGAGCACGGGCTCTGTGACGGCGGGGCTCAGTGTAAGAGAAGGCAGGTACATCGGATCAAGGTGGTCACAATGCAGGTAAGAAGGTGGGCGAGCAACGAGTAGTATTGGTGTGAGACTTCAACCTGGCCCTCGCAAAGGAAGGTGGGCGAGGGCCACTGTTTACATACGTGCTCAGGGGCTCAGGCCCGGGGCACCATGGCGTGGCGTAGTGGCTTGTGCCAACTGGCAGTGTTCCGGCCAGTTGGTAACAGGTGGTGAGCGCGCACCCTGTGCGCGCGGCTGGTGTTCGGGTTGTCCTTTCCTTACACTCAGCACCTACTACCGCTACACTACACCTTCCAAACGGATGCCAGAATTGCAAGCTGCCAGCTGCAATCTGTAGTAGGTTATAGTATGGTCATGCACTCGTAGGCCTGCTCACAGCGCCTACGGTACCGTGCCGTGACAGGCTCCACAGGATGCCGGGGTTGGTAGTTATGAAGATAGAACAAAGGGCAAGCTCCTATCGCACGGGTAATAATACCGTCAAATTGGAATGCCACTCAAAGTGTATGAGTGCAGTGAATGTGTATTGCTTGCTTGAGAACTAAGCAAGAACTATCTAGGACCGTGGGTACGGTCATCGTATATATCTAATTGTGTAACCAATAAGGGAGTTGCTTTGTTGCTCTTATTGTGGAGAGACAGAGCACATCGCTCTGTGCTCCACGTTACAGAGCAACTGTGGGTCCTGTCTGCTCTGTTCCCCACAGAGCAGAGCAACTGTGGGGCCAAACCCCTCCTTCAACGGGGTTGGCCGGGGCGGGTCCCGCCGCCTCTGCCCCGCTTCTGAACCAGTACGAATAGGGATTCGTGACAGTAGCTCGTTCGGCCTACTACTATTACAAACCACTCGACTGTTAGGGTCGTCTGTCTGTAAGGGAGCACGGGCTCCACAGGATGCTGGGGTTGGTAATTATGAAGATAGAACAAGGGGCAAGCTCCTATCGCACGGGTAATACAGTCAAATTGGAATGCCACTCAAAGTGTATGAGTGCAGTAAATGTGTATTGCTTGCTTGAGAGATCAAGCAAGAGCTATCTAGAACCGTAGGCACGGTTGTTATATATATCTATCTACTGGACCAATAACAATGGTCCCACTGTCCCGTGGTCCCGCGTCCGGGACTCCGGTCCTCCGGGGCTGTCCCGTGTCCCCGGGCCCAAGTGCTCGGGACCCTAGGACACCTCTAATTAGTCCACGCCAAACAGGGAGTCCCCCACCTACACGCATTTCCGCAGGGATTCGTAACAGAAACGAAATACATCTTATAATTCTTCATTAAATGTTTCAGGAGCCTTTAGCAAGGCGAACCTGACAAGACCCAGGCTGCTCTCTTCCAAACTTTCTCCTGGTCTCCCGGGCGATTCTGGCCGGTACGTGGTCTCGAGACCCGTTTTTGCCGGTGACTAATTGAACACGAAACACTTCAGACTCGGTTTCGGATAACAAAAGTAAGCCTATTTGTCGTGAAAGCTAAGCGCGTACAGCAGAGCGCACAGGCTTGGCTACTTGGTCATCGTGATCCAGGCCTTGGCCGCCACCTTTCGAGCTGGCCTGGCAAAGAGACCTCCCGACTGGGGTAACCACTGCGCTGACTAGGCATGCTTCTAAAAGTCCTCAAAAAATATACCGCATTGGGTATACAATCTTCTGTGCTCGTCTCAATCAAGTATAAATTCCTGGGGAGTTCCCGCTTCCATGACCATTGCTGAGTTTTTGATCATCAGCAACCTCGCTTCCAGTCTTGGCACTTTGCTGCACTTGCCCGGTCCAAGACATAACCTCCTCTTTCAATTCATTTCTCTTCATTCGCTCTAACAGCTTCGAAGTTCCGTCAGCGCATGATGAGGAGACCCGATCTTTTACCTTTGCTTCTTCTCCTCGTTGCTATTGCCACAGCCGCCCCTGTCCCAGATCTAAAACTCGGTGGCCTCGGTGGATTGTTCGGCCCATTCGGTCCGTTCGGTCCATTTTCCGGGAACGAAAACAGAGTCAGACACTCGAGTCCTATTGAACGTGATGCCGAAACTAAGGAAGCCGGCATCGAAGAGCGGGCACCGCGCTGGGGCGGCTTCGGTGACACTGGTGGCCTCTCCGGTCGCTTTTGGCCCTTTAGCTCCTCCCCTCATGATAAAAAGCGCAGAAACCAAAACAAGGACGTTCAAACAGACAGTAGAATTTCTAAGCGGTTGGCTCGAGAGCTCGGTGGCATTGACGGACTTTTTGGTCCTTTTGGTCCCTTTGCCACATTCCTCAGAGAGAAGAATGGAACCCAGAAGTAAAAGAGAGACGGAGGCAGCTTCAAACACGATCATGTCTCACAGTAGCTGGCCGATCCTTCAAGGAAGGATATTTGGCGTGATTAAGCCCCTGGTGTCTCGGTAGCGGCATGTTTTGTTGTGTTCCCTCTGCCTTCTTGGAGGGGCGAGACATGGACGACAAACCAGATGGAAGGGTACGATAGCTGGGAGGATTTTGAGAACTAGCGCAGATGTGGCATTGTGAACGGTGTAACCACCAAAGCGTTTCGGTATTGTGGAGTGTAGGTTAGTATTGTCCCTGTGCTTCGCAGGACTTGAAACGGGATGTCTTTCAGAGAGTTTTAGTCTAAGAAACGTGGAAGGAACATATTGTGATGAATAAAGGAAAGGCCATATTGTCATTTTGTGCCATATGTGCTCTCCAGACGGGGTCTCCGGTTCTTGTCAAGGGTGTAGTAATGGGATGCGTTACTCATTGCGTGGTGTTTGAGACGAGATTGGTCAAAGACAGTCCAGAGTTAGAGCTGGAGACTTAGACCTGGCAAGCTGACCCGGTATGCAGAGCTGTAGCCGGATTCAGCGATTGAAACTATCGCCTCCGTTTGTCTTATCATCCTGTCGCTTCGATGGTCGGCTGGCTAGTCGTGACACTGCACAACCGGACTGTTGAGTGATGGTTTGCCCTGAGGTTTGGGTGCCGTCCCCGGAGGACAGCGGCGCAGCGAGGCCGGCGTGGGCCAGCCCCCTAACCCCCCTTCACCAGGCCTGCTGTTGGCCCAACCAAGGCCTTATTGGCGACCAAACAGAGACTCAAATGCCCTGGCAGGGGGTTTTTGGATCTCTTTCTCTGTCCCTTCAACTATTCTTTCCCTTTCATTTTCCCAGTCGCGCGCAACTAAATAGTCGGGTCACACGCCGTTGACATTCTATTCTAGCCTTGGTAATGGCGCCACGAACCAATGAAAGCGTTTCTTTCAAGATGAATGCCTCCGAAATTGACGTCGAACGCCACGGCGGACAGCAGGCCCCGACCGAACCCGTACCAAAACCTCAACTCGGGGACCAATTCGAGCTGGACGAAGCTGTGACTGACGGTATTGCTCCAAGCACTCCGTCGTATACGGGCGACACTGACAAGATCAGGAATAGAATTCTACTCCGGATTTAAGTCTACAGTTGTATCGGCGAGACACTACAGCATGTCTCTCTGGGGTCAAACGGCCAAGATCACGGCTACAGGCCCCAACGGCGAGCAAGAGTACTATTTCCTCAAAATCAGTCCGTTCTTTCCCCAACGTCTTTAGCCATGTCCTAATGTTGCCCTAGCATCATCAATAACACAGGAATCTTCAGAGCGTCGCCGGGAGCGTGACCCCCGAAGCCCAAACCATGATCCGCGGCGAGTTCGAATCCCTACCAGCCATTCACCAAGTCTCGCCAGGCTTCGTGCCCTACCCCATAGCCCTCGGCGACTACCACGCCAACCCAGATACCTGGTTCCTCTTAACCAAGTTCTGCGTCATCGGCGCCCAGCCTCCCTCGAGCCCGGAAAAGTTTGTCGCCCGCCTCGCCGCCCTGCACCGGGACTCACGCTCACCAAACGGCATGTTTGGCTTCCATGTCACCACGTGCCACGGAACGATCCCGCAGGCTCCGGCAAGTTGGCATCCCTCGTGGTAGGCCATGTACGGGCGAATGCTGGGCTACATGGTCCATGTCGGCCAGTGGCGACACGGCAGGTGGCCGCGACCGCAAAGACAACTCGCACAGTTGGTAGTAGACAGCGGGTGCCTCGGCTGCTGAGCGCGCTGCCGAAGGACCTCAAGCCGTGCTTGGTGCATGGGGACTTGTGGGACGAGAATACCGCCCAGGACGGAGAGACGGGCGAGCCGTTTGTGTTTGATACCGGGTCATTCTACGCGCACAACGAATACGAGATTGGGAACTGGCGGGCGGCGAGACACTGGTTGAGTTGCGCTGAGTATGTCGAGGCATATAAGCGGCATTATCCGCCGACGGAGCCGGGTGAGTCTTGGATGCAGGACAATGACTACCAGGATATATATGTAGGAGTTTTCGAAAGGGTAATGAAATGAGTTAGTGGACGAGCGGGACGACCGCAACCTGCTATATTCTCTGCGGTTTGATCTTGGAGCCGCCATTCTGATTCCGGGGTGCCATTTGTGAAAGTGTAAGTCTGCGTGCTTCATTTTCTAGGGACTTAAGGAGCTAAAGAGCCATACCTTGACTGACAAGTGACAGAGGGTGGGATAATATGCTCATATTGTGTTAGAAGTTCTGTCCACAGGAACTTGCTCGAATCCAGGGGTAAGATCTGAGTGACTAAGGAGGCAGCCACGTAGAACGTATGACCTTAGTGGAGGTAATAACCCTTATCAAACACTACATATGGAGGTCTACTGCCGCGTGTTGGGTGCTATATAGAAAATAGCAAATCTTCCGGTAATAGACTGCATTCTCTGAGCTGAGTGTGGAGTCTAAGCTGAAACCTAGACGCCTCTGGTGGTACGGGGAAGCCGGATCGACAAATAGACTCCACGTTGTGTTAAGCCTATCGGATTCAGTACCAGAACACCAAAACACGAACAGATCCGAGATAACCGGACATCGGGCTGATTGACAGCTAGATAAGGTGGCCGGTATCAAATGAGGTTAGCAGATTCGCAGCTCCAAAGCTGAACGCCACGTTACAGATAGATGGCATGGTCAAACGAGATCGTGATTTGCCCAAAGGACTTGCCCCACAAAGAGCAATGTGGCTAGTGGCTGCACAATTCTCGAGGTGGGAAAAGCTCCACTGCATCTTCCGCTGCACGGCAGATCAGCCAATCGAGTATGGTTGGCGGGCCTAGTTAACGGCGATATCCGTAGCAAAAGAAAGTCCAGTCCCGAGGCTTAACAATTGCGCCTATGGATATGGGACTCTTTTCCCCCTTTGGGCAAATGTCTGCAAAAAAATGTGCTGCGCTGAGCTGTCAACCAATACATGCAGGACCTGCATGGACCCAAACTGCCGGTTCACCGCTGCTGAGTAGCCCTCCAATCGGCCACGGGTATGCTAAGCCTCATGCGCAGAGCCATCCGGATAAATACGACCAGGAGCACCGCCACCTGCGGCAATTCCAACAATTCAGCTTCGGCAACTGTGCAATCAGATACTGTAATGGTTAGCTACAATATTGCCCGGACGGATTCTTGCCGAATTTGGTCTTCCTTTTCGAGTCTCCGGTTATCACGCTAACACTGCAGTCGTGGAATGGTTCGATCGGTGACAGCGATGCCATCAAGGATATACTGTATGATGTCAAGGAAATAGATGCAGAAGCGCGCGGCTAGGGGTTCGAGTTCCCAATCTGGTTGCCCGATGAGTTCTGGAGGCCGCATACACTCGAGATGTATTAAAGAAGGCTTTTGACACAAGTCCTTCTGTCGTGAACTCGCTGTATATTCGAGAGGTCTCTCCCTAGCTTAAAGACCAAGTTGTAGACATCCTCCAAGAAACAGCTATCCGAGCACCTCAGTCCAAGCCAGCCATCTACAATGATCCCTAAGCAGGCCCCCGAGCACCCCTTACGGGCTATAGCCCCGCCCTCTATCTTCCTAGAACCCCCCATTCACCCAAATCACAAAGAGATCGACCGTGAAGTGATCGACTACCTAGTCAACACCTGGGAATGGCCATCCGAACGACATAAGAGAGGCTTCGTTAGCTGGAAGCTCAGCGACGTAGTCCTCTTCATGCTCTCCACCGGTGACACATATCGCGTAAAGCTAGCATGCGAGCTCCTTCTCCTCGGCTTCCTAATGGACGGTAAGCATCCTCCTTTCCCCAATCCAGCCACCGGAACCAACACCTCCCATAGACTGGTTCGACCACCACACCCTCTCCCAAACCACAGCCGTCGTCTCCCGCCTCGACGCTCTCCTTGCCTCTCCAACAACCTTCACCCCCTCATCCACAATCGAACGCATGCACCTCTCCCTCTTCACCCGCATCCTCGCCGTCGCCAACACTCCCAACGAACCCGCCATCCTCTCCACCTACATGTCCATGCTTGCCTGCCACTGCGACGCCGCCCGCGACACCACCACTTCCTTGCGCACCTACCTCGCCTTCCGCGAAGCCGACGTCGGCATGCCCATTTGTGTCGAACTCCTCTACTGGACTGACCCCTCTCTCACATCCACACCCGCCTCTGAACGCGCCGCCCTGCGGTGTCTCGACCGCGTCGCCAGCGACCATGTGAGTATCCTCAACGACGTGTTCTCGTTTGAGAGGGAATGGGCTGCCTCTGCCGACGACGGCGCGCCGCTGGTGAATGGCGTTTGTATACTCGCCCACGAGGTCGGAGTGGAGGTGGGCGCGGCAAAAGTTTTGTGTCTTGCGCTAGTGAGGGCGTGGGAGGTCGAGTTCAGACGGCGTGCGAAGGAGGTGCTTGCCTCAGCGAAGGCCGAGGGAATGGATTTGGCGAGGATGGAGAGGGCCGTCATGGGGGTTGAGAGACGGATGTCGGGGGCGGAGGCGTTTTCGTGGCGAACGAGGAGATATTGGTAATTGTGGGAGGTTCTGAGTGGCAGGGGAGATTAGCATCTAGATGGATAGAAATGATTGATGGTGGTCTGACGGTGGTACTGACGTGTTGTGGCCCCGCGCAGACTGGCTGGCGTGGATGTGGTAACCGGACGGGTGGTTTGAGCCACGCGTTGAGATTACTCTACGACGGTGGAAAGACGCGTTCTGATCCGCAAGTAAGAGGATTCGGGTGGTCCGGGGTTTGAAAGTGCTGTGGAGACGAGGCGGCTACGTAGATTAGACGTTCGAGATCCACTAAACTAGACGAGTTCGCTACTCTACAGGCTACAACTGTTGGAATTTGTCAAGCAGAAGGGCCTCGAAGGTTCTAGATAGAGACTTCGCCACCAACTTCGCCACCACAATAGTAGTATAAGAACGGGCTTTCTGGCACTGCCAGAAAGCTAGAGAGAGAAGAACAGACATCTACAATCCATCACTTGAACCACCAGTTTTCGGCGTGCAGCCACGCCCTGTTGAGTCCAGTACCGGTACCCTGGTGAATCCAACAACAACAAACAATCGAGGAGATGAGACTACGCCTCATAAAACGCAGCGAGAATGAACCGCTCGCCGTCGACGCGATCAGGGTTCTCAACACCAAAGACCACAGCGCGCGCCACGTCGCGGATGTCGACGAAGCCGGGCGTGCCCTGGACGCTTGCCCTGTCGAGCGGGACGCCGGAGAGAACGTTCCACACGTGCCCGGTCGAGATGCCGATCTACTTTGGGGAGGAGACGGGGATGACGCTCGGGCCGGTCACGAAGCTGGGAAACGCGTCAGTGACTTACAAGAATACCGAAGGGGCTGGTAGGAAGAGACATACCAGGGGTTGATAGCCGCCAGGCTGAACTTGGGCTTGTGCTGGTCGCGAAACTCCCACACGGCCCTCTCGGCGGCTGCCTTGCTGGCGAGGTAGACATTGAAGCCAGCTTCCTTGCCAAGCTTGGCGACGACGGCCTCAGACTCGTGGTTCCAATCTGCCTCGGTGAAGGTGTAGTCCCCGGGTTTTGTTGACAGGATGACGCCGATGGAGGACATGAAGATGAGGCTCTGACACTGGGCTCTTTGTTGGAGGCCTCTAGTGCTCGCCGGCGATGGCTGTCTGGATGACGCCCTCTGGGTCATCAAAGGTGAGGGCTACGGGGGAGGCGAGGTGGGCTACTGCGTCAACTCTTGCAGGGGGAGTTAGTCGCCTCAATGTTGCCAAGACTTTTCAGAGAAGGACTTACCTTTCACAGCGTTGTCAAAAGTACCTTCGACGGTCATGTCGGGCACTTCGACAAACTCGAGTTGGCCTGCGTATTCCTTCAGGGCATCGGCGAGAGCGTTTGTGCTCGCCTTGGTGCGTGTTGTCTCGCGGACACTGTGTCCGGCTTCTAGAAAGGCTTTAACAGTGACCGCGGCATTGAAGCCACTAGCGTCGGTTACTAGCCTGAGTTAACATATAAGTATCGGATACAGTAAATGATCAGCAAACGCCTTTTGGGCTATAACGCCGATTGAACTCCGGTGTAGATGAAGACAAAGTGTGAACCGGTACATGCACTCGATGGTATCGAGCGTGGTGCAGCGCAAGAGCGTCTTGAACGGGTATAGGAAACAACGGTGGACGGTAATATTAGTGATGTTACAGTAGACTTCGCGGGAGTACAGCGGCTTCAATTCTAGTTAGCGCGACTATAAGTACCGAAGTTCGCGAACAGACAATAGGGTACAAACCACGCACTTGACGAGGACCTGCCAACGTCGCAAGAGGGTAGATATCTAGAATTGCATATTCGATGAGTAGTACCGCTATTTCACACGATACTCGTTGCGGCGCGCCTGGTTCCAGCCCGAGATGATATCAGTGCAGCGGGGGTGCGACACGGTAGCGAACACTTGGTGTTGTTGGAATTGTGGTTGGGATTGCGGCGTCGGCCGCGCTGTCGCTGGTGCTGTTGCTGCTGGCCGCCAATTGCCGCTGCAAGCGTCCATGTTTATGGCGCCAAAGGGTCCATGTCCACGTCAATGGACAGGGCGTCGATAAGGCGCTGTCGTCGCTGGCCGACGAGGCCGGGCTCGGGGCGAGCAGAGGGGATGGCAACGCTCAGGGGGCATTTTCCTCACGTGGCGGCGCGTTCGTGTCGAGGTTGGCGGCGCATTGGCGCGCTCGTTTGGCCGCGTAGACCCGCCCTTGGCTGTTGCCGAGGTCGTCGTCGAGAGCCAGCTCGGCACGGCATCTCTTGCGGGGATTTTCAATCTCCATCTGGAATTGCATATCGGCGAATGACGGGTTGTGCAAGGTACGGAACGAAGCGAATGGTGGTTCTCGGTGCGAATCCAATGGCGTTGGAGGTTCGGAGAAAAGAGAAGGGGGAAGAGAGATAGAGGGCAGAAGACTATGGAGGACTCGGACCCCACGCTAAGGATTGACTGGGCAATGACCACTCAGGAAGTAGGCTGGGCAATGCTAAGACCTGCACGAGCCCCACTTCCCATCTCACTTGCCATTCCTCGCAGCTAGACTCCTACCAACGAGAATGGCAAGGTTTATCAGTATACGTTGACGATTTTGGGGCCAGCGCATCGACCAAGAGTGAGGAATATATGCGAACCCTTTTGATATCATGTGAAATATTACCTTGTAGTCTTTTCCCGATTTGTCCCACCGTGTGATCGAATATGACTCCTATCCCGTAGATCCAGAAGCAGGCCTACTCCTAATCAGCAAGCCGTTCAAGACCAACTCAAAAGTTGAAACCGAGTCTAGGTTGGGTTATGTAGGGTGCCTTCACCCATAAACAACAATCGGACTGATGATTCAAGAACAGCTCCCATCATTGCATTCAATGGGGCTACTATCTGAACTATTGCAAGCGCCTATCCAAGAATGGTAACGCACAGAAATGGTCGAATACCGTCGTTACTCGTTAGTCGTAATATCACCCGTTGCGCCCGTTCAGCTTAGAAATCCACGAGAAGCAGCTAAACAGACACTTAAATTCCTCTTGCACACTCTCACACCTTGACGCATTCAATAACAGCCAGCGACTTCCATGGCCCCTTTGCATGCGATATCGAATTGATCTTGAGGCCGATAGCGGCTAGCATCTTCTCCCACATCTTGAGCGTGCGCTGCTTTCCACCCAGGCTCATCATCATGACATCCATGATGGCTGCCATGGTTGAGGGCGGGGTGTCGAGAATGTCCTCCATGATCAGAATGCGGCTGTCGTCGGCGGCCGCCTCGATGAGATTCTTGAGGATGGGGATGCACACGTCGTCCGGGTGATTGTGCAGGCAGCGACGAATCCAGTAGATGAGGGCGCCTGGATTTGGCGGTTGAAGCACGACTCAGCTGATCACTCCATAAACAGCCTTCTTCGGCGTCAAGAAAAGTACAGTACGGCTTACCCTTGAGAGGCTGGTCCTTGAAAAAGTCAATGGCCATCTTGCTGACGCCACGCAGCTCAGGCTCGCCCAGTGCGTTTGCGGCATCGATGACTTCGACGCGGTCCTGCAGCACACAGCGTTCGGCCGGCAGTCCCGGAAACTCGGCGCGGATGGCCTTGATAGCTTGACCCTTTCCGCCACCGACGTCGACGAAGAGTGGCCGCTGCTGCGCCTTGTCACCGTCTTGTTTCGCCAGGTCGACGACCCAGCCAAAGTCGTAGACGCCGGAGATGGGCATGCGCTCCTCGACAGCCGCCATTCCCGGCACCCAGCTGGCCAGGCGCTTGGGGTCGCGTTCGAGAATCTGGTAAAAGTCCAGCTCGGGCTGGCCGTAGGCGACGCTGTGGGGTGTGTGGTTCGACGTCTTCGGCTCGTTGCGGCCGTACGATTCAAAGTACTTGGGCATAGCCGCGTAAGGGACGATGCAGTTATCCCAGCTAGCAAGGTAGTTGGTTACTGATTTGAGTTTCTGGAACGTCGCTTTGACTAATAATAGCTTACCCGACGTTGAAAAGGTTTCCTCTGCGGTCATTGTGGGTAAAGATACGAGACAGTCTCGTGTGAGCCACCTCGTTCGTTCCAACCGCCTCGAGGAAACCAGACGACGTGAGAACACCGCCGACGCGCACTAGTTACTCGTGTCAGTTGTCACCGCCCCCAGAATCATTTAGGTTTCCGAGGTAAAAGCGGCCGTATTCTCACCCAGCAGTGCCTCCTCGGTATCCACAGCTTTGGCCAATTCGGAATAAGGGATGGATCCCTCGTCTGGAATAGCATCAAATGCGCCCCATTCAGAGAACAGGCGCTTGACCGTGATGCCAGTGATTGCATTGACCTGGTCCATCCATACATCGGCTGGGTCCTTGACGAGCAGCTGGATGCGGTGGGTTGCATCCATAATGTTGGCCTTCCGTAGCTGGTCGAACTGGACATCGCCATCCGAAACGTCGGCGGCAACGAACTCGTCAATGGCTGCCTTCAGCTCGGCCGCGGCTTTTAGGAGCTCTTCTCGAGTGCCGTCTGTGTTGGAGGATCCCATAATGTCGGCGTGGATGAGTGTTGCGACTCTTAATCGTCGGGAAGCAGGGAGTTGAGTCTGCGGATGAGTTATAAAGTTTAGGAACTTTGTCTGGCTGCTTTTTCCTTGGCAAGATACTAGCTGTGTGGATAATGGGGTCGCTTTGGATTTGCACGTACGGATCGGACTGCATTTATGCAAGCATGAATTCGGCCTAAGGGTCGCAAGTGGTCTGGCCATGTCCAGAATTAACATTGCAGGACATGGGATCGAGTGCGGGGCACCATAGGCGTGGGACTTGGCTGCGCTCGCCTGCGTGATTTCTGCTATCCGTACCGAGTCCATAGCACTACGGAATATTGAACAGCTCTGAATCGCAGCTTAACTCGCGCACGCTCGTGACCACACCCCCGCATCTCGGCCACGTCTTGGGCGCGAGTGCCGTTCACCCAGATTCGGACTTTGCTTCGGTGACACCCTGTAGAGAGTGCGAGGCCGAGTGCACATATCAGGGAGCCGACGTGATTCATTCCGGCAAGTTTGCCAGACCCGGCTTCTCAACCACAGGTACGGAGTAGGACCACTCTAATCATGTCCCATTGCCTGGCGCCGGCAAGAGGATATCGAACAGGACTCCGAGGTGACAGGTCCAATGGCACTCCCTCGGTCCTCAGACAAAGCTTAGCATGCCACCAAGTCTCTTCGGTAGCCGCATTGCCTCACGCAAGTCGTGGAATATAAATATGTATAATTATTTGACAACGTGAGAACAAAGGCTTCAAGCCCCGAGGGCTTGGTTAGGCGAGGATCCACTTCGTCATCCTAGAGAAAGAAAATGCGTTCGTGAGAGCAAGGTTGAAGGGGATCGGGTGCATAAACCCGCTTCGGTGCCGGTACCAACCTTGTGCATTTGCATTGTCCTTGATAACATCAAGAGAAGGAAGGAGCAGATTGCGGGAAGCGGGCTTGGAGGGGCAGTTTTGGCGATGCATCGCTTGCAGCACCTCGCCGCACACCTGCAGCCACCTTCTCTGCTGCATCCAATATTCTCTCCCGCCTCTGATTCAACCAACAACGTGAAGCTCAACGTCAAATGGTAATGCCCTTACCTATACAGAACCTTTGCACTCAACAACCTAGGCCCTCACAGACTATAATACCGTCATAGACGATAGTCTCCTTCTCTCTAGTGCCCTTGAGCTACCTAGGACTCAGCCAGAACATACCGCAGGCTAGGTTTGGCGCACAGTCTACCTCCGAACTTTCCCAAGCCTGGGAACGCCCCAGCGCGCCCCAGTTAACCTCTACAGCCTTGCTGGGGCGTGTGGCTACTGGCAAGCGTGGCACATTGAGCTCTAGCCACTCACGGCATCTCTCTTTACCAGCATAGCCTCCACGCCGAGCGAGGTGAAATCGTTGACTGGTCTTGCTCAGGCTATGGAATGGCAGTGGATCCATGGAACGCGCCGGGGGGATTTAGACCTGACAAGTTGACAGCGGTTGGTTCCGTGGCGGGTGCGGGGTTGTGGCAGAGCGGCAGGGAGCCCGCCGCTAATGAACGCCTGTGGAGGCTGGCGTCAGGAAACCTTCAGAGCCTTCCTACATCATCGCCGCCCCAACTCATCACAGGTCAGCAGGAGAGTGCTCAATGCGTCGGCGGGAAAAGAGACAGGATACCAAGAACCGGGCTCATTCATCGGGCGACGCGAACCGTGTCTCAGCACGGCCGTGATTCGTTCCAGGACCCGCTCGGTTATGGCGCTCCCAAAGTGGTGGTGTGCATCGCCTTCGAGGGCGTCGCAGCGGGACGAAGACGGAAGGGAACCTTGTCGCCCATCGACATGGCGGGTATTGATACCGCATATGATGGACTCCTTCGGTTCAATCATCTCCAGTCGTCTTTACGGTCTACAGCAACGAGACCTTGACCCTCCACCGACCCTCCACCAGTAGATAAATACTATGGCGAACCGAGAGACGGAGGGATCTGAGCTCAGAATCCTCGCCGATCGTCTTCCCTCCGACCACGCCGACCTCACTGGTAGGACAGTTCTAGCGAGCCAAGATGGCGAGGATCATCGGCCAGATTCCTCGGAAATTGGACCGACAGACAGACCAGAGGTCGCAAGAACATGTCTCGCGGCCTGGGCTGGACAGAATACTGTCACACCCGGGAGTGCACTTCGCAGATGGTCTGGCTCTTGGACTTGTTCAGGGGCAGACCGCGGCCGGCTCTAAACATGGAAACACTTAACCACATCTTTAGCGCCGACACGTCCATATTGTGGGTGCGGAGCATTGAAATGTTCAAAACATTTACTCTGAGATACATGGTTGCTCTATTTGCCTAGTACGTCTCGGTTCGTGTCAATGTAATAGTACTTGCGATAGAGTTACTGACCGACTGTACTTGATCAAGGTCACTGGTTTTGCCTCCCTTCTTCACGTCCGTACCTTGTTCGTCAATGACGGACGATCTTACCTCAGAAATCATCCCTCTAGCCGTCCCGTACTTGCCCATTGCTAATATCAGCTTGGCGCACAATATTTCGTACTCACCGGATCACTTGGGCGACCGTCCCAGGTTCAAAAATAACGTGACTAAGGACTTCGGCGGCCCCAGGACCCAAGTAACTCTCTTGACAACCGCAACCTCGGCGGGGCGAATGCTCGCTATCCAGCCTCCCTCGAACATATCATCTTACACCATCAACTTCTACGGTCCAGCTGTGAGATGCTTCAAGGCCGACGCGAAGACGCAATCCACTATTCAGTTCCTATTTGAAAAAAAGCAAACAAGCTGGATAGTTCGAGGGGCCAGGCCAACTAAAACTGCCTACTATGCTTTCGCGCCCTCTTTGACGACCAGGGAAATATTACCCCCCTGGATGGTGTCCGGTACTAGGCTTCCATCAACACCACCAACGAGGTCTGGATGGTCTTTGAGCGGTACGATATGGCTACCTCAGATTGTCAGTACAGCAGTCAGTACCAAGTGTGTAAGCTCTTCAATGCTACATACGACCTAAGCCTTTCGTGGGAGAATGGATTCCCAAATATCACTGGGTCAGCAACGCTCCTATCACTCGATCCAATCACTTATCCGACTGATCAGTTCCCGGCCGTTTCAGACATGGTCAAGCACGCCTACTCCGCCTTTTTCTGGGCATTAGCAGACCAAGTAACGGGCCGGTTTAACTGGTATCAAGATGACGCCGCCACCCCACCGAGGCAGTTTGGTGGAATCCAGTCTCCCATTCAGCATAACGTCCTCCTGGGGAGCTCGGACCTCAACGTCTTCTTCGACTACAACGAGGACCCAGGCGCGTGCCACTTCGATCTGGCTGCCTTGAACTTACAGCGACAGAATGGCATCAAGCTAGCCGGAGGAAGACCGTTGGATGAGCTAATTGAGGAGTTGTCTTTTAACATGACTGTTAGCTTGATGCACAACGACTCATTGACGTGAGTTGATTGCTCTTAATCACTCTATTCATCCTATCTAAGAAACATATCTGACTTCTCAACCGCAGTCGTAAGACCATAAGGGACGTGACTCTCTAGCGAACCGTGAACCGCTACGGCTACAGTCGGCTGGGGTTGTGGATTCCGTACGGCTTCGCCTGCGTGCTAGCGACTGTTGTTGTCGCGGGTGGACTTTATCTGATGGTCAAGGTTCGTCCGATGCCCGAGAGAAAGCTACAGGACATTCTAGCTGCCGCAACCCCGGAGGCGATTCGTCGGGCCAGGCTGCCGGGCGCTCGTCGAGAGCCTATCAATGTTTCGCTTGATGCCAATCGCCGTCCCAGCTTTGCCATGGAGTTTAGCCAAGAGGGGCAGCATGCCGGAAGAAGACGGTGGAGATCACGCAGGGAACGACGAAGGGCCAGCAGGCTGAGGAGGCATGGGTTGGGTTAATCCATTTTGTTTTATTACATCTTGTGCGCTTTTCTTCTGATAGTGTAAGAATTGTTGTCTACCCCAGCATTCATGCCGTCCCGTAGTCGTATCTTGACTTTTCTGGGTAGTGCTACAACATAAGTTCTTCATAAGACATCTTGGTAATGCTACTATTTCAGGATTATATGCCTGAATTTGATCTTGTCAGCTTCCGCTACTCGTGAGACTGAGAAGTTGAGAAGTAACAAATCGTAGACTAGACTGATCCGAGTTCGAAGAAGCGGCTATTAGCCCCTTTCCGTCTTGAGCATTTTGAATTTCAAAGTCCAATTGGTTCACCAATCCGCAAAGGAGTCCATCCTACAGAATCCGGGCTCAAGAGGAGGGATTTGCAGCACAGTTACCGCAAATAAACTGCGCGCTGGCCATAGCCGAGGCCTGTATCGACTACTCCTTATTGACGGCTTTGCCGAGCATCTTTTCAGCTTGTAGCAGCGGCCGCCTACCAGCCCAAACTTTGACGGCTCATCAGCTGCGGATGGCATCTCGCCCGTTTTTTCCCTATCCAGCAAGCCGCCCTGGTATAATGAACCCGAGGGCTTAAACGCGGACCTTGTACTTTTTGGAGGACCATATGCCATTGTCGAAAGTACCCGTCATCAGTTAGTCTCACAGCACAGGTTCTATCACTATTCGGCCTCGAACTAGACCAAACATCTTGCCGCTAGCGAAGCATCCGCCCCGCTTCGGCTCGGAGAAGCTACCAAAGCATTGCTTAATACGAGTATTGTACATATACTCGGTCCAGTTCCAACTGGCTGAGATGTTTCATAGCCGAAATCATACCGGAATACGACGACATACCAACCAGCCTCTCGGCTATCGGTGCGCTCTCGCAGCTTATTTTGGTTTCCACAAGACTCTTGGCAATTTCCTCCATGTTGACCACACGCACATGCACTCCACCGCTCTCCCCTGTCAGAGTTATTGGACTGTGCTCTATTCTGGGGCGCCGAACAAGGCCATAGTCATATCGTCGACACCCACCTGATCCGATCTGGTGCGGACCCCGAGGCACAGCTGTCTGGTAGCATCTGCGCACTCATTGCGTAACAAAATGGTCACATCAACTGCCTGGTTGCCCTGCTGGCCTGCGACCAGACCGATTTGAATGTGCGGGAGGGCGGCCACCCGCCACTTGTCTCGTTAGCACGCCAAGTGCCCGCAATCGACGTAAACCATCAGGACAAGAGAGGCCGTACGGCGCTGAGCTGGGCGGCAGGGGATGACATTGACCATGTGGTTGGGTCGCTTCTCAAGCTGCCACAGGTAGACGTCAACTTGCAAGACAGCCAAGGACATTCGCCTCTATCTTGGGCGGATTCCAATGGTTGCACCACGGTAGTTGGGGCTGTCTTGCGAGACAAGAGGACGGATAAGGGCATTGTCGACAAGGACGGGATGGATGCGATATCATGGGCTTGCGGCGGTGGTCGTGTGGACACGCCAAGGATGCTCTTGTCAGATGGAATGGCCTAGAAAGTGCTGGAACCTACGATGCGTAATCTTCGCCATTAGGATTCGTCATGTAATTGCCACATAAGGAAGTATAAGAGAGAGTCTTTTGTGGAAAGACTGGAAGAGGAGAACAGGAGCAATTCACTCTAATGCACATAATCCTAAAAGTACTATTACAGTCTAACAGCTCTTAAAGTACAAGTGCCCCGGAGTGGACCCCAAGGACGCAGACGGCTGGAGACCGCTAGCATGGGCTATCCAGACAAACTCGGCCAGCACGGTGGAGATGCTACTCGCAACGGGATCCATCGACCTGGAACAAGGGGACACGACTGGACGCAGCGCCTTGTCCTGGGCAGTCGGCCACGGCCATGCCCAAGTGGTAAGGCTGCTGCTGCGTGCAGGCGCCAACCCTTACTCGACGAGCGAGTGGGGTTACACGCCTTTGTCTACGGCGGAGCAGTATGGGTGGGACGATATCAAGGCGGATTTACTCTTGTACATGGAGACGAATACTATGCTGCAGCCAGGTCACGAGCCGGGGGGAAAGAGAAGAAAAAAGCGATGCCACCCAAGTAGGGACGTAGCTTGGGAGCGGTCTGCGGAACGTCGCAGCATACAGCAATCGTGCTTGGGAAAACTCTGTTTTTGAAAATCTCAGAAGTTTCACGCACGCGTGGATGGGCCCTCCAAGTTTGCCTCGTCACCCGTTCAACAACGTTATCTGCCAGCTTAAACGCCTTTCATTCCAATTTCTGAGAAATGAAGAGTAGAAGTCTTCGAACCCGTGCCGCGCCTTCCGGGCCGAGAGACGCCGGTTTTATTGATGAGTTCCACCGTTTCCTCACCAGGCTGCTTTTTGCGCCTTTTTAGGGTCCATTTGGTGGTGTGGCTCTGCGGCTCGGCTCTTCACCTCGGTCAGCAATGCTCGACACGCAATGTCCTCATATATATGTCTATGTCATTTGGTGGGCAAGGTGGGGTAGCCACGGCGTGATATCGATAACTGCGCTGCCCCTCCCAGATGATCACCAAACCCTCGTCGGGCAGGCTGAGCAGGTCGGGCAGAGACGACAACGATGCGGCTGCAGTGCGATAGAGGAAAGGCAAGCGTGTTTCGACGAGAGACATCTTGTCCCACAATTGGGGATTGACACAGCTGTGTTTCTGTGAGATGGCAAGGAGGGACGCGAAAGGGTAGGGTGTCACAGTCACAGTCGTGCTGCGTTGTTATTATTCCCACTAGCTGCGAGGGCCTAGGGAGTGCTTGGCACCGAGCGACCAGAGCAGCCGCAGATGAGCAGAGCAAGCACAGAGCAGGCTGCACAGGCTGCACAGGCTGCACTCCATCTCTCCCCCGTCGTTCGCTCAGAAACAGAAAGAAAAGGAACCTAAAATTGAGAAAAAGGGTTTTAATCGTGGGATCTAACAGGAGGGGTGGTGTAGGGCCTTTCTAGGCACACCATGGTTGCGGGAGAGGCACGCGTCAAAGATGGGGGCGAATTGGGCATTGGAGTTTGGTAAGTTGGGAAAGTGGATTGACACGTCTGTCATGCGAGTTTATCTCATGCGCTTCGGTGAGAAAAGTATGTGTGATTTGCTGTCACGAGGAAAAGCTGCCCAAACATGCATGCACTGCACCTTGCATGTACCCAATTCTCCAGTCGTTATACAGCGTCGTCGGCTGTCCCATTCAGGGTTGCGGTCGCCAAGTCTACCGAGTTTGTCAACCTCGCCAAGCGCTCTGCAGCCGTTTCGGGCTCTGGTTGATACAGACGGTCTGGGAGCGATGAGGTGTCGTAGATGTAGCGGTTGAGCATGGAAGGTTCTGAGGGTGGAGCATCCCTGCAGGAGTTGCACAATTGCACAAGTCAGCTTCTGCCGGGATGAACCGGGGTGGGCAACCAACCCTGAAACTCCCTCGACCTCTCTGTCGGGATTGGATGGAGCGCTCATTATCGCAAGGGGGGAGGATGGGCTTTATCGCTAGGGGGGAGGATGGGCTCTCGAGTTGGTGTGTGACGATGATATTTTGCTGCGACTGCGATCTTGCAATGTTGCTTTGTTTGTTTGCTTGCTTGCTTGCTGGTTTCTTTGTTGGGACCTCCATCGCGAGCAAAGACACTGCAATTTATACAACTAAACCGCCATTTTCTCCCCATCTTCTTGCTTGTCGTTTGCACTACAAAGGGGGATCCCACGTCCAACCTGACTCTCTAGATCTTGGCAATATCGAACCTGGGACTCAAATCCTGAGATTGAGCTTCCCGGCAAATCCCACCGGTGCTCGTGGTTGATCGCCGGCTCCGAGGCGAAAACGTGGCTTGCTTCCGTGAGTTGTCGGGGGCGGTGGGCGTCCAAGAGCCTGGGGAAGCTACCCTAAACCAATCAGGCCCGGACAGATGGACAACACACCAGCGGGCTACCATGTCCACAATGTTGGGCTTCCGCTGGAGCCCTCCCAGACAGAAATTGTGTCGCAACGTGAAAGATGTTCGAGCGGCTTTTAGGGATGACCGAAATCCGCGATAGGGCAGGAAGCGACCATATAGGATTGCATCGTGCTCTCGCTCAATTGTCGTCTTGGGTGGGGAAAGCTTCAAGGCTTGTCTCGCCTGTTTGCCTTTCCACACCTCGGATTTGAGGTGCGCGCCCGCTAATGCAGCGAGTCTCCAGCCCGTCTCAGGTGGCCGACGTGCCTGCCGCACCCACACACCCCAGCCTCGACTACCGGGACAGCAATGGCCCCATGCATGCTTTCCCACCACAGCCACACCCTCATTACGCCTACTACACTGATGTAGCGCTACAAGGCCAACCGCCGAGTCGAGGCGCCAGTCCATCACCAGCAAGCACCTTCAACAGCCAAGCCAACTCGTTGTTCAGCGTGCAAAGCACAGAATCGAGCGCCTACACCCACCATTCGTCATCTGTCACAAGCTTTCACGATGGCAGGGACTCAGATTCGCCAGCCCCAGGATGTGTGCCACGCCCTCCAAGCTGCGGACCACAACCGCCCTTCCACAGGTCGCAGTCCCGAGCCGGGGGCAGCTCTAGGCCCGGGTCGCCCCTTAGTCGACACATGACATCCATCAATGGATCGAGAAACCACTCCAAAATTTCCGGAGTTTCCCGGCCGGCCAGCCGACGGGCCATCCGACTCGGGTCAGCCAATATCGACCACATCTCTCAACAAGTTCTGTGGGAGACGAAGGCTAGAAATTCGCCTCCCCCAAGACAAGGACAGGTTCAAAGTCTCGAAGCATGCCTCCAGGAAGAGCAACGCACCTCGTACTGGGTGGAGTATACCGCTGCGCCCGAGCACGGGGCGCCCGAGGGAACAACTCCTCCGTCCCCAGATGACGTCGACGAATCCGATGAAGGGGCCCGGCTGTCCCCCGAAGCGGATCAGCCCCCCGAATCTCCCACGTCACAAAGCAGCCAGGACATCACCATGACAGGCTTCTCGGATGTCGATGCGGATTCTCCAGAAAGCTGCGACAGCGGCGCGGCTGCCCCAGAGCGGTCAATTCGAGTCCTAAAGTCGATTCTGGACGAGGAGTTTGGCCTACGTCTTGGAAAGGCAGAGCCACCCGAAGACATGGTCGACGCCGTCTCCAGATGCATGGACAACCTCTCACTTAGCCGCCACCGCTATCGTCAGGAAGGCTTCATCGTCCCGATCAACACTTTCCACGTGCCTGGAGACAGCCACGAACAGACCACGCCGCCCGAGACCACTTCCAGGGGGTCAGGTGGTAAACTACCCATTGCTTCCAAGAAGCGTAATGCTGACGATCCGAGAAGAGACGAAGGAGATGGTCCTCCAGGCGAGGATGGCAAGGAAGAGGGGGAGAGAAGTTCGTTTGGGCCCAACGACCCAAGAAGCCAAAAGAGAGCCAAAGTCGAGCTGTATCCATGCCCATTCCGGAAGCATAACCCGATCAAGTTCAACATCCGCGAGTGGGAGTATTGCGCAAGGGCGCCATTCAAGGGTAAAACGGAATTGAAGTAGGTCGACTCCCTGCAGTACTCGTTTTTGTTCAGTTTCTAATGCATCGATAGGAAGCACATCATCAGATACCACCAGCAGGAACAAGTTTCCTTCAAGTGCGACCGGTGCCTTACCGCATTTCCCAGTCGCGAGGAACTCAAGACACATTTACGGAGGGATCCCGACAAGATGTGCGAAACGAGAAGCGACAGGGAGGCATCGCCATACACTGCAACGAACGAGGGAGTCAGTAGCGCTGTTGGGGAAAGGCTTCGCAGCCGGTCTGAACATTTAGACTGGACTGGCATTTGGCTAGCAGTATTCCCTGGATATGATCCTAGCCTCATACCAGAGCCAGGTGAGCTCCTGATTTTCCTATCTAGTGCAATTACATGATGGACGCTGACTGGGTGTGACTCAGTCTTTGAGCCCGCCGTAGAGCTGCACGAAGTTTCTCGCTCGTACAACGAAAGTCACCTCGAGCTCGCAACCATGATCTCGGACACGCTTGGGCACGAGTCAGAACGGTTGAACACATCAATGCTCAACATATTCGACCAGTTTATGAACGGAGTGTTCCAGCGGGCTCATGTCCAGGCGGCTGCGGGAGTGGGCAGCTCGTTTGCGTTCAACAGGCGCCATCTTCAGTCTCCGCGCGATGGTCTGGGCCCTTTCCTCCGCACTAATTCGGGGACCCCCTCAAGCAGCACAACCAGTAGTTCAACCCATCCGTACGCCCTGTCACGAACAGAGAGGATGTCTACGTCGGGGAGCAGCAACTCATCCACTCCCGCGCTGCCACTCCGGACCTCGCAATCACGGGGTTCTAATCCTAGTCCTCTGGCTTGGACACAGCAGGGCGGAGCAGGTGGCTACTACCATTCACCCTATCGCCAGAGTGAGAACGCACAATTACTAGTGCCCAGCCTATACCCAAATCATGGGATTGCCCCCGGCTCGAGCGCTCCCAGCAATTCTGTGGCCGTTCCACAATTCAGCGCGCTCCCAGCACATGTAGTTGGCCAATACACACCTAATTCCTACGGACACGGACACGGACAGTACCCGGTCCCGGGTCAGCAAAGTAACGGTTGGCAGGATCCACAGGGAGTGTTGGGCAACATGAACCCTGGTATCGTTGGTCTTTCAAATTCTCGCGGCCAAATTGCCACCCCGCTGGATATTAACCCAGGACTAGTTTCAGGGAATTACGGCGCAAGATGCTCAGGTCACCTGTCTGCTGTTGACGACACCAGGGTGGGGTACCTAAATAGGGGTCTCCCTCTCAACCAAGTTCCCCAGCCTCCAGATGCAGCGGCCATCACGGCAAGTCTGGGCGAGATGCTGGCACGGTTGGATGCTCCACTGGACAGACGGCAGGTTGAGGGGCCGCGGTGATGAATTGAGATGGGTAGCTTCTAATTACGATCAAAATTACAATGCCAATTATTTTCACAACTCTTTCCATTACACGTACACCCTAAAACAGCCGATCCAAAACCGATGGACGCGCGCAAACGTCTGCTAGGCGGAATAGTGCAGCGTAAGATCATAGCCGGTATTCGTCGGCGCCCAGATCTCGGAGACGCCTCGGTTCGGGAACTGGCCGGCGGCGGTGGTCATGTCCTTGTGGGCGAAATTCGCGGCCGTGATGCGCGCGTCACGGCGGTGCCGTAGGGGAGCGGCACGCCCGGAATCTGCGCCGGGTCGTGCAGCACGGCGGCTCGAAGACGAAGGCGAGCGCGGGGGCGGTGAAGTTGATAGAAATGCTGTAGTGCTCCCGCGCGAGCTGGCTAACGAAGACGGCTTGCCGCCTAAATCGATACAACTCCTCATTGAAGTCTATAACGTGGAAGACGCCATCCGACTCATCGACCAGGGGCTGATCATCGAATATATGCACCATAACTGCGAGCGCTTCGAGGGCGAAGCGAGAGCTACACAATGCTTCAACTGCGGCAAATGGGGACGCAAAGCGAAGTTCTGCACTGTTACGAATCCCTGAAGAATGCACAAGAGTGGTGCACACCCGGTTTGGGGACAGCCAATCAGGGGTGTCCCAGGGTCCCGTGCCGTGTCACTCGGGTCCCCGGGACCAGGCCGGGTGGCCGATGCCCCGGGGCTGGGACATAGGACACCGGTAATTCGAGGAGACGCTCGCGGTCGGCGGGGAGGAGGTCGTTAACCAGGCATGGCAAACTAGGAACCTCGCCGTTAGAACTCATAGTCGCGGCGTACGTAGTGCTCGTCGTGCAGATTTTGTGCTTTATATGTATTACGAATAGTATCTATTTTGGTGGAAATAAAGGGAAAGGGAGTTTACTATATAGTTAGGAAAAGAAAACTGTTTGTAGCCTTCTCAAAAAGCGTAAAGAAAAAAAAAGTCTAACGATACCGTGGTAAGAAGGTTAGGTGTTCTATAGGTTGTCACCGCATAGTCAACTAATTTGAGGCAGGGTGCAATATGGTCGCTGTATTCGTAGAATCTAAAGTTGAGGAAAGAAAAAGGAAAGAAAGTTCCAAAGGCTGCGGGGGGCGCGAAGTAGGTTGAGGTGTGGGTCACGTGGTAGGGTACGCACTGATCACATCCTAAATCACGTGCAGCTAGTTAGGGCGTGCTAACTCTTACCACCTGTCTGGCACTTGCCGTGACATACGGTTATAAAAGAATAGTTGCTAGTATTAGAATAGCGGCATTACTCAGTAGTAACCGTACTTTTAAAGGGGGGCGGCGCGGGTCACGTGTATCGTACGGACCTTGCGCGCGCAGCCCACAAAACCTGCCCCGACCTAGGTTTCAATCAGAACCACTTTTTCCACATACATATGGTAGTACTACCACAACCACTTCTAGGCACGCCTGCGTGGTTAGAATACCACGAACATTGGAACTTGCACAGGAATTTTCATCTGTCTGCGATTCTGGTGAAAATGTCCCCAGGACGAGCCCTGCGACGTGATCCTGTAAAAAGAAGCCCGGACTGTGTGTGATTGGCGGCTAGTTATGACGCAGAGCACAATGAGGTGTGGGGCTGTGTGCGTGTCTGCCTGGTGATGCTGCCTGCTTGTCTGCCTGGTGATGCTGCCTGCTGTGCTACCTGTGCATCCTTGTCATTAGAGCCCGGCAACGTCAAGTCAACAGTGCGTCTGATAAGTATATAAACTCGAGTGATTCTTTGATGTTGTGCTCTTTTTCTAATTCAATTAGCTATCCTTTTTTACTGTTTCCCCTTCGGACTTTCTTGGTCGCATCTATTGCCTGCAGTACAATCACGCCAACAACAGCAACAAAGACAATAACAAACAGAGCAAGGCTGACACAGCAATACCCCTATCAACAGCACCCTGTCCGCATTTCATCACAATGGCCGCATCACCCTCAATCCAGAGCATCTCAGACACGACGGACCAAGTCAAGCTGGCAGACGCCGCCACTCCAGCCCCCAGCGACTTTGGGATCCGCAGCCTCTACAACCACTCGACGGACCGCAACCCTCGCCATGCCAAGTGGTCTGAGTTTCAGGACTTGATCCTGGAAGAGAAGCACCTCAAGGAGCGCGGGCTCGCGTACCCCGTCATCCAGCGTTTCTCCAAGGCCGAGACGGCCGAGGGCGAGGTGTCGTGGGCGACGCACTCGATCGAGATCCAGAGCGAGCGTCTCAAGGCCATCTTTGACCGCGTCTTTGCCGGCTACCCGGGATGGTACCCGGACGCGGCGCCCTACACCTTCTTCCCGCCCTTCAAGCCGCTGGTGCACCGGTGGGAGGTGCTCCTCGAGGCCTTTGCCGACGTCGAGAAGACGAGCGACGACGACGAGGCGCTGCGCGCCACGCGCGACGACATTGCCCACCTGCGCGGTGTGCTCGAGCCGCTGCTGGCCAACCACCTCTCGGCCATGAACAAGGCCCGCGAGACGCTCGTCGTGTCGTTTGAGTCCCTCTGGCTCTTCCTCGCGCCGGGGAGCGTCATGGTCTCGTCCGAGCAGGGCAGCCCGTGCGCGCTGCGCCTGCTCCACGTCGACTTCACCCCCCGCGACAACTATGCCAACCAGCCCGGCTACTGGAGTCTCGTGCTCGGCCAGTATGACTGGAACGGCAACTACTGCGGCCTCCGCCGCGTCGACAAGACCATTATGGAGTTCAAGGAGGACACCCTCGTCACCAAGTTCGACGTCTACCCACTCGAATTCGCGCCCGCGAGAGAGAAGATCGAGGCCGAGCTGCTGGCGAGAGGTGCCAAGTGGGCGCAGCTCCGCGGCATGCATGTCAAGCATTGCGTCGGCAAGAAGTATGTCTTGGTCAACGTCAATGGATGCATGCGAGAGGTTGCGAAGCCGGTAAGTGAGGGAAAAAAAAACATTTCAACTTGGTGTAATTATATAACAATTCTAATTCGCTACAAAATTCGCTACAACAGGTCTCGGGTCGCGTCATCGTCGACGCCTTTGGGTACTACAAGGGCCAGGGCCAGGTGCTACCCAAGCTGTCGAGGAACACGCTGAAGTTGGAGTCAGAGGAGGATGGCTCCGAGTCAGACGACGACGATGACGATGAGAATGAGTCGGATGACGGATCTGACACAGAGCAGACTGTCGCCGTGGTCAAGGAAGATATGGAGCGGGACGAGGAGCTGAACGAGCTGACGCCCACTGAGTGCATCCTCGCCCCTCCCCGCGTCAGAGGTTTTGATTTGAGGACCAAGGAGTGGTGTGCGTGGCTCCTTTTTCTTTGATCCCCAGTCGTCGAATAACTACATACTCGGCTGACAGTTACGTTGTGGTCAGGTCTGTTCGACATTGACGACGTCAAGGAAACTGCTTGGGACGAGACACCCTACGAGAAGCTTGTCCTCCCTGGCGGCGACAAGGAGAAGGAGCTTATCCTAGGCTTCTCCAAGCACCGAGCCAGCAACAGGGGATTTGACGACTTTGTTCGTCAGAAGGGTACGAGTTTCTACACGCACACAAAAATAAATCTCGGAGAGTGAGCACTGACAAGTACGCGTTCCTATTGATCAGGCAGGGGAATTATCATCCTGCTCTGCGGACCGCCAGGTGTCGGCAAGACCCTTACCGCCGAAGCCGTCGCCGAGAAGTCGAAGACTCCTCTGTACGTCCTCAGCGCCAGCGACCTCGGGACCAACCCTGCCAAGGTGGACTCGGCCCTCACTGAGGCCCTCGAGTGCTGCCAGATGTGGAATGCCGCGCTCCTTCTGGACGAGGCCGACGTATTCCTCGAGTGCCGCAGCGCCGTGAGCCTCGACCGGAACGAGCTGGTGTCCAGTATGTCCCAACCAACCCATCAATCACCTGGTTTATCATGACTAAAAACTGACGTCTGCTAGTCTTCCTCCGCCGCCTTGAGTATTACCAAGGCCTGATGTTCTTGACCACGAACCGGCTGAGCGCCATCGATCCGGCCTTCAAGTCGCGCCTCGACTTGATCCTGCCGTACCACGACCTCACGCGGGAGTCGCGCCGCGACGTCTGGAAGAACTTTATTGGTCTGCTGCCGGCGGGAAGCGCCAACATTGCCGAGGCCGACTTTGACGAGCTCGCGCAGACCGAGATGAATGGCAGGGAGATTAAGAATTCGATCAAGACGTCACTGGTGCTGGTCAAGGCCGGGGACGCCCTCGGCATGGAGCATCTCCGCGTCGTCTTGAACATCAGAAAGCGGATTGTCGCTGTCGAGAGCGCGGATGGCGGTTATGGGAATTAATTGGCGAGGGAAGAACCGAGATTGTGTTCTTATGTTGAGTGGTTTTCCTCCTCTTCTTTATCTTCTTCCCCCTTTCTTTGGAGCAGGTCTATTTCGACCTTGGCCCCACCGGGGCTAAGCATACGTGGTCTGATTATGGGTTGTCAACGTGCCGCGGTGGACGCTGCACTGCTGATCTCCCATAATATCTCGTGGGGCCAGTGCGCCGATGGCTAGACTGTCTCGTCTCCAGCTGCAAATGAGACTTTGCCAAATCTCGCAAGCTTTCTCCTTTGATTTCACAAAAACGAGGTCGTCACAGACACCCATGGTAATATACCTCTGAACCTCAACATCTGTATGTGGCGCAGCTCTAAGCACAAAGCTTCGAATACTATTACGATATTTCTCGAGTGCATGCATCCGTTTACCAATGTCCAACATGACAGACTGAACCTTTGCATTGATAAAAGTCTGAGCTCCACAACACTGAAAGCCATACCAAAGACGATGATGAATGACGACAACGACGACGAGGATTTCCATTTAGATCACAACCTGCCCCGCGGCCACCTAAAACCCACCCCTCCCTCGGACACAGGTCGTAGCACATGCCAGGATAACCCCCAACATACCAGCACGGAAACTCGTGATTGCACTCCATGCCGCCAGGGCAGTCGTCCCTGGTGCGGCAGTAGATTGGCAGTGCGACCGTGTTATCATATTGCTGGAAACACCTGACGTGCCCCTAGACGTTCGTGCCGCATAGGCAGCCCGGGACTCCGGGCGGCAGGGCGCCGTTTCTGGCCGCGCACGCCGTGCTCTGGGCCGGGTCGCAGCGCGCGTCGAAGCTGCAGGTCAGCGACGGCAGCGGCGGGTTGCTGAAGGTTTCCATGAATATTATCGAGGACGTGGCTGAACTCGATGTCGTCGTGGTGGGCGGCGTGGTCGTGGTGGAGTTGGCAGACCTCGTCGAGGTCGCTGTGCAGACGGAGGGCTCGGTGCGTCTGCAGAGGACGTGGCAGGCCGGGAGGCCGCCAGTGGTGGTGGCGGTGGCGGTGGCGGTTGGCTGCGCGTCGTTGCAACTAATGATGAAGTTGGTGCTGACGGGTGGGTTGAGGGGGGGAGTCGATGGGCCGGAAAAGACGCAGGACGACGTGGCAGGGGCGGCGATGATCTCTTGGTTGAATTGCATGCTGGAGGTGTAGCGGATGGATTCGTTGACCACCGAGGTCAGGAGGTACTGGTACTCCGGGGCATCCTGGAACTTGAGCCAGACGTATTCCTTCAGGTCGGTAAAGGGGAGGTAGGCCCTGGTGACGACGACATTGGGATCAAGTTTTTGGGAGTCGATGAGTTCTTGGAGATACATGAGATCGTAGAGGCCCGGCAGAATAGAGGTCCAGGTAGGGGAAAAGTACGGGCTGTTGAGGACCTCGGCGGCCGCGCCGGTGGGGAGAGATTACCCAGCCCCTGTGAAAGAATGGAAACCAGGTTTGGGGCGGGAACTAGAGTGCTAAAATCATCCCTAGAGTAGCCTAGTTGAGGTAGTAGATCTAGCTCACAGACTTGCTCCCAGCTATCGGGACTCGGCCATTTACAAATCCATTCGTATAGCCCGTTGACGCCTTGCATCCAGGTCCCGTTGATAACGTCGGCACGATCGCGGTATTCAAAACCACCACCCACTGTAAGTTGTATCATAAAGGGGTCCGATGGGGTATTTCTGCATCGATCAAAAACCACCACGTCGACGCAGTAGCTAACTGGGTACCGACTGCCTGGTAGGGCCTGCCGCTTGACCTGATGTTTGGCTTCAAGCGAGGACTTCTTCTTGGACTTTTTAGTCCCTCCACCTCCTCCGCCCTGCCACACCAGGTAGTCGTAGGATCCCGGGAGCACAAGGGATAGGACGCTCGAACAGTCCGCCGAGATGGCTGTTACTCCAGATCCGTTGAAAATGACTACTGACTGGTCTGGATAGACGATGCCGAGTTGGAGGGGATCGCTGATGTCGAAAAGCAAATCGGTTCGACTCTGTATGTCACGTAGACCGAATAGTGGCGCGACCTGCCCGGTTTCGTCGAGAAAGAAACTGAGCCCACTGACAAAGTCTGAGTCGATGGTGTCGTTATATGTCGCCTTGGTAGCAGTAGCAGTCTGAATTGGAAGGTAGTAATACTTTGAGGTTGAAGTGACAATGGTTTCTGCTGAATCGAACAGGTTGCCGGGAAAGTCTTGCGACCAAATAAGACTTACAAAACTACCCAACTGCAGCGTAGTCAGGATACGCTTGGGGAGGAACATAATTCAGAGCGGTGCTAATTGATACGGCCGAGGAAGCCGAGGTTCCAGGAGCCCACATTGTTGGTCGCTAGAATCCTTGAGTATGACGACCTTAAATATGTGCAATAATCGTGTCGGGAAAGTCGAAGCATATCCCAAAACAAATCCGTACAGCTCTAGTTAGCCAATAGTTCATATCGGGCTGGTTTACTAATTAGTCAGGGAGGCGGGACTGACGTTCTAGAGTCGTACTGTAATAAAAAAGACCGGGATACGGACGAGAGATACCCAAAAGAGAGAAAAAGCATGGGTTCAGGCTTGTGCCCGGAAGCAGCATCCTCTACGGTTTAACCGTAATGGCCAGTGTATGACCGTCGTGCTGGGAAGTCGGGGAATTTTATTCTCCTCGTCACAAACAATTATCTAGTATGGAACTTTGCGACTGTAGACGCCGGCGACAGGCCCCAGCTTTTGTAATTGAAGCCCTGGTAAGCGGGCGACGTGAAAGGCCCGTTCCGAGGGTAAGGAGTCGTTCCAAGTACGCCATAGTATCGTTAATACGATTCGCCGTCTTTCTGAGCCATGGCTCTGGCTATCCTTTGGAACTCCGAGGCTCTGTGGTGATTGTCAGATTAGCCAGGATCGCTATATGAAATATTGAAATAACTGATTGTATGAGCTATAGCGGTAAATCAATGCGCGCGCCTGGCGGTGTTGACTGGGTGCTTCTGCAGATGGAAATGGCGTAATAGTTCATCTGGAAGAATAACTAGGTATGGGCAGGCCGACGCCTGGGCCTGAGCCGAAGCATTTAGATCCACATTGGGATCCCCAGTCCAGACTATTACCTTCCTATATATATATTCCGCCGTGGCCTAGATAGTTAGACTTCGGTACTGCAACCAATACAGTCAACAATTTCCCACCACGCTTCCCAACAAAGCTTAGTCATACCGCTGTGATCCGTATTTCGTCTAGCTTGAAATTCGTATCTCATTCTATTCACCGACGGTTCTCCAGCCCCAAATGATATGAGCCAAGCAACCCCCCAAGACGTCCCTACGGACGAAGTTCTTTATAAGTCAGGTGACCAGCTTTTAGACCAACCCCCTTTTAGACCACGCACTAAAATCGCCACCCCACCACATCATAAAATTCAATTGCTCACAGCTTCGTCAATTAGATAGCTACGTTAATACAGCTTGCAATGTCAGATTCCTCTTCTTCTGAAATTTCAGGATCTATAACATTCTCCCCAGCAGCCAATCTTTGTGCGCGGCGGATCTCCTCAATACCAGGAAAGGCCTTATTAGGGTCGATTTCCACCCTCCTTCTCTTCCGGCCTCTCGCACGTTCGAGGTCTTCCTGGGCCGCTTGCAATTGTTGTTGAATTGTAGCCAATTGGAAGGCCATGTTATCGAATTCTTTGTAGGCTTTCCGCATAAAAAGCCGTTAGCTGGCAGTACGTTTAGTACCACGTAGAAAACGCTCCCCCTGAGCCGAGAAATCCTTGGCCTTTTAGGGGTAAACCACAAAGGCCGGCCCTCCGAATTCTTGCCCAGAATGGGGTTATTGAACGACTCAAGGCCTGCAGAAGGTGTGGGGGCTACCGTACTAATGCAGCCATTGGAATTCTTAATAACGAGGCTGTTGCTTAGGGGCTTCCTTAGGGAGACTGGCCACAACCCTGAGGCCTTCCAACCAGCCTTGATATTTGACTCGGTTATTCCGTAGATTCTGGCGTGTCTATATCATTCTAAAAAGGCTCGTTTTGCAGCTACAGAGTCGCTGGTTAGGCCAGAAGTCAATCGCCACTTATCAAACCACCCAGCCATCAAACCAGAAACGACTAGGCAACCACCCCGCCCTAGGTACTCATGGCCGAGATCGTAGGCCTGGTGCTCGGCGGCATCCCCATTACCATTTGGGCCTTGGAAAAGTATGCCGAGCCTCTAGAGACGGCCATGGACTACCGCAGAGTCATAGGGACCTTCAAGGCCGACCTGAAACCGTAGCAACGGCAGCTCGAGGTGATACTGGCCAACGTAGGACTACAACAACCATGTAAGGAAAAGGACACCCCAAACACCAACTGCGCGCACAGGGTGCGCGCCCACCACTTGTCACCAACTGGCTAGAACACTGCCAGCTGGCATACGCTACGCCGTGGCGCCACGACCGCAGACTGATGCCCGGGCCGAACCCCTGAGCAGGTATATAAACAATGGCCCTCGCCCATCTTCCTTTGCGAGGGCCAGGTTGAAGTCTTACACCAATACAAGTCATTGCTCCCCTACCTTCTTGCCTGCATTGTGACCACCTTGATCAGGCGTACCTACCTTCTCTTACAAACCATCTAAAGAGGAGCTGAGAGAGCACTTGGGGCAGCAGTACCCTGAGATCGCAGACGACCTCTACGTTATAGTCGAGCGTATGGAACACGTCATCGCTGATCTACTGAAGAATCTAGAGATTGATATAAACAAAAAGGTATGGTCAATCCAAAAAGGGGAATCTATCTGGCGGCTGACGAGGATATCCACAGGCGTTATGGAAAACCGAGTACCCTAATAGAGTCAACTGGGAGTGGCGTAGGGTGAAGCGGAGCTTTAGTACAAAACGTCGCTTCGGTCGCCATAGGTAGGGAAAAAGTCATAGAGAATTAGCTTGAGGGGGTGCCATTCAAAAGTAATATAATCGAAACAAAAAACGGCGAGAACTATAGGATTAGGAAGAAAATAGGCGGGGGCTTATTTGGAGTTGTTTTCGATAGAGACAAGCTAATAGCAACGCAAACTGGCAAGCGGTTGACAAAAATGCGGACTAAAAAAAGCCTGTGGTCTGTGCAGGTGGCTGCCCACTAATAGCCACTACTAATTTTCCAACATTCGATGGCATTCGACTCACACCACTGGTAATCCACCACTAGCATCCACACCGCCAGCCCATCATCATCACCATGACCAGTATGCTACCGGACTACCCTACGCCAATGAAGGCACACCTACTTGGAGCAGCTACTTATCTTGAAGCCTACCATATTCTATACTTCAAAGCTAACCTTTTCTATTAGTTCGGTATCTATAGTAAAAACTAGGGCGGGAAATCTTTTATTACGGCGTCGACTGGCAGTACCTGGAATAAGAAACACGAGGGCGGAAATCCATCATTATAGCCGAAGATTTATACAGAATGGAAGAGATTATCTAGTAATATGACTTCTAGGCCCGTAGCTTGACCTGGCAAGGTCTAGGCCTAATGGCTGGTATTCCCGCATCTGTAAGGACGGTCGAGCGATTAATGGGGACTTTAAAATACCGAAAATGCATTGCCTGTGAAAAAGGATTCGTATCGCCGTCAAACGCAAAAAGGCGACTTCAAGAAGCTAAAATTGCCCTTTAATTCCGCCCTCGCCTAGAAGATTGGCGAGATATTCGATGGTCGGATGAATGCCATTTTGGACTCTTTTCTGAAGGAAAGATTCAGATTATTAGGAAACCTGGAGAAAGGTAATGCACTGACTGCATTCACTATCTTGAAGAAGAGCCAGCAAAAGGGACGGAAATCCGGAGATATCACGTCTGGGCTGCGGTTGGATGGAATGTTAAGTCAGAACTCCCTTTCTACGAAGTCCCAACGAACACCAATGGAAAGATGAGCTTGCAGATCTATCGCGATGAGATTCTGAAAAAGGTTGTTGGTCCTTGGCTTCTCCGTGGCGATGCTTTCGTACTGGAAGAAGACGGGGATTCAGGGCATGGAGGTGGAAATTCCAAGCGAAAGAATATCGTGAAGGAATGGAAGGAGACTCACGGATTGAAGCATTACTTTGATTGCCCTGGCTCTCCAGATCTATCGCCAATTGAGAATTCTTGGAGGGCTGTAAAGCAATATATCCGAGCTAATATTCGAATTACTGTAGATATTGTTGGATTTAGTCAGTTGCACGGTTGGATAGGTTCAATTGTGTGTGTTCTTGTGTGTTCCCTCTATTCCTGGCTCTCGCCCGTTCTTCTAGAAGTCTCTGTTGTGGCGCACCAGCCACCCCCTGCGGTGGATCGGCGCCACGACCGGGGTCAACTACGTAACTTGGCATGTGGCTAATCTGACAGATATCATGGGCCTGGCGTTCGAGGGATGGAAGCGGCTGAGCCAAGCGAAAATCAATGAGTACGTGAATTCCATGGTAAGGCGAATGCAAAATGTGTTAGAGGCCGAGGGTCGTATGACTGAGTGGTAAAATGGCAGTACATAGAGGTACTTGCATTTGTATACAATCTTAGTCCGCAAGAAAGTACTGGTAAGTAATGAGTCCGCATTTTTTTGTCAATCGCTTGACTGGTAACCCGTGGTGGGAAGAGAATGACAGGCTGCGATTCCGGACTGCCTAAGAGTCTGTGTCATCTGTCATGGTGGTGCTAGAAGAGGGGCCAGCTCCGTGTGTATGTATGTACTGGCTCCAGCTTGACGCCCCGGGCCTGAGAAAGTAGATTCTTTCACTATAAACCTTTTTGTTTAGTGATTATGGCTACTGAGAGTGTTAGTAGCTCCGGCTCGTGTATCTCTTGCACGCTATACCCAGGCTGTCACGGCACGGCGGTAGGCGCTGAGGCCCTACGGGTGCGTGACCATACTATAACCCACTATAGAATTGCAGCCTGACGGCTTGTAATTCTGGCATCCTTTTGGAAGGTGTGGTGCAGCGGTAGTGGGTGTTGCTAAACGCCGTCACAATTACAAGCCGCCCTACGGCTGCGGGTTCGAGCCCTGCAGTTGCAAATGAGTCCTTTTGTGAATAAAGGTAGTTTGGGGATCCCTATAGTATGCCCTAGCCCGCGTAGAGCTCCCGAACCGTAGTGCTCTGTCACGACCAGGGCAAGGCATTGAGGTGAACTCAGTCCATTGGGTGCTATCGACGAAGATTCTAAACTGAGGAGGGAAAGAAGGAAAAGTCCGACAACGCGTCGCGTGCTCGCGAATAAGTTTGCATCTATCAGTGGGGTAGGTGGGGCCTCGAGGAGGCTTCTGATAGGCCCGTGGGTT